TAGGAGGGTGTCTGCCTTATTTGATTTCTCATTTGATTTACTCCACTGGAGGGCTTTTAGTGAGTCTTTGGTCATATATGATTTGATGGCTTGTTGGTGGGTTTTTATTTGGGCTGATAGTGTTGGGGTGGGGTGTTGCTTATGTTGAGCATCAAGGGTCCTAAGGGAGATTAGATGGGCCTCGAGTTCCTTTAGTTTTAGCTTTTTGTGTCTTGTAGCTTCTGCGATTAGCTTGCCTCTTATGACGGCTTTGTGTGCTGCCCAGAGTGTTCCTATAGACGTTACGGAGTCTTTGTTTAACTCGAAGTATTCTTTAAGTGGGTCTTGTATGATTGATAGTGTGAGGGATATCTCCGCGTGGTCACACCACGTGATTGTGCCTATCGATGTTGTGGTGTCGTGGGTGAGGAGTGAGGGGGAGACCAGGAACAGGTCGATCCTTGAATAGGAAAGGTGGGGGTTTGAGTAGAAGGTAAAGTCTGCTAGTGTAGGATTTTGTAGTCTCCATATGTCCTGGAGGCCTGTTTGGAGTATAAAGGTCGAGAGTAGTTTATCATTGGCCGTCGTTTTGGGGATTGTTTTGGTATGTTGTGAGTGGCGTTTTCGGTCCTGTTGGGGTGCTGGGACTGCATTGAAGTCCCCTCCGATAATCATGTGGTGGGAGGGGAATAGCTTTAGGTGTGCTCGTAAGGCTGACCAGAAGGGTGGGTCTGGGATAGTGGGGGCGTAGATAGTCGTTAGTGCGTGTGTTCCATGGTGGCCCGCTATTGTTAGGTATCTACCCTGGGGGTCAGCAGTGGTTTGTTTAAAGTTAATGGGGCATGTATTGCGAATTAGTATCGCAACTCCATTTCTTTTTCCGTTTGGGGAGTTTGCTAGGTGGTATTCATTGTAATGTCTGTTTTTGAGCGGGAACGGTCTTGCTGCCTCAAAGTGAGTTTCCTGGAGGAATATTATGTCAGCCCCTGATCTGTTGGCCCATCGCATTAATTGATGGCATTTTGCGGGTTTGTTTAAGCCCTTGCAGTTAAGGGAGATGCATTTTAGTTTTCTCATCTCTGGTGGTCCGTGAGAGTCAGGGTGTGGGTTTGGTAGTGAAGGATTTGGGGTTGGAGTTACCCCTTTTAGGTGTGCGGGTTGCCCTTGGGGTAAGGTTTTGGTGGATAGGGTGGGGGGTGGGTGAGGGGGTGGGGTGGGTGGTTTGTTGGGAGGGTGGGGGTAGTAGAGTGTGGGGGAGTGTGTGGGTGTTTACCCTGGTCTTACTGTGGGCTTGCCAGCTGTGGTTGGGGGTTGTGTGTGGTGCCTTTTAAGATTGAGGTGTGTGGCTTGATTCCTTTGTGGGAAAAGTGTGGTGTATCACTCATGGTGTTTGTCAGTCATGTAGTCGTTGTCTGTGTTTCTCGGTGGGTGGCTCTTGGATTTGCTGTCTGAGGTTCGGTGGTCTGGTGAGTGTTCTTCGTGGGCTGGTGTTGGTGAGTGGTGTGTATCCTGTGAAGTGGATTCATCTGGAAAAACAGTAGAAATCAACATATATACATTTACATAAACATAAACATTTCTGATTCATGTGGTAGCACCCTTGTTTGTGCCCTTCAGGTCTCTTTGGGACTATTCGTTCAGTCAGTTGTACTTGCCAGTTGTATACCTAAGTCTATTTGTGTCATTCTTGCGCCCTTCATGTTCCCTGTTGCCGGTTGCAGGTGTATATTTTTGTATGCCTATTTACCTGCCTTGATTATCTCTCTCCCTCCCCCTTGCAGTGTGTGTTCTCTCCTCTCGTTGCCTTCCCATTTATGATGTGGAATCCTCCATGTCTTTGTCTACCTTCCCTCCTCTCCCTCTTTTTCCTTTTTCTGTTTGTGTGTTTCTATTTGGGATTGTCTAGGTCTTGTTTTCTGATATATAGGTGTTTTTCCGGTTGGGTACCTTTAGTCATGTCAGTGGTGTGGGGGTCCAGGGTGCCCTGCTTTCCGTGTGGCCGTGTACCCCTTTGGATTGTCTCCCCCCCCCCGCTATTGAATGTTGAGGAGTTTGAAGGGGTGTCCCCAGGTATATTTGATGCCTCTTTCTTGCAGGGCTAGTGTGAGGAGTTTCAAGTCTCGCCTCTTTTTTAAGGTAGTAGGGGCTAGATCTTGGAAGAGTGTTATATGAGCGCCGGCATATTGTGGTGGGTGGATTCTGGCTATTTGCATGATTTTCTCTTTTGTTTGAAGTAATGCAGGCGTATTATTACGTCTCTGGGGGTGGATATGTTCAGAGTAGGGGGGCGCAAGGCCCTATGAGCCCTGTCCATTTCTAGTAGTGGTGATGGTACTTCTGGGGCCATTTTTGCAAAGATGCCTTTTAGGGTTAACATTAGGGATTCTGGTTGTAGGCCCCGGATCCGTATATAATTTTTTCGTGACCTATTATTTAGGTCTTCTAGGGAGTCCTAAATGCGGTTAGGCGGCCATGGAGGTAGGAGATCTCCTGGGATTGTGCTGTGGAGGCTGTCGCCAGGGTGGTTAGACGTACCTCTGTTTGGTCAGTGCGGGTAGTCAATGCTTCCATGTCCGCCCGGAGACCTGTTAGTTGCTTGCTGATTTTTTCGGCCACATGGGTTTTGATGTCTGCTGTGGCCTCGCTCGCTGTGGTGAGAGGGGCCGAGGGTGTTGGTGTGTGGGCGCCCCATTCTGAATCAGATCCCTGGTCCTCCTCGTGGTCGGATTGGGTAGGCCTCTGCGCTTCTCCTGGAGTGCGGAATAACGTTGCTACTGATGGAGGTAGCTCCTTTTTCTTTTTCCCACCTCCCATCGCTGTAGCCGTGTTTCTGTGGTGTGTGAGGGTGCTTTGGAGCAGTGGGTGATGCGGATGGTGGCTGATTGAGTGCTTGGGGGAGAGGGAGCTGCGGGATTACGCGTCCATCTTCCTCCGAGGTTAGGCTCCGCCCCCTCTTGATTGCATTTTTTGATGGAATAAAGATACTTGTTATGAGAATCTGAACTGTAGGCACTATAACCATTTAATCTCATTGAATTGGTTATAGTACCTGGAATCCTCTGGTGCTATCCCTTAATTTAGTGTTGAACCATTTTCAAGTAGTTTAACACTAAATAAGGGTCTCCGGCCACCGACTGCCCAGTTCCCATTGGATTTAGGGATAAGACATTACATTCTTCCTTCTAACCATACCAATTCATACCATCAATAAGAATTGGGATGAATTCAAGCAGTCAGCTAACACTCTCAGACAATCACAGCTGCTCAAGCTAATTTTCAATCATTGTTGCTCAAGCTAATTTTCCCTAATTAGCCCAAACAGCACAGGTGGGATGGGATGCTGAGGATTCTTGGTTAGCTTTAAAAACAGTTAAACACTGAAAGGATGGCCCTGGGGACTCCAGATAACTGTTTTAATGAGCTGAATAAGTTACATAGGCTGATTGACAGACAGAGACCAACATTACAAAAATTAGACAGACAGAGACAAGCAGATATGTGAAATATATTGGATATATTGGATGGATGGATGCTAGGATGGATGGATCAAACCCCCCTATAGGAAGGACAAAGGCATAACTCATTAAAAAAAAAAAAGGCAACAACAGACATAGATATATTAGATAGCTAAATAGACAGATAAATAGATTAGTAAGAAAAAGGATTGGTATCCAAATATACTTATCTTAAATGATCAATCAAAACAGCCTCTCAAGGTCGTGGCCCAGTTCCTGACCTTTTACAATATACATATTCTTTGTATTCAAGTGTATATTGTAAAAGATAAATAGATTAGACAGATTAGATTAAGAGATAGCATAATAGATGTGTTAGGAGTAGTAGTCAGATTTCTAGATATATGGGTAAAAAGATGGGATGTACAGATACACATGATATGATAGATGCTACAATATGATATACAGACTAGTAGATGAGAGAGATAATTCCATTATATAGTCACACAGATCATTTCACTGATGATTTCATTGTCTCATGATAATAGAAAGAGAATCTGTTTTATAATAGACTGCCATGATGCTTATTAGTTTATAATAGAAGTTTTAGTAGTCTGTTTTCTTGCTCAAGAGCCGCAAAGGATACAAAAATAAGATGTGTATTGCCGCTATTTCGTTTTGGTTCTGTTGTTTACAATACCAAATAGTGCAAATCAACATCACAGTGTTACATCAAGGCATAGCAAGAGATAATTGCTGATTACATGGTCCTGTGCTGTAAATTCAAGCTCATGCAGGGTTAATTTGTGCTGGCAAGGGAAGCGGCAGTGATGTAGGGACAGGCGTGTGCTGCTCACACACAATCACAGGAAGGACACGGGGATCATGTACCCCCCTTCCTGCAGAAACATCATCAAGTGAGGGAGGTAGAGGGTGGGGGTGACTCAAATTACATTCTACAGACTTAATTTTTAAATCTTGCAGAACATCTCTCCAGTCTCCACCCTACATATACCATAACTTCTGTAAAATGTGGCCTTTCCAGCATTTAACACTGCAACCTGTGCAGCAAAGGCATATTATCTATACTCTATTCTTAGATCTTCCTAGAAATCTTTCTTATTAAAGATGTGCAGAGCATCGCCTCTTCCTTACATGCATGCACAGCAGTTATACTTCCTCTTTATGGACTGCAGAGCATTACATAAACAATACCAAGACATAAGCATAGATTGGGGACTACTGATACTAACTTGTTCACCCATCTGCTCTGCACAGCTTCAAACCTTATACATATTGTTTTGGTGTATATATTTCACATCCAAAGCATTCTTATAGTGGCAATGTCACGTTGTTTTGTTTTTTTCGTTACCTTATGACCCCTTATCATTAGATAATTATTAGATAATTAGGTAAATTAGTTTAGCACTTTAAATGGAACTTTGCTTAAATGACCACTGTGGGTACCCAGACCACTTCAGCTCAATGAAGTTGTCTGGGTGCCAGATCCCCCTAGTTTTAACCCTGCAGCTGAAAACATAGCATTCATGCGCATTCAGCTCCACTCGGGAACTGATGTCGATGGAGTAGGAGAGGTCACCAGCACAGAGGGATTAAGGTAAGCATATAAATGGTTAATTAACCATATATGAGCCTCGGCACGGGGCCCTAGTTACTGTTTAGGTGACTAGGACTCTATAGCGTTAGGAATACATATTTGTATTCCTAACGCTATAGTGTTCCTTTAAGCTTCGTCCATTGCAGCAAATAAAGTTAATGTTTCCCACAAGAAAACATACTCCCTGCTATTTCCTATGTATAATTTAAAAAAACAAAAAAAGGTAAATTGAAAAAAAAAATACAAAAAAAAAACAAGGATGAAAAGAAGTAAAAAAAACCTAATACTCTAAAAACAAAACATGATACAAAGAAACACTTTAATTCCTTTACCACCTTACAGGATTTATTTACTAAACTGAGGATTGGAGAGGATAGACAAGAGATTGGCAAATTCGTATACCAAAATATCCAAACTAAATAAATTCTCAAACTAACAAAGAAAACAAAAACTATCCCTTACTGAGATAGTGAGTGATATACTAAAGTGCCTGAATAAAAGCAGCTCAACACAAAAAGTGGAATACCTTAATCCACAATAAAGTGCAAAATACAAGAAAATGCAAAATACAAGAAAAAAAAAAAAAAGGTATAAACAATATACCAGCAAGTGGAGCGCTATATTGAATATATATATAAATAATGAGGGGGTATACTCACCCCTCCAACATAGTAATCAGGGCGGCCCTTGCAAAAAGTCTTACGGCGCCCCCCCCACCTCCCACCAAGTTGCCTGAATACAGTAACACACACAGGCACCGGGGACGTGTGTATCACGAGGCAAACAAGGCATCTGCCTTGGGCGCCACTTTGCAGGGGGCGGCAAAAAAAAGCATCCCTCCAAACCCCCAGGCAGATCCCTTGCTTGCCTCGCATCCTGGGGGGCTCAAGAGCTGACCGGCTGGCCACTTTTGAGCCCCCCCAAGGCTGGCAGCGGGCAGCGAAGGAGCATACTCACCTGAGCTCTTCCTGCTCAGCTTCCTCTGCGCCGCTTAATGAAGCCGGGAGCCAGAATATGACGTCAGTCCGGCTCCCGGCATCACTAAGCGCTGCTTACTCAGCCTGTGCGCCCCCTGCCTGCCTGCCCAGCAGCTACACTGGACTGCTGGTAAGAAATCCACTCCAGCTTTCCCAGGGAGGCTGGGTGGATTTAAAATAAATGTAAAAAATATTAGTTTGTGAGTGTTAGTGGAAATGTCTGTGTGTGTGTCTGTGAGTGTTTATTTTGAAGTGAATGTGTGTGTGTGTGTGTGTGTCTGTAAGTGTGTAATTGTGTGTGTCTGTAAGTGAATGTGTGTGTGTCTGTGAGTGAATGTGTGTGTTGGTCAGTGAGTGTATTGGTCAGTGAGTGTATATGTGTCAGTCAGTGAGTGTGTATGTGTCGTCAGTGAGTGTGTATGTGTCGTCAGTGAGTGTGTGTCGGTCAGTGAGTGTGTAGGTCAGTGAGTGTGTATGTGTAGGTCAGTGAGTGTGTGTCGGTCAGTGAGTGTGTGTCGGTCAGTGAGTGTGTGTCAGTCAGTGTGTATGTGTCGGTCAGTGGAGTCGTGCATCTTTCAGTGAGTGCTTGCGTCTGTCAGTGAGAGTGTGCATCTGTCAGTGTGTGTCCAAGTAATAGTGTATGTGTGTATGTCATTGTTTGTCAGTGTATATGAGAGTGTGTGTCTGTCAGTGAGTGTGCGTCTGTCAGTGAGTGAGCGTCTGTCAGTCAAAGTGCGGCCTTGACAGGAAGGGGTGGGGGAAATTTAAACTCGGTTACAGGCATGTACACACACACTCAGTTAAAGGCAGTCACACATACAGGCACAGGCACAAACAATGGCACAGCTACAGCGACACACACAGACAGACAGTCACATAGGCAGTCACACACACAGACAGACACACAGTAACACACACATAGACAGTTATACACACACAGGCAGGCAGTCACACAGATAGAAAGTCACACACACAGGCAGGCAGTCACACACAGACAGATAGTTACAGACAGACACACACAGGCAGGCAGGCAGTCACATACAGGCAGTCACACACACAGGCAGTCACACACACAGACAGACAGTCACACACACAGACAGTCTCACACACACAGGCAGTCACACACACGGGCAGTCACACAGACAGACAGTCACACAGACAGACAGTCACACACACAGGCAGTCACATACATGGGCAGTCACATACATGGGCAGTCACACAGACAGTCACACACACAGACAGTCACACACAGGCAGGCAGTCACACACAGAGACAGTCACACACACACACACACACACACACACAGGACAGGCAGTCACACAGACAGTCACACACACACACAGACAGTCACACGCACACAGGCAGGCAGTCACACAGACAGACAGTCACACACACACACAGACAGACAGTCACACAAACAGGCAAACAGTCACACACACACACTTACCTCTTTCCAGTGGATGCAGTTGGCTGATGGGGAAGCATCTTTCCCTCTTCCTGTACAGCAGGGGCTTCGGGAGGTATTAGCCCCGTCTCCGCCTCTCGATAAGCCCCGCCTCCGCCGCTCGGTAAACCCCGCCCCCTCTGCCGCGATTTTTTTTTTTTTTTTTTTTAAATAGACCTGGGTGGAGAATAATTAATCCTCCAGCCAGGTACCTCTTTTAGCTCCCCTGCACTCCGGCCATGAGTGAGCTGTGTCGGCCACAGGGCGCCCCCTGTTCCATGGCGCCCTGTGCGGTCGCACAGCTCGCACACCCCTAAGGCCGGCCCTGATAGTGATACAATGTAATAGAAAATTCTCAAACTAAGCTTTGCTACGTGGGCCTCAGTTCCCTTGTTAGTTCTCCATGATGTTCACATGGTTATTTACTGGAAATGATTTGTATAAAAATTTTAATCAAAAAAGCCAAATGCAAAAAATTCTACAGCAGACCTATTTTTCTAATTTTACTTTTCTGGCCTATAACTTGCAATTCCCTTGTATGTATGTATGTAGTGGGCATTGGATGAGATATTCCCCTAAAATCAGCCATGAATTCCCCAAATAACGACAGACACTAAAACTTTGATATAATAGGCCACAGCATTTATTAAAACAACCGAATACGGTATAACGCATCCAAACCTATAAAACTGTACATAGTACAGATCATAAATTAACATATAAATAATGTTGCATAATGTCATACAGTAATGTAACCAAAACGTCCTTGCAAATGTAACACACCCCTTCCCAAAGGCTCTCACCTCCCCCCTCGGCATAATAAATTCCTCTTCCCTTTTTGGGCTCCCCATCAGCCGTCTTTTAACTCGGCGGGGACACGCCCAACCTGGTACCCCTTAGGGTTCCCCATAAGAGACAAGGGAGGATGAGACCCGGCCATTATCCCCTTAGTCATCTACCTGCAAACCATCTCCCACCCTATCTGGCAAGGACATGCCCTCCGCCTCGCTTTGACAACACCCGGGCCTAAATCACCAAGGGAGGGTGGGCGGGAAACTGTTGCTGGCCCAGCTCCTAAGTGGCACTGAGGTCAGCTTGATTTGTCACTACCCACTTCCTCACATACCATACTACCACACATAAACAGCCAATCATGTTTCATCCATCCCACACTCATACATGTGCCCTTGTCTGCTCAGCTGCGCACTCTCCTTGGCGCCTGGTCAGTTCCCAGCAGACTCAATTTAGTGAATAACCCTGTCTGTCAGTTTAGTGAATAAACGCAGTAGCTTCTACTACTTACAATTACACAACTATTTTTCTTTAAAATAAGTGAAGGGGCACTCCAGGCATCCATATATGTTAAGTGCAGTGTGTGGTATAGATTACAGTCAGTTATGCTATTTTTACTCAGTCCTTTTTTTTTGTTAATAATAATTAGTTTTACTCTGTACGCCTACCCTTTCTGTCCCTCCCTTTCTCCAAACCTGCAGTGGTTTTCTTTATGGTTGCATAAATACCACAGTACATAATGTCATGCTTACTACTGGAGGAACATGACTACTGGACTACAACTCCCTGAAACCCTTGCACTGGCTATAAAGTAATACTTATGTTATCAACTCAACAATGCTGTCCTATTCTCATCTAAACATGTTGATGTTTAATTCCGACACTGGAAGCAAGCTCTTCTCTTAATGGTTCCTCTTTTTAAAAATAAATTAATAAACATTTATCTTGAAGTTCATTTAATTATATCATATAAGCAGCTGCAAACTGCAGCAGAAGATAGTTCCATACCGCACACCCAAACCTGAATTATACAGTGTGCTATCTTTAAAGAAACACTCTAACGTGAGAAACACCAACATTTATTCCTAACGTTAGAGTGATGTATGGGCTATATAGATTAAATCTCTACCCCCATAAGTGATAAAATAAAGAGATTAACTCACCTAGTTCTTTATTTTCGTGCAGAGAAATACAGTATGGTCTGTGATGCCACGACAGCAGGGCAAATCGTGATGGTCATACTGTTATACAATGTCATGGTACATAAAAGCAATGCACATTTTTATATTTTAGTCTCGCTCTTACAACGTAGTTACATAGCTGCCCTGCACAGGGCTAGTGATATTAGTTATTAACAAGAGAAACTGTAAGCAGGGGGCGACAGGCTAGTAATTTTTTAAACAAGCTTAGTCTAAACGTTTAGGTTCAATTGAGTGTTTCAGTATACGTGTGTAACAAGAGTGTGTTACAGGGTTGTAGCATGTGTTATACAGGTTAGGTACAAGCTGTGTAATAGCTACCTGCTCGGCTGCCCTATAATGTGGGCAAGTCTACAACACAGTTAGTATAGTCTGGTGTAGTATAATGGCGTTTATAACTTTATGGTGTGTGTTGTGGGGAAAGCATTTGAAGTGAGCCGTGGCAGTGTCACGAGTGTTACAAGCTAGGTTGCTTGCTTATGTAGATTAGCAAGTTTAAGCATGCAATCAGTAAGTATGCATTGTATAGCTTAAGACATATGGAGAGTCCTCTAGAAGTTTACCCCGGCTCGGTCTATGTGTGTGGTAGAGCCAGTCAGTCCCTGTGGATTCAGCTGATGCCTGCGCTGGAGGTTGCAGATATTGATGCACAGGATACCTCGTTGGTCTGGGTCAGCTGCAAGGTGGTTCCTGGCGGCCAGAGCAGAGGCGGCAAACGGCTGGGTAAGGAGCTGAGAGGGTGAGTTTTGACATTGTTGTGGTTGTCTCTGTTAGTCCCAGGTTGTGGCTAGGAAGGGACCAGAGCTGGATGTCGCCGGGTCGCATGGCAACCATTACGGTCTGTGTGCCGTCGTTTGGTGCCTGAGGGAGTGGGTAAGGTCTCTACGTCCACTGTGGGGTTACTGCCACTGACCTGCCCCGCCATTCGCTCAGTCGTTGGCTTTCCTGGTGTGAGAGGCCGCGTTGTTTGTGGGATTCTTTGCGTTGCAGGATGCCGCCATCTTAAGTAGGCGGGGTGTTGTTGCTTCCACCCGTCTGTGGCCATCCAACAGGGCCCATACTTGTATGCCCATGCTTGCGGACGTGCCATGGTGGACCGCGATGACCCCCGACGGTCCGGGGGGGATTCTGTCCCCAGCCCCGCATCAACTGCTAGGCCGCAGGTCGCACCTGCCTCGGCTGGTGCCTCCGGAGTGCTAATATTGCCCCAGTCCTGTTTCCACTAGGGGCTCCGTGGGGTGAGTGGGTGTGGAGCCTGTTTAGACTGGCTAGTTTGCGGCAAGGAAGGCTTAAATTCAGCCCTTTGGCGGGAGCCCTGGGTGCTTGGGACCATTCCGCATGGCAGTCAAGCTCCGCCCCCCCCCTAGTTAATCATTGCGCAGGTCTTTCTGTGGTCGCCACTCCTCTCTGGCTGAAATCATCAATCCAATGCTTCCCCATAGGGAAGCACTCACGAAATTATGTGCATGGCAGTTATCACTAAACTACACCAATCAGCATCTCCTTATACAGATGTATTGACTAAATGGATCTCTATGGGGAGTGTTCAGTGTCTGCTGAATGTAGAGATACTGAACGTCGATGTTGCAAAAATTGCATGATTGTAACTATAAAGCCCCTCTAGTGGCTGTCTGAGTGACAGCCACAAGGGTGGTGTTAGGCAGTAATATAAACACTTCCTTTTCTCAGAAAATACAGTGTTTATGCTGCAGTGAGTTTATAAGTTATCTATTTGCCCCAGAATCACTACATTAAGCTGTAGTGGTTCTGGGGCAAATAGATCATTTATACACTTAAGTGGTGCTTAGAGTGTGCCTTTAATGTTGGAATTAGGCATGTGCATGGGGAACATTTTCGGTTCGGTTTGGCATTCCGCAATTCGGCTCTTCAACACTTCGGCACTTAAGCACTTCGACACTTCGGAAATTCAGCAACTTCGGCACTTCGGAATTTCGGAACTTCTCTTGCAGCCGCTTAGTAGATAACTCCCTAATTAGGTATTAGGGAGTTATCTACTAAAAGGCTGAAAGACCTAAATTGGTCTTTCAGCCAAATTTACTAATACTAAGTAAAAATTACTTAGTATTAGTACATTTTGCCCTTCCTCGCTATACCGCGAGTAGGGGCATGTCTATTAAACAGTGAGCAGCCTGTGTCTGCTCACTGTTAAAAAAAAAAAAGTGTCCCCCCCTCCCGAGCCCCCACCCCCTGAGTGGCGGGTGGGGGCCCTAAATTGGAATAGGGGGGTCCTATTGTCCTCCCCCTGGCCCCCACCCCTGAGTGGCGGGTGGGGGCCCTAAATACTAATAAGGGGGGGACCTAATGTCCTCCCCCCTGGCCCCCACCCCTGAGCGGCGGGTGGTGGCTCTATATTGGAATAGGGGGGGGGACCTAATGTCCTCCCCCCTTTGCACCCACCCCTGAGCGGCGGGTGGGGGCCCTAAATTGGAATAAGGGGGGGACCTAATGTCCTGACTAACGACGCACTTAAATTTTTTTTATTTTTTTTAAATAATCCATCTTTGGGCAATTCGGACAGGCTCAGGGGTGGGGGCCGGTGGGGATGACAATAGGTCCTCCCCCCCCTTTTTCCTTTAGGGCCCCCACCCGCCGCTCGGTGGGGGACCTTTTTTTTTTTTTTAACAGTGAGCAGCCACAAGTAATCTTTACTTAGTATTTGTAAATTTGGCTAAAAGACCAAGCCCTTTGGTAGATAGCTCCTTAATACCGTGGAAATTAGGGAGTTATCTACTTATTCATGCCTGTCATTACATGACTGGCTAAGTAACTTACATTTTATATGACTGTGTGTTACTTGATTTTTGTAAGTGTTGCAAACGCTTACAGCTGAATCCTGGCTATATTTGTATACTTTTTATTTAAAATTGTATACAATGTAACATTCTTCTTCTTTCACTGGGTAAGTATATTAGTACTTAGGCAATACTGTGCTTCGGAACTTCGGCACTTTGACAACTCGGAACTTCGGCACTTCAGCAATTTGGCACTTTGGCACTACTACACTTCGGAAATTCGGTAATTTCGGCATTTTGGCAATTCAGCTATTTTCATTCGGACCGAAATTAATTGCACATGTCTAGTTGGAATTGCGCTTTCTAGATATTAGAATTCCAATAACTTTCAATGTGACATAACTGCAACCCATTGCATAATATCGCATTAAATTAATGTGTTGGGCACCTCTGATTTTTCCAACAATAAACTACAGCTTGAGACATCTCACAAATGTTTGACACTGTTGTTAGAACCACCATAGATTATAGCTTCATATTTTGTTTTGTTGTTTGCTTTTTTTCGTTTGTTGTTTGTTTTTAATTTGGCACCAACTTGTTCAACACTACTGTCCCCAAGGAGAGGCAGGGCAGACAAAATTGAAGATTTCAGTTTTACTCTTGGCTAGCCCTTGTCAGCCTGTGCTGGTCTTTTGCAGAGCACTTGACTTTCAATATGTGTCAGACAGGTCTTGGAAAAATAAAATTAGCCTTGCCAGACAGCACTGCAGAATAACACAGAGGGTATTCAACCTTTTCTGTGAGACACCGACAAAACATAACTGCATCACTGCTTCTTATAAGTAAGTGATTATCTAAACAGTTTCCTCACTTATCTGTACTACAAATCACCACCTCTAGACTGCTGGAACTTTTGAAAAGCAGGATCCTTAAATCTTCTCATACAATACTATACCTGATTATCTTAATGTTCTGTCATTCGAACACTCCAAGTTAATAAGTAAAACATTATGGCTACAGCAAAATAATCTCTTCACCGAAAGCTTTAATTTACAAAAAAACATATATATATATATATATATATATATATATATATATATATATATATAGTAATTATTTTACTTCTGGCTCATACAGTTTGTAATTTACTATTTTTTCAAAAAATCTTTTGCAGTGCATAGGTATACAAGCAGGCTTGAGGTGCCCCATCAGCATTCCCCAAGCATATCGACATACTTAGAACAGTGGGACATATGAGATATCGTGCACAATTTTATGAATAAGGTAGAAAAAAAAGCTAGGCATTTGTGTCTAAACTCATGACAAGACTTGAGGCTCAGATAGTAATTCAATGCTAACACATTTAAGAAAAGCACTAGGTATTACCTCAGGCATGAGAACGGGCTATATATCACCATACCCACTACATTATGAAATAGCTTGATGTCAAGTAGTGGAAACAATGGACTAAAGAAAAAACTGAAATGATGAAAAAACTGAAATGAAACCAATCGCTAGGTGGTAGACATTTGCAAAAATTAACATCACTGCTGTTATCAAGTGGCAGAAGTATTATGCATCAGTCCCCTTTCAGGATCAGCCAACTCTGGTCTGCAGCTTTTTGCCTGTCCCATCCACCTGGTTTTGTTTACAGGATCGGGAGCCCCTGCAGGCCTGTGTGAGGGCTGGCATCCATATACCACAAAATTGGGTACTATGGCAGTCTAAGCTTATCCCCTGCAGAGGATGGTTGGAGGATGGTGATGGTATCCTCCGCTTTTCACGGGTAATCCTCCTTCATTGTGGGCGATGCGAGTCAGGTAAGCCTCTTGTGGCTCTCGGTTTGGGAGGGCGTGCGATATGTTGTGCGGTTGTCGCAACTTGAATCTTGCCCTTTCACCTCCGGTGGCAGTTTGTAATTTTTCAATTTTGGAAATAGACATTACTCTCTCTCATTTACTTGAAGGGTCATTTTTGTTATTACTATTATTAGGTTTTATATGGAATAAAAGTACACCTTCTTTGAATTCTATGGTTTTACATATAAGGCATAATAACAATCATCCTTTCTTAGCAGCTCTTAAAATTAGGTAACTACAACCTCAGATGAACAACAACACATGACATATTATACCATGTCATGATGTAACAAACATAAAGCCAAAATAGAGAAGCCATGTGTGAAAAAGCCATGTGTGGAAAAAAAAAAGAGTTAGATCTTAGACTCTACAAGCTTCTGTTAACATGGTAAATTTCATGACAGTACAATTAGAAAACCACTGCAAAAATATGGCTTGTTTGGAAAGGTTGCCAGAAGAAAGCCTCTTCTCTCTAAAAGAACATGGCTTAGGTTTGCAAAGTTGCATCTGAACAAACCACAAGACTTCTGGAACAATGTCCTTCGGATGATGAAAAATTAATCAAGGTGTTGCAATGGCACAGTCAAAGTCCAGACCTCAACCCAACTGAAATGTTGTGGCAGGACCTTAAGAGAGCTGTGTGTAGCGGATGGCACTGGGCTGTCCTGGGAATTGCATAGGTTTTAACTGTATTCGTGTAAATGGCAGGTTATATGGGTAGAAAATGTGTTGTATCCGTCTGATTGTTCGGTTGAATCATTCTAACAACTAAGGGAATGGAACTACCGCACAGTCAGACCTCCCCGGTGTGAAGTGTGCCTTCAATTACCCGTTGCAACATTGTTGGGCAGTAAGTCCTTTGTTCTCGGGGGTGGCCGCCATTCGGGAAACGAATACGTGGCGGCGGCCATTTTAAAACTCCCGAACAGCGGTGTTTTGCCGTCGAGTGTCTGGAACCCAAATCGGACACTCGACTAGGCGAACACCGCTGAGACCTCCACAAGCCCGGTCCGTTTGGTAGACAGAAACAACCGAATGAGGGGATTCAGGCGAACCCTCCCTGGTCTCTGTAACTGGAGGCTTTCGTGCACTTTGTTCCCTTATGCCAGGACCGACCGCAGGGCCCCATCGCATGGAACCCAATTCGGCTGTTCCCTCCAGCGTGGTCGGTCTTTTTATTCCCTCCATAAATTTCCTGAACCCCTAGTCTGATCTGGGTGATTTTTGGATATGTTGTTCACCCAGATCAGGGCTACCAGGGGATGTATCATTTAAAGAGGAACCTCTAGGTTTATGGGGTACATCCAGAAACGGGGGGAATTGGTGTCCTGGATAAGGGGATTATGAGTCAGGCTGAGGGGAGGAGATGTGTGGGAGGTTACCAGAACAGGATTGGCTACTGTACTAATTAAGGAAAACCCTCCCTTGCATGGGAGCATGCTTTATAAGGCCACTGTACGAATAAAGGTTTAGGTCTGCTCCTGATACTGTGTGTCGTCCAGTTATTGGGAGTGCTGTTGGGATACTGCTGTATTGTTTTGCCTGCTGGACACTTTGCCTCTGGATTTATAATTACTTGTTCCTGAGCCTCACTGGGATCTACAAGTGGAGGTAGGCCATGAAATACTAGCTCTCCGCTACACTGTGTATAACAAATTTCCAGCAAACCTCAATGATCTCAAGCAACATTGTAAAGAAGAGTGGGTCAAACGGGGGCGGAACCTGGAATGCCGAGCGCATCAGACGTGCATCACCTGAGCTCCACAGACCAGTATTTTTAATTGGCGAAACACCCGGGCCGCTTGCCACTCAGGACAGATACCAGCAATCTCCCAGACAAGGGGAAGCCGGTGTATCTAACGGTACCAAAATCTGCCAGTTTCGGACCCGGAATGCTTCAAGATTGCGGCGGGTAAACCTGCTGCAGACTCACTAAGCCGACTACAGACACTCGAGCAACGACCTCCTCGATAAATTCAATGGGGCCCAAACTCAGAGGGAGCAGCTGAAATCTATTAAACTGTGATACTCACCCCCTGAAAACCCGTACCATATAGCAGGCGGGAGGCGGAGACCGCACACAGAGTCTAGGAAACGGAAACCAGCGAAGCAGAGGCTACGGCCCATAAAATCCAACGCCCGCATCTGCTTTCCTGGTCTGAGGGCCCAAAAGGGAACCACCCTGATGCTTATACCACATATCCAATCAGGACACTTCCATCTTACAAGCGTCCGGTTCCTCGTTTGCGGTGCTGAAAGCGACCAAAGCAGTGGGAAATGCTCCACGTTAATCGACTACACACAAACATAGGAAAACTCACGCCCTTTTAATTCATTCAGTTATAAGTCTGCATAGCCTGTTTTGTACCTTTAACCCCTTAAGGACCAAACTTCTGGAATAAAAGGTAATCATGACATGTCACACATGTCATGTGTCCTTAAGGGGTTAAGAAAATGTCCCATTTCATTCTTGTTTCCCTCTTCCTATCCACCCTTAAAATGTGCAGTCTAATCAAAATGCTGATCAATAGTTATGTTTCTCTGTGCTGTGTGTTAATCTTTAACCCGCATGTGCTGTTGGGGCATTGTAAGATCTGCTATGTTATTAACATGTATGACAAAAATAAAGATTTACAAAAAAAAATTCCTAAACAACAATATGAAAGACTGATAAAAGTCAGACAACGATTACTTCAGATTATTACTGCTAAAGGTACACGCTATTGAATCATAAGGTGTACTTTTCACACATGGCTTCTCCATTTTTTTTGTTAAATAAATTGTGATACTGTGTGAAGTGTGCCTTCAATTGCCATGTGTTGTTGTTCATCTGAGGTTGTATTTACCTAATTTTTAGACCAGCTAAGAAACATGATTGTTATTATGTCCTTATATGTAAAACCATAGAATTATAAGAGAGTGTACTTTCTTTTTCCAATGACTGTATATAGATTATGATAATTATATACCTCCCAACAGTCACAGATTTGGTGATTTTGGGATTGTGTCCCTCCATCCAGGGTTTGTTACCTTATTGAGACAGCAGGGACCAGCAAGAGAACACCTTTAGGTTGTGCTCAAGATGTGCCCAGTACTTTTAGAGCATCCAGCCCATGGACAGAGAGTGTAGTGCTGATCAATGCCATTGGCCATCATCCAGGTGTGCAATAACTTCGGGCTAGCACTACCTCTTCTCTTTCACAGACAGACCAGATCTTTGGCGCATAATCTGCTACTACCCTTGTGGTCATACCTTACTGTCCCCTGTGAAATTTCCCCAATGTTTGGAGTTAAGGTTATAGGATACTAATGTAACTAATATAAATACCTGTTAACTATTTAGAGTTTATATCTGTTTAATATAATTATAGCCATGCCCTGTCAGAATAATACACATTATATACAAAATGCAGTTGGATCCTGCCACATCAGTGCATAGGGATGCATCCAGTTCTAGTGTTCCAATATTTTTGCAGGATGCTTATAAATCTGCATTTTTTCCAGCAGGTGTTGAAAGTACCTAAATTGACACTCCAGACCCCTAAAGCACTATAGCTTGCTGAAAAGCTTTTTGTGTGAAGAGTGTTCTATTTTTTTTATTTTATTTTTTTTTTTTGCAAAAAGGGCAAATTTCAATAGAAATTGACACTTTTATAAATTAACCCCTTAAGGATGGCGGGTGGCGTTCTATGCCGTCCTTGGGGACCCGGTCCTAAACGCCGGCAGGCAACATAGAACTTCCCCGCCGTCCTATTCACTTACTCGGTCGCCGGCGATTGCGGTGGGGGGACTCACCTGGGATGATAGGTACTCCCCCTGCTGCCTGAAAATAGTAAAATAAAGAATTTAAAAACAGTTTAATATAAAATATATACTTATATCATATATATATATATATACATATATATATATATATAACAGTTATATATAACTGGCCAAAGTTATCCTTAATATTTGTTTGTGAGTGAAAAATGCAAAAAATAATTTGAGCGCCAATTTTGTCCAGTGTTTGTGACTAAGTGGCTACTAAAAAAGACTGGACATACCCCATTTGCAATACCTTGGGTTGTCTACTATTGCAAATGGTATGCCATCATGGGGGTAATTCTCATTCCTGGGCTACCATATGGTCTCAAAGGCAACATAACCAATCTGGCAAATTTCAAAGTGGAAAAAAAAAGAAAAATGTAACATGCTTTATTTGACCCTCTAACTTCCCAAAACACAATAAAACCTGTACATAGGGGGTACTGTTTTACATGTGAGACGTCGCTGAATACAAATACGTGTATTTTATTGCAGTAAAAGCAAACAGTATTATGACATTCACAGTTAAAATGTCATGTAGAACTAAAAAATGTTGTAAAAATTCTTATTTTCTCCCATTTTTTTACATTTTATTCATATTAAATTATGTTTCATATCTAAGTATTTGATGTTAAATGAAAGCCCTGTTTCCCCTGAATAAAATTATATATAATAAGTATGGGTGCATTTAATATGAAAGGGGTGAATTACAGTTGGACAGACATATAGCGCAAATGTCAGGTTTTGTTTACGTTTTGTTTTGATCACAACGTGTACATTTGGCTCAGTCCTTAAGGAGTCAACCTTGTTAACCTGTGTTTTCAAACAGACAACACATCATGTTACTTCCTGGTTTGGTTAGTTTAGTGGATCTTAACTCAAGAGGCTGTCAACCACTGAGAGCACTTGCCTTACAAAGACTTCTCATTGAGCTGCATTGGGAAGTCTGTGATTGGACAGTTACAGAAAGTATGGACAGGGTTAGAAGGGGAGGGTTTGCAAAGGCAGCAGACAAGACAACTGCAGGTTTTGTGTGCTGTTTTTAGATTTACCTCCATTGAAAAAATGTATAATTAAATGCATGCAAGTTTTCATTTGGGGTCTATCTACAAAACAGGGATTTTTTAAAATTTATTTTGTATTTGGGCAGTGGATTGTTGCCTTAAATTTATTTTATTAAACTATTTTTTTTTTTCATGCAGGTTGTGTGAGTCACAGCCAAGGGAGGTGTGACTATGGCAGCATAAACAGAAACAAAATAAATGTAACTCCTTAAGGACACATGACGGAAATATTCCGTCATGATTCCCTTTTATTTCCGAAGTTGTGTCCTTAAGGGGTTAACTCCTAAATGGCAAAGAATGGAGCAGTTAGGCTTCAAGTGCATGATCTATATATAAAAGATCATAAAGCTATAAGCTGTTTTGATGCCTCTAGTATCCCTTTAAGGCCAGAGTAGCCAAGTTGGAAACATAGCTGAATTGGGGATTTTTTCCAATTTATCTATTTAGATATTCACTTTGAATTATCTTTACATTCTCACTGTAGTAAATAACCTTGCAAATCTATGAACATTGGCTCCTGGCAAGTGAAGCCCCAGGAGCTGAAGAGAATCCATTGGATGCAAATAGAAGCGGCCACGATGGACAGCTTCAGGTAAGTAGAACTCTGCTTACCCTGCACCCTGTGGTTACTGGAACTAAGTGTTGAAGTTACAATTGGGGGTTTTTACAAATTATGGAAAGACCACTGAAGGTGTAAGAGCCACTTAGGCAAACATTGTATTGGTGTTTAAAGCAGTATTTTCCAAACTAGTCCTCAAGACCCACCAGCAGTCCAGGTTTTGTCAGTATTTCCATTGGAATAAAACAGGGAAATGCATACATCCTGGATTATTTGGTGGGCCATGATGACTGGTTTGGTAACCACTGGCTTAGACTGAGTATCCCTTTTAGTAAAAAGTGCACTAATTAAATACCTATACATCGGTGACCTATACATAACCCAAAGGCATTTGGGTGAAATATACAAAGTCCCAGGGGTATTGTGGTAGCCTATGTGTACATCCTTGTGTATTTAGCTGATCTATACATATACTAAGAAAGATAATATCACTATGTTAAAGGATTACTATAGGGTCAGGAACACAAACATGTATTCCTAACCCTATAGTGTAAAAACCACCATCTAGCCCCCATGAGCCCTCATGCCTCCCTAAAAATAGCAAAATATTACTTTTATTCAAGCCTGAAGCTCAGAATAGTCAAAACCTGTCTGCTGACATCATCAGTCAGCCTGATCAAATCACAATGCTTCCCCATAGGATTGGCTGAGACTGATAATGAGGCAGATCAGGGGCAGAGCCAGCATGATTTAAATAGCCCTGGCCAATCAGCATCTGCTCATAGAGATGAACCGAATCAATGAATCTCTATGAGGAAAGTTCAGTGTCTGCATGCAGAGGGAGGAGATACTGAATGTTTGGATGCATTTTAGGCAGCCATGACCCAGGAAGGAGAAATGTGCTGTAAGCAAAGTTCTACTTACCTGAAGCTGTCCATCGTGGCCGATCCGATGGATTCTCTTCAGCTCCTGGGGCTTCACTTGCTATTCACTTGCTATGTTCATAGATTTGCAGGGTTATTTACTACAGTGAGAATGTAAAGATAATTCAAAGTGAATATCTAAATAACAGCAATCTAAGGAGTGGCCAGTGAAGTTATCAAAAGATGGTGTTTACAGCAAAAAGCCTGAAGGTAATGATTCTACTCACCAGAACAAATTCAATAAGCTGAAGTTGTTCTGGTGACTATAGTGTCCCTTTAATATTAAATATACACAGTTCTGGCAGATAAGATCTGTAAATCTCAGTTTTGCACAGCACATTTCTGAGATTAAAGTGTCAATTGCATCAATGTCAGAGGCATTATAAACCACTGGTAACAAAAGTGTTAAATACATTCAAAGCTGCTCTTTCTCTCACAGTGCTGGCACCGGAAAATGATGCCAATTATTCCACTATTGTTCTGGAGATAGCAAGCCTGGCACCCTGATAATGGCTTACACAAAATAATTGTCTGTGTCCTTCCTACCACATCCCCTCTCTGATGTTTCTTCAAACAGGAAGGGACCCCACCCTAACACACGCTTTAATCACAGGCACACAGGAGCAGAGGTCATCCTCCACCTTCAGGGGCAAAGTACAGACGAAGTGGTGTGTACCATTAAGCCATCATGTTCCATTATACTATTTTGGAAGAGGGCACATAGCTAGTGAAAGTTTAGTAGGATGTTTCCTGAATTAATGTGAGATATATGCATTGGACACATGCCAGAGATGCTCACACCTCCCTGTCCCAGGAGTGTAAAAAGCAGCACTGTAATCTAATCACATGTAGAATACTATATATAATATCAGGTTTATAATATTCCAAACCAAGGAATCATTGGAAAATTACAACGGTTTTATTTATAGAATGTTTTTTTCTAGGTGTGTACTAGGCTGTTACTTGTAAAATACAATTTTGCCTCTGTATGTTACTATTGTTATTTTTCCCCCTTTCCACTTCTAGCCCCAACCCACAGTCCCTTCCAGCCTTCTTGCATGTTCTGCTATTCCTGCCCAACACAGTTACCGCTGTTCTCTTTTCATTAGCAGATGGAACAGAGCAGAGGATTCTGGGAAGCAGCACAAGCCTTAGAGCATAGATGGGTTTAATTAGTGGCAATCCCAGCAATGAAAGGAAAGCGACAAACACCCATTGAGAGAGGAAGAAAAGAGGAAGAAAAAAAAAGAAAAACTCAGAAAAAAGAGGGAAATGGCCGAGAGGTATGCTGTGTTTAAGCATTAAACCTTATGAGTCCTATAGGGATGGTTTGCTGTATTTCATTACTCCCATGACCCTTGAAGGGTTAGGTGATAGTAAATTGTGGATTGAATAGTGTTTAAATTTTTTCTTTTTCTTATCCTATCTTTTATGCAGAGTTTGAATAGTCTTAGTTATAAATTGAGTTTCATTCATTTAATTCTTCATGTGACCATGCTGCCCCTTTAATTAAAGACACTTTTATAATAGATGTTTCCTGGAGTGCAGCAATAAATTCCATGCAGTGCTGTAGTATACATTACAGGTTAATGAATGAGCTCTGTGGAAGGTGAAATTGGTAAGGTTTATTTATATTTTCATACTGCAAAACCAGATTGACATCCATTCAAAAAGTAGCACCGTCTCTCAATTACAAAAGTAAGTTAATTCAAATTCCCAGAGGAACGCTTTTTAGTTGGATGAAATGGTGACGTAGTGCATTAGGGGGATTCCTAGAAGAGAATGACATAGTTTCGAGCCCACAAGTAGGAGACAGTGCCAGTAATTTGAGTGCCCCCTAATTAGCACAGATTAGGAATTTCTGGTGTTTTTGTTATATATATATCATACTGGCAAATTATCAGTCTAATTGCAGTAACATGTTATGTAAACATGTAACCTATCACTTTTTAATTAAGATTTTCTGTGGCAAGAGAATCTTTTGCACTTTGATGGTATACACACACATATGCACTCCGCTTGTATGCTGGACAATAAGGGTTTATTTACTAAACATTAAATTCAACAGTGAATTGCAAAGTGTACACTCATATAGAGGATATGGAAAACTCCCCACCTTAAGCAGCTTTCCCCCAAAATGTAGTAGTTTGCTTTACAGTACACTAAATCACTGTTTAGTTAATAAACCTCACTGGTTTATTTAATGCATGGTGACATTAAATGAAGGAACTCCTACTTCTCCTGCATGCACCATTCCCCTAGTTTAAACATAGATGTTGACGGCAGCTTTAAACCACTTGGCAAATATAGCCTACCCTTCCAAACAGTTTAAGCTTTCAGCCATCACTGACGCTGTTTCTGAATCTTTTCAGGATATCTTGTCACATTCCTGGGCTTTTCGGAATCCCAGCCACTTTACTCTGCATTGATTATGTGAGAAGTCCATTCTGTCTACCACAACTTTCACCAAAAGGTAAAATTCTATTGTTTTGTCTATTTATATCTAAATATACATTTATTTAAATGCATCTGATTTTACAAGATTCCATTAATTTGTGTTTTTTTTGTTTTTGTTTTTTTTTCTAAACTAGAAGTCTAACCATTTCTGCAGGTGCAGGAATGGCTTGAAAACAAATCCTATTAGCTAGCCGTGATGTGTGTGTCTGTATACTATGAATGTAAAATCTGGTATTTTTGCTTTTACGTCATCTCCTTGAAATAGTTGTAACTGCTTGCCTGTTCATGTATTGCAGCAGTGAAGGTGTTACTTTTGTTCACAAAGGTTTCACAATAAACCTGCTTTTGCTTTATTCAAGTGACTGCTGCTGTAATGCTTGGTAACCCTATACCTACTGTTCCTTCTTGTTTTGCTACAACTGCTGACCTTTTCGGGGATTCCATCTGCATTAGAAAGGGTTAAAAATAGACACCAGTGAGGAGAAATGCTCTGTCTTTTTTAAAGCACTGACAGGTTTAACCTCATTCCAGAAGCCTCTGGCTGTCAGGTGTGGGGCGCATGTGTCAGTCAGATGATTATGATTTGGACACCCTAAACGGAATCTTATCTGTGCCGCCTTCTCCCCTCCTCTGTCTCTCTCCTTCCTGCCCAGGTGAGAATCGTGCTTGCAAGCAGGGTCCTGGAGATAGACAATGTGTGGTGAAGCCTGCACTGGACTTTGAGCAGGTAATAAACTGGGTGTCATTCCATCACTGAGAGAAAGCGTGTAAGATGTGTTTTGAAAGGGCTGATTGGAACTGAAGCAGTGGCATAGAGAGCAAAGGAGCTTTCTAGTAAGACTTTCCGAATTAAGCTGCTGGGGGGGGGGGAACATTTAGGACAAGTAGTGACTTGATAAACAGAGGAGGAAATATGGAAGAACATGTGAGAGAGAAGGTTAGAGAAAGAGACCAAGAGTTGATGGCATTTTCCTTTTGGCTCATTACCAGATGAATCTGGTAATTAAAAATCAGCACAGATAAATTGACTGCATCTGCTGGCACTCTGCCAAGCTGTGTTTGTCTAACTGCATGTCTCTAATCAATATTCTACCCTACCTGTCATACTTTTGTCTGTCTCACAATGTAGGGGTCCCTCCCCCCTTCCTGCTTATCTTTGATTCTGTCTATTTCCCACTGTCAGCCTCCTGCATACCTGTATGTCTCACTGCCTGCCTCCTTTAACCTATCTCTTACCATGACATTGTATTTCAATTCAATCACCTGTACCAGAAATGGGGATATCAGCTGAGTATCGCTACTTGATGATTTCCACCTAGATGGCAGAGCCTTACAAAACATTGTTCTATCCTTATTTCACAGGAGGTGGCAGTTTACAGGTTTACTTTATTCAACTCTTATGTATCAGAACCACTTTTAGCCAAATACCTCTGTCATATGCCACTGCTGCTTTATTGGCATCCTTTAAAAATGTCAAAAGATGCTCTGACTTGATGATCTTGTGCCCATCCCAAAAAGACATTCTTTGACACATCGACGTGTGGACAAAACAATGCATAATTATTATTTGCTCCTGTACTTTTCATTCAGCCAGTCCTTCAATATAACGATGCAAACAGCCGCATCTACTGTGAGCGAATATACCCGCGGTAGGTTAGTAACTGGGACAGAGAATTGCACAATTCTGGAAATAAATTCTGTGGAACTATGATGGCAAAGTGCCTCAGCTGCTGAAGCACCGTAGCTACGTTCATCCTTTGCCTGTCTTGCAAAGCATGATGGGAGTTGCAGTTCAACCGCTGATGGAGGTACTTTTGGCCATGCCTGCTTTAGGTAAAATACAGGGAGTTCATTTGGATTTGCAAATGTAAAGCTGCTTCTTGAGGAGGTGTACTGGAGCAACAAAGTAAGAATCATCGACTGAGGAGCTTTGTGTGTTAAGGAATTTATAACTGGTATAACAGTAGACCTTGCAGAGCAGGATGGGGGGTATCACTCAACACACTGCAATTGGGCGTATGGTGTGTAGAAGGAAGGTTGTGTCAGTCAGCAGAAACCTAGATTAAATTTCAGAACAGGATGGAGGAGCGTCTGCAGAGCTGTGTGTAGACTGGAGTGGCACTGGAATTTCTGTGTATGTTTCAGTATTATGAACATAAACTGAAAGAGTTAAACAATGTTCAGGAAGCCACTGGGTGGGTCAGACTTCAGACAACCAGAAATAAAGATGGAAAATGCTAATAAACTCAGCTAATAAGTAATTATCTGCAGGAGCAAGTTCTGAAGACAGGGAAAGGGTACAGACAGACGTGGAGGGTGATGCACAAACAATATTGAAAGCCATACAGGAAAGGAAAGACCGTGCACACCCAGAGCAATGTAACTAAGATGGGCTAGTGAGGCAGAAGGAGGGATGAGGACTAGGGAGGGACTCTGCTTTGAGGATTCAATCTGAAAAGCAACCTGAACGGAAGCTCTGAGAAGAAATTGAGTAGAAGAAGGGAGAGCGTGAGACTTAAAGCTTGCTTCGACATCAAGTGAGAATGTTTTAAGATCCACTGTAAACTGATGTTGTGGAGTCAGATATATTATTTGAAGATGGCTAGAATTCAGGGATTCATATTTTACCGTTCTAGGTAGCTGAGTTATGTTGTGGGGGTCTTAACTGATGCCTAATTAGTTCTCCTGTTAAGGAAGATATCCTGCTTGTTGCTTGGATACAGCTAATATTGGGGTATCGAATAGGAATGATAATGTTTGGATACAACTGATATTGTGTGTGTGTATAACTCATGCTGATCTATGAGAATCTTACCTTGGTAAGTGTCTTACTTAAAATTGTAAAGGGCTTTGGTTAAAGGGGGAATGAAGTAAACTTGTGAATGAGGTCGTAAGAGACTTTCTGGAGTGTATTCGGAGTGGATGTATTGTCGGATATATCCGTGTTGTATGTGTGTCTTTGAGCTGGAGCTGTGGATTTTTGAAAGGAGAAAATGAAGGAAGGCAGACATGGTTCAGAAGAGGCCCTCGAATGATGAAGAGAGGTGAGGTTTAATTTCATTGTGAGTAAGGTGACCTGATTCTGTCATGATATTCTATAGATGAAATGCGTTTCTGCTGGTGGCCTGATATGGCTTATTACATTTGACTAGCAGAATAATAGTTTGGTCCTGACATGTCTCGGTGTTATTTGTGTGTACAGTATTGTACTTTTAGCTACAATGTTGCTGCTTTATATTACAGCTTTATAACATTCCTCCGCTTTTGTTCTGTTGCTCTGGTACAGGAATAGTTCATTAGGGATATCCTGTTACTGAAAGTGTTTGCTGAAACTACTTTGGCTCTGGAGTAGTCCATTGAGAATATACAGGTACTGAAAGATTATTTGATAATGTGCTGATACTGATCCTCATGTGATTTTTCAGAAAATGAAATGATTGAGCAAAGCTCTGTGCCTGATTCTCTTACAGGAAAATTCAGATATGTGCTCCTGTTGGGAGACTTGTTTATTAATCAAAAATATGTCTGTGTATTATTATGAAATGATTCATTGGTGCTAACTTAGAACTAGGATGGTTTTAAATATTTTTCTACAATAACTATTTAATAGTGATTCTGAAATGACATAGTAATAAAGGGTGTGTGTGTGTGTGTGTGTGTATATGTGTGTGTATATATATATATATATATATATATATATATATATATATATATATATATATATATATATATATATATATATATATATATATATATGATGTGGATTGTTCAGTAAGGGCACTTATTTATGAGGCATTGAGGTGGTTTAGTAAAGATGTTGTATTACTGAGATGGTTCAATGTAGTAGCTGTTGTATTGTCACAGTTCAGTGAGGTGGCTGTGTTGCTGGCATAGATCAGTAAGAGTGGTTTCAGTAAGGATGTTGTAATGCTCCATTAAACCGTAAGGATGCTGTGGTAGTGAGGTAGTTCAGCAAGGATGCTGGGGTAGGTGGGGCATTCAGCAAGGATGCTGATGTCGGTGGGCATATCAATAAGGAGGATGCAGTGGTGGCTCATTAAGGATGCTGTGGCTGTATGGTGGCTCATTAAGGATGTTGTGGTTGTGGTTGTGTGATCATTCCATTTTGATGATGGTAGTGGGGTCATTCAAAGTGGATGATGTAGTGGGGGCATATCAGGAAGGATATTGTAGTAGGGTGGATAAATATGGGTTCAAATTTGTTCAAATTGATTCTCTACTACTTGGGGCATTGTTTAGAAGAAGAGGAGTGCTTCAGAATGGAGTACCCCATTAGTTCCCGATTCAACAATGTTTGACTTTGATTAATAAAGCTTAGGAGCATTCATATTAGAAAGACAATTCAGTAAAGATGCTCGTATCCATGAATGATTTACCAAGGATGTACAGAAATAGTTTTTTTATTTATTATTTTTTTTTTTTAATTATTATTATTATTTTATTTATTTTTTATATGAGTGATCTAGTACTGGACCATGATCTTCAATATGATACTGTGCTATTGGTGTGACTTGGCAAGAAAGCTGTTGCACATGTTTAGTAAAAACCTTCTGTTTAAGTATGATAAAATGTACCTGCTTCAGTAAAGGTTCTAGAATGACCCAGTAAGGACATTTTAGTACCAAGATGGTCATATGTATACTCTGGTCTTGAAGTTGTTCAGTAAAAATACTCTGTTAATGTTATAGGCACAACAACAATAATTTTGGTAATCTAGCATTATTTGGTAAAGCGGATCAGATGTTTAAACATTAAAGCAGCCCTGTACTGTGATGGCTCAATAATGATACTAGATTCCAGAATTGTCCATACTCTTCTACAAAGATGGTTTTGTAAGTATGCTTGAGTTTTGCAATGTTTCTGTAAGACTTCTGAGCGACATTTTTTTTATTATTATTTTTTTAATATATATAACTATGCTCTTGTTTTGGGATGACGTAGTAACATTCTAGCACTGAGATGGCCAATCACAGATGCTCTGCTACTGAGATGATTCAGTAGAGTGGATCTTCTAGTAGATGGGACGAATTACCTTTTTCTGATACTGATTTAGTTATGTTTGGAGAATTTGGCATCAAAATGGGTCAGTATTCTGACTTTGGCATCAACATTGTTCAGTGCAAAATATTTTTGTATGGAAAACAAAATTGTTCACCATGGATTTGTTGCTGCTGGAGTAAATGTTGCATAGTAAGTTGATTCAGAAGAGATTTGTTGATACTTAAGTGCATGGCATTGTGCTGCCTGGGTCCAAGGATGATATGCTGCCCCCTCCCCAAAACCAAAATATACCCACTTCCATCATGTTTCGTCAACATAATTTAAAACGAATATGAAACCTAATGGGACACACATAGTCACCAGAACCATTTCAGCTTAATGAAGTTCTGGTGTCTATAGCCTGTCCCTGCAGGCTTTTTTAAAAGGCAGTGTTGACAGTGCTGCCTAGAAACATTTCTAGTGGCATTCACTCAGACTGCCACTAGAGGTGCTTCCTGTGTCAACTGATTCAATGCGTCTCTATGAGAAGATGCTAACTGGAACAGTGTGTAATTTTTCCATGCAATAGCCTCCCAATGCTATTCCTATAACTCAAACCCCACCAATATTTTCTCATGTGCGGGTGCTCCAGACATATGTTAAAGCTGCTGAGAGCATCCTCTCTACCTAAGCTGGCCGCATAGAATTTACACCTTTGGCCGAGAGATAATCGGTATGGAGACATGCAATATGCTGCCCCTCTTAAAGTGCTGTCTGGAGCCATGGCCCCACTGGAACTTAAGGACAGGCCACCCTTGCTTAAGTGATTAACAATGATGATTTGGTTCTGGGAGTTTTTTGGTTTTGGTTTTTTTAAACTCTGATAACAGAATGTTTTAGTAAGCATGAGTTCTAAAACTGCTTCTATAATTATCGCATAGATCAATAAATTCAAAGATTGTGATAGCAGATATCCTGTGTGCTGTAGGTTTAATATTTTAATGTTCTGTTGGGACATACTGGCAATTCCATTAGAACTGCGCAGAAGGTTTTATCATGCTCTCTTACATGTTGTATTATTACTTTCCATTAAAAGCTATGCAGAAAGTTCTAGCATGATCTATTAATACTTGCCATTAGAGTCGTACACAGAGTCCTTCCATGTGCCCAACTCTGTTAACTCCTGCAATTCTTACTCCTAATTTAGAGGGGAAATGAATAGAAATGAGAATACGTACAGTATCTTCACCTTGTGTGTTTTTTTTTGTTTTTTTTTATATCTTCTGCAGTACAGGCTCCTTATGATGAGGAGGAGCAAAATGTTATCACAAGGACATTATTACACATAATGAAATCTTCAATGTGTTATTTGTTTTTTCCACTCAGACATTATTTCAGACAAATACTTTTTGTTTATAAGTAAAAATATGTCATCCTGAATTTTTTTTTTTTTTTTTCACCAAACGCCAAATTCTAGAGAATTGAAATTCTAATAGCAAAGTTTAGAGTTAAAGGTCTCTAAAAAAAATTATAATCCGTTCCCCTCCCCCACCACTACATTTAGCAGTATGATTTCCTCACTCCCCCCTCCATTCCCATAATGGTTCTGTACTTAAACCAAATAAGCCATTCACCTTCCTACTTGAAATAATATTCTCTTGTTTTATGCTTCATTTTTAATTAATCCTGTTTCCTTGCCATTTGCTCAATCAAGATATACATGAGGTTACTTTAATACAGATGATTCAGTAAAAATATTCCTGCACTAGGATGGTATGTTAAAGTGTCTCTGTCCTCTTTAGAGGTCTTTGCATTCTGCAAAGACTCCCTAATTTGACATCTCACTTGAGGTGAAGATACCTAGGTGTACAGAGATGTAAAAGCTTGAAGCTGTTCCCCATGGGCATCTCCATGTTTTTTCTTCCTCTCAAATGCCAAGAGCCAGTATAGCCAGTGCTGTACAAGAGTACAACACCAATATCTATAGAAGCCTCCATGGAATAAGTGTCGTGATCCGTGGGAAGGCGCCTGATTCCCATAGTCCCTAGCAACAGTTGGGGGGGAACTGACAGACGCTGACAGCAAAAGCACCTCCTCCTCATAGTAGTCCCTACTTTGTCTTATTTTTTTTTTTTTGACAATCTTTATTTTCAAGTTTTATCATTTTTTCAAGGAAAGATGTAGTAACGGTATAACGTCAATTTTAACATCAGTTTTCTGAATAGCTTAACAACATTCGTCACCATTGTTTTAACATTCTCAAAACAGTTTTCTCAGACAATATTTCTATAGTTTCCATCACATGCATTAGGTAGGATTATTTAAGGTCAGGTTTCTAGTCTCGCATCCCCACTAGCCTACAATGCGCAATTTATTGCACCTATGGTGTGCGCTTTACGTGTAGGGTATGAATCGGTGTCTAGTCTGGGTGCTGTGGGGGGTAAGTTTTCTGACACGCTACATTTCTCATTTCACGTTTCATACCAATAGTGTCCGGAACTTTTTTGTCGCTTGACATGTGTATATATATGTATATATTGTTGGGCATGGTATAGGGCCACGCTAGCGAGAAAAGATATCTTTAGTGCCTTAACTCCTCCCCAGACTACTCAGCACTTATTAACATTCAAGGCCATCTTGTCGCCTGGTTGAGAGCAAAGTGTGATGGTTTAGGTTAAATTCCCCACTATTGTGGGTTGGCAGTTGCTAGTGTATATATTTGTATGCCTATCGGTATAGTTTGTCATACGGGAGGATACTCTAGGTATCAGTCTAGGAGGCCATGAGGGGATATTTTCATGCCGGTATCAGCTCTAGGTTGGGTCTCGGTTTCCTGTGTATATTACACCTGTGATTACAGTGGGTGTGCGTATTGATAAGCCCCATTTACGAGCTCGTCAGAGTCGGTCGTTGGGGTTCAGTCCAATGTCCAGTCTCGGGAAAGGGTCAGGAGGTAGGGGACCTTGGAGGGAGGGGTGGCCGGGTGGCTTAGCTCTGTATGAGTCGGTCAACTGCGGGCCTCTGGGGGGCCGTGTTTGGGTTTGCTTATCTGTTGGCTAGGTATGTTTCCCAAGGGTACCAGGTCAGTGCACATTGCTCCTGTCTACCGTGTAGATCCGCAGTTAAGGACTCCATGGAGTGGATCTCTTCCACCCTTGTCACCCATTGCTGGAGGGTAGGCACCCCCCTCTGTTTCCACATCACCGGGATAAGGGCCTTTGCCGCGTTGAGTAGTGGCAGCAAGAGGGATTTCTTATATGTCTTAACGGGTGTGGGGGTGTGGTGTAATAGCATCGTTAGGGGTTCTAGGGTTAGCTCCGCACCTGTGATTTTGTTTATCTCTACCCTGATCCTCTCCCAGAATGTGGTAATCTCGGGGCACTGCCACCAGATGTGGAAGTACGTGCCGGTATGCAAGCCGCATCTCCAGCAGGTGTCCGGGGCACCTACGTTCATGCGATTGAGTACGTCAGGGGTTCTGTACCAGCGTGTTAAAATTTTGTAGTTCAGCTCCTGGTACTTGGAGCTGATAGAGCATTTGTGTGTGAGAGTGTAAATCTTGTCCCAGTCTTGCACAGTAAGGACTTCCCCCGAGTCTCTCTCCCAATGATCTTTAAATTTGAGCACCACATCTTCGTTAGTTTGGGTCTTGAGTATGGTATGTATAGTGGAGATACCTCTGTGTACGTGTGTTCGGTGTACGCACAGGTGTTCAAAGCTGGTGAGGGGTCTAGTCAGGTGTCCTCGACCATGTAAGGATATGAAGTACGTCTTAACTTGGTGGTATCTGAATTGTTCAAGTATCGTCGGTGGTCTATCTGGGCAGAGGTTTCTGAGTGGTTTAAATCCCTGAGTGTCGAGCCATTGGTGCAGGTACATCCAGTCTGCCTGCCGGAGGCCGGCTAGGTCTTGTGGGGTTAGAGCATCGGCCAGGTCTGGGTTATGTGTGATGGGTGTCAAGGGGCTAGGAGAACTTGTGAGTTGCAGTCGGTAGCGTATAGCTATCCACACTCGGAGCGTGGCGTCGATTAGTGGGTTCTCGGTGTGCAGGTCGTTGTATGTGGCTGTATGTAGCCAAAGCCTAGAGGGTATTTTTCTATCAGTTTGTTCTAGCTCAATGGTCACCCATTGTTTTAATGGTTGTTGTGCATGCCAGTCCGTCAGTCTGTGCAGGTGAGCGGCGCGGTAATATGTCTCTATGGAGGGCAGTCCCGTGCCCCCCATCAGTTTTGGTAGTTCCAGGGTTGATTTTTTAATTCGGGTTGGGCGAGAGTTCCAGACGAATCTGCGGATGGCAGTCGTCATAGAGCTAAAAAAGGCTCTGGGGAGAGTAATTGGCACTGTTTGGAATAGGTAGAGTATTCTGGGTAACACGTTCATTTTAATCGCATTGATACGTCCGAACCAGGAGATGTAATATGGGGTCCATTTCTTAAGGTCCGTCTGAAGTGAGAGTAGGAGAGGGTGATAGTTATGGTGGTATAATTGGGACGGGTCCTTGGTCAGCCATATGCCCAAATATTTTAATTTAGTTTCGCACCATTTAAACTTGTATTGGGTGTGAAGGTGTGTTGGGGGGCCTGTAGGGGGTGGGAGGTGGAGAGCCTCGGACTTATCCGTATTAAGTTTAAGATTAGAGAGTGCCCCAAACTCTTGGAAAGATGCTAGGAGGTTGGGCAGTGAGATCAATGGCTGTGTAAGAAAGAACAGCATATCGTCTGCATATGCGGCTACCCGGTATTCGTGACGACCAAGGTCAAATCCAGAGATTCCCCCATTCCGTCTGACCGCCCCCAGAAATGGTTCCAGGGAGAGGGCAAACAGGAGGGGGGAGAGCGGGCATCCCTGGCGGGTGCCATTCCTGATAGGGAAAGGGGCTGAAAGTGCCCCGTTAATGCGGATCCTCGCAGTGGGGCACGTGTACAGTGAGAGCACCCAGGCCAGCATGTTGGGGCCAAATCCCATGTGTGTAAGGGTACTCCTCAGATACGCCCAGCTCACCCTGTCAAAAGCCTTTTCGGCATCAGTGGAAAGTAGTAGAAGTTCTCTACGGCGCGCTCGTGCTATGTGTAGGATGTTCAGGGCCTTAATCGTGTTGTCTCTCCCTTCCCTTCCCGGGATAAACCCCACTTGATCCGAATGTACCAAGTGGGGGAGGTGTTTTGCAACTCTCAGGGCAATGGCTTTTGCGAATAGTTTCAGGTCTGCGTTTAGTAGTGATATGGGGCGGTAGCTCGCGCAATTCGTCGGGTCCTTGCCCTCTTTTGGTATTACAGTAACTATGGCTGCTAACGTGTCTGGGGGAAAGCGCCCCCCCTCCAGTATGGAGTTGAGGCCCAGTAAGAGATTTGGTAATAAGATGTCCCTGAACGTACGTAAGTACATCAGGGGCAGTCCGTCAGGTCCAGGGGCCTTATGGGATTTGGAGATTTTTAGGGCTGCCGCCAGCTCCTCCATGGTGAGGGGTTGGTCTAGGTCGTCCCGCATTTCCGCGGTCAGCTTGTTATCTATATTTTGTTCCAGGAATTCAGTAATTTGGCCGGTCTGTCGTGCGCGGGCAGCGTCAGTGTTGGGTTGGGGGATATTGTATAGGTCCGTGTAGTAGTCTACGAACGCACGCTGAATTCCATCCGGCATTCGGGTTTCAGCTTTGTCACTGGGCTTAATTTTGTGTATGTGGCTCGCCATCCGACGGTCACGGAGCTGGCGGGCTAGCAGTCTGCCACTTTTGTCCGAGTGCTCAAAAAAGAACCGGGCCGATTTTCTAAGGGTGCGTAGGAGACCCTGAGCTAATATGTCCCTTCTCTGTCTCCGGAGCGCTGTTAGCTGGAGGAACGTGTCCTCATCCTGACTTTGTTTATGAGCTTGCTCTAGGTTGGCTATTTGAGTGTTTAATGTTATCAGCTGTCGTGTATGTTCTTTCTTCCATTGTGTACAGACCTTAATATAGTGTCCCCGTACTACACACTTATGTGCTTCCCATACCGTCAAGGGCGAGACATCGGGGGTTGTGTTAGTGTCGAAGTATTGTGTTAGAGTTTGCCTAACCGGGTCAGTGTCACCCAGGTTAAGCAGCATATTCTCATTTAGCTTCCAGTGCCTTTCCGCTGGTTTGTGTAGTGGGGATTGGATCTGGGCCGAGACCGGGGCATGATCGGACTCCGCAATCAGGCCTATGCTAGCCTTGCGGAGTAGTGTCAGGGCTTCCTGTGCCAGAAAGATATAGTCAATCCGACTGTATCTCTGATGTACAGCTGAGAAATAGGAATAGTCCCTGCCATCGGGATGCGCCGCCCTCCAGCAATCCACTAGTCCACTCCTTGTCAGAGCTCTCCCGACTGCGCGTATGCAATGACCTGGTATTGAGCTTTCTCCCCTTGAGGTGTCTAATCTGGCGTCTAACGGAGTGTTAAGATCTCCTGCCATAATTAGTAAGCCCTCTCTGAACTTGTTGAGCAAAGTGAGTGTTTTATTTAGGAAGACATGTTGGTTACGGTTCGGTGTATAGAGGCATGCGAATGTGTAGGGCTGTTGTGCTATGGTTCCTTTAATGAATAAGTATCTACCGCCTGGATCTATTCGTTGTTCTGTGCATACGAACGGGATAGTATATGAAAAGAGGATCGCCACCCCCGCTTTTTTTTGGTCGGCATGGTTGGAGTAATAACCTGTGGGGAACCTTCTGTTTTTCAGGGTGGGGGCCTCCACGCCTTTAAGATGCGTTTCCTGCAAAAACGCCACCGAGATGCGTTCAGCCCAGAGAGTACTGAGTAGCTGAGACCGCTTCTCGGGTACGTTTAGACCTCTAACGTTGTTCGACCACAGGTTAAGCGGTGCCGGCACATAGTTAGTGCCCATCCCTAGCTATGCGTGGGAAGGGGTATGGGTAGGTCAGAGTATCACGGGGTAAGGTTCGGGGGGGGGGGGAAGTAGGGTAGTCCAGTCAAAGTCAGGGCAGGTTAGTGGGTCGGGATCTAGGTGACTACGACTCGCCTCGGGGTCAGTCGCTTCCCTGTGTCTATTCCCTTCGGGGTATGTCACCAGAGTAGCCCCCGAGGGTTTGTACAGTGTGAGTCTGTCACGTGAGGTACGTGGGTCGTCCGTTCTTGGGTGAACCGTCATCTGGATCGCACTGCTCTCACGGCACCCAGCTCACTGTATTTGTTTAATTGGAATTTTCCCTGTGGGTATGGTGAAGTAGTACGAGGGTACCCCCTCCCATTATCCCTTTTCCTCTCTGTTCTTGAGGGTCTGAGTATTGCGTGTCTAGTCGGTAATCGGGCCCTGTAGCTACCTAACGGGTCCGGCCTCCCCGGGTGTCCCCGCCCCGGCCTAGCCCCCCTGGCTTCGTGGGCTCAGGTGTGTTACCCGCCCCCTTATGTAGGTGTGTGCCCCCCTAGGAGTGGTATAAAGCCTGTGAACTTAATCAATAACAATAACAACAAGTACAACTGTAAAGACCAGACCACCGCTTCTGGCGTTCCCCGCTCCCCCCTCCCAAGAAACCATACCCCCCTCCTCTGCTCCCTATTCCAGCTGGGGGAAGTGGAGTCCTCTCCTGCCTGTTGGCTTGCTAGTCCCTTCTGGGGATGGGCGGAGCTTGAGTCTCGGGGCCCTCTGGGACATCATGGGACTGTCCAGACTTTATCCTGGGGTGCCATTCAAGTAGTTGGAGTCCGCCAATGCCTCCCCTCTACCCCAACCACCCAAAAGGGGGGATTCTATGGGCAAGAGCCCGAGTCTGTATAAATCTGGGGGGGATCCCCTCCGTGTCATCATCGTCCCCAGGTGGTACCTGATCCCCATAAATCCCACCACCCCAAGAAATATGTGGCCCTCCATAGTCTCAAGTCCCTGCAACTCTGACTTGTGCGTAACTGCTACGGGCCCAGGGTAGGGGTGTAAGTACATACCCAGCGGTGTGTCAGCTTCTGCTTACGGAGGTTGTTTCTCCGCATCAACCTTGGGGGAGCGCTCCGGTGGTCCGTCTCACTGCGGCGTGGTTTCTGGGGTTGAATGGGGGTGTGAAAACTGGGGTATACCTCCGTCGGTGGGTGCGCCGGTCGCTGCCCCCTAGGGCTCTTGAATCTGCTATTCTTCATGGCTATCCGGGCCACCTCTGCGGAACCCAGTTCCTGTAAGGCCCGTACCCGGCCTGATATTTGGAGCGTTTGGGCGTTGCGGCTGTCTCTCCAGGACCCAATTTGGGACTGCCACCGCTGGGAGGTTCGCGGCTCGGAGGAAGCGTGGCACATCAGCTGGCCAGCGTATGATATGCCATATGTTGCTCACCTTTGCCTGTAAGCTAAAGGGGAATCCCCATTTGTATTGTATCCGCCGTTCTCTAAGCAGGGTGGTTAGCGGTCTCAGTGCCCTTCTCGCTTCCAGGGTGAGTACTGAGAGATCCTGAAATAGGGAAATCTGGGCGTCCATGTAGGTGAGGTTCTGTTGGTTTCTTGCTTCCCTCATGATTTCGTCCTTTAACGAGTAGGAGAGCAGGTAGCAGATTACGTCTCTAGGCGGTCCCTCAGCGGACACGGGGCGCAGGGCTCTGTGTGCACGTTCTATTCCAAAGTCTGCAGGGGCTCTGTCCCCTAATATGTGTGTGAACAGGCCCAGCAGGAGCTCTGGTAGTGCTTCCCCTGCTGTTTCAGGGAGTCCCCTGACGCGGATGTTGTTCCTCCGTCCGCGGTTGTCCAAATCTTCCAGATTCCTTCTTAACTCCAGCAGGACATTGCCTTGTCTAGTAGTGGCTGTGTCTGTGGCTTGGCGGTGTTGTACTATTTGGGCACGTTCTGCCTCTAGTTCCTCCACCCTGCGTTCCAGTGCTGTCAGGTCTCTCCTCACCTCCATGACCTCCTCTCTGATTACTGCCCTAATTTCAGCCAGCAGGTCGGTCTTATCTGCCTTGGACATCATGTTTGCAGATATTGTGGCCAGGTCTGCTGCAATTTGGGTCAGTGACTCCTCTCTGGCTGGGCCTGTTGCTGGGCTGTCTGAGCTGCTGGCGTCTGGTGAGGGAGGCGCCATTTTGGCCGCGGCCTGGTGCTCCCGCATGTCTCGCGGCGTTCCGAGGTACCCGTCCATGGGACCCGCTGTGCGGCTCGGTGAGCCCGTTTGTGAGGGGCCAGGGGTGAGTAGCCTCTTTGTCTTACCCATCTCGGGTCTATTCGTGCTCGTTTATCGGTGCGGTAGTGAGCTGGGGCCTAGGAGCTGCAGGGAGATGCGTCTCACTCCATTCCCGGTCAGGCCACGCCCCCCCTACTTTGTCTTATATCTATTCTTTGTACACAGTCAATAAGCTTTTATTTTCTTTTTTTTTTTTTAACAGACAGTCACTTTAAGGATACTTTGGTACTGATTTTGGTTTATTGAGCATTCTACAATGCTGTTCTTCTTCAATACGGATACTCTGGTAATGAGTTCCGTAAGTATACTCTGGTGCTGGTATAGTTGGCAAGGATATGTTGGTGTCAGTTGGTTGAAGAAAGGATACTCTCATACTGAGATATTTCAGTAAGAGATGGTTCAGTAAGGCAGGGCCTGGGTATTGGTAAGCCTTTTCAGCAGAGGTGGTGATGGAGAATGCAGGGAGATTGTAGGCGGGCAGCCAGCTGGCTGTAAGGAGTGGAGGTGGAGAGCGAGCTGCAATCTTCTTGCTCCGCTCCTTCGTGTGCCATGCAGTGATGCCAGGAGTCGGAATATGATGTCACTCCAGCCCTGGTATCACTAAACAGCACGCTAGGGAGCAGCGCAAGAAGAGCTTGAAGATTTCAACAACCACACTAGACCCCACTGGACCTCACAGAAAGCCGATCAAATCCAACTCTCTCAAAGGTAGGTTGAGGTGTGGATGTGGCGCAAATCAGTGAGTGTGTCTGTGTAAGTGACAGGCCCCCCTCTGAAAAGATGTGTTTACTCACCTTTTTTCCCACGCCTTGTCAGTCTCGCTGTGGCTGGATCTGTCTCCATTGCTGAGAGAATCACTCTTAACAATTTCAGCCAAGCCAATGCAGAGACTCTAGCGCATGCACTAAAAAGCATCTCCTCATAGAAGAGCATTGAATCCATGCATCTCTATAGGGAGCATTCAGTGCCTCCATGCAGAGCGTGGAGACGCTGAAAGTAGGTACTGCCCACTGGGCAGCAGTAGACTAGGAAGCACCTATACTGGCCATCTGTCACGCTGTTAATAGAGGTGTTACTAGGCAGCAATGTAAGCACTGCCTTTTCTCTACATTAAGCTGTCATGGTTCTAGTGACTATAGTATCCCTTTTATGAATTGTATTTTTATTACTTAAATAAAGCTTTGTCAGCAAAACAAATAATAATAATAAAAAAATATATAAATTTTTTACTGACCCCTAGATTCCAAGCAACCTTTGTCAAGCCCTGTAGTACTCTGTTGCTGGGATAAAGATAATCTGGTAATGGGCTAGTTTAGTGAGTATCCTGTGGTGCTGGGATGGTGTGCATATCACTTTTACCCACATACTGGCAATTGTTCATTAGGGCTGGGAAGGTTTGTGTGGGTGTTTATTTTTTGTGTTGTGTTGCTTAATAATGATTTATTTATTACTTTTATTCTGATGATTTGGCATGGATGCATTTCACTCCTATGGTGCTGATGTTATAATATAATATTTCACAGAAGATATTTTATAGTGGAATCCAGCAGTAATTCTTCTTTAGTAGTGTAATTATTCATTATGTAGTTTGATATTGGGATGAGATACAAATAATTGTTATGCCTGGGTGAGAGTTTGGCATTGGAATGGTTCAGTTGAGGTGTATTACTATTGAAATAGCTCTGCAGTGTAACATACATACCAAGTGATTATGGTATTAGGGGTATTAGCGCTGTTCTGATTCACTGGTGATGTATTTGTACTGTTTTACAATGTGATATATTTTTTATAAACATCCAACAATTGTCCACAAATAAATTAGAAGTGGTTACAAACACCCTGATCAAACAAGCTTCTATCACACGGTGTAAAGTAGCACAGAAGCCAAAGTAAAATGACGTTTGGGATTTTAAGATCTGTGTTTTAAAGGGACCTTGAATTGGTTAAACTTTTACAGTGCCTACAGTGTCCCTTTAACAAAACATATTCCTTGCATAAGAGATATGACTAGTGTAAAGGTGTAGTATGGTCAGAGCAGAGTAAGAGGACAAATTACGTGACTTGAGAATTGGGTAGCCTGCTGCAGGTTAAGGTTCTACTTTGTAAGTTGATATGCATAGCTAAACAAGTGGGTTTTAGAAAAAGTTTACAAAGGATTGAAAACTAAGGTAAAGTTTGGAGTAAGGGGGTGAGTTACAAAAGAATGAAGCTAACAAGTGTTGGGGTAGGTCAAATTACAATTGTCGGAAGAATGAAGGGATTGTGAGGCTTTCTAGATGCTAATCTTTATGTAGTTTAGGTAGGTTGCAGAACTTTAAAAGTGAAAACAAGGATTTTAAGTTGAATCAAGTATTTCAAGTATACAGAACGCAAGTGTAAGGATTAACAAAGGGGTGAAGTGGCACACCAGTAAAGGAACACTCTGGGTACCATAACACTTAATCGGAATGAAGATGTTATGGTGCGAGGAGGTCATGGTTGCTGGCTTACCATCAGGGTAATGAATGGTTTAACCCCAAAATCTCCAGTCTGGCACCCGTCAGCTGTGCCCCTTCATTTCCAATTTGAGTCTGAGATTTCTATCAGAAAGCCTCGGATTGGGCACAGTTTATAGACTGAGAGTGTTATTCCGATATAATTATTTTTATTTATTTTTTAATACTTGCTGCCAGTCTCTTAATTAAGGCATGCAAAGTTTAAATATTATTTTACTGATTTATGCTACTTAAAGGAGTGTAGGACTATTCCCCCAGAATAGAGCCTACTTAGTCTTTTGTTTGTACCTTGATGTTGAAATGCAATTATTCTAATCAAACAGCACTATCACACTTTAACACTACGCAAAAGAGACACAGGCCTTTTAATCTTTGGAAATGTGCTGTGCAGGGGAAGGGGCCTGACTGCCAAGATGGAAGGATGCACTGCCTTGTACCTCTTTCACTTTAGTTCTAATCTAACGAATTGTAGCCCAAAACTATCTCCATCATAGACACCAGATAAGAACAGATCCACTTCTAAATCGACTGATACCCTTGTGTGTATGAATACTTACCCTAGATGTCACCATGTTAAAGGGTATCTGCGACTCATGCCTTTGTTTCTCCCACCCACAGCAGTTGGACTAGGCCACAGTCGATCTTTGACTTGAAGACCGCTAATATTGAGGCATTCGTAGTCCCTCTCCATTTTTGGACTGTTGGGGGTTTTCACACCCCCCTTGGTAAGTTTCCCCTGGCTGAAATATAAGCATTACTGCTTGGCCGCTCGTGGTACACGTGAATAAACCAAGATGGCCTTCTTGGTGGCCCCGTCTACACCAACTAGTGAAAATGCATAATGAAGATGGGGAAACCGCCTTTGACATGAAAAATGACGCCATATGGGAGACATTTTGGAAACATATCTATACCCATTCACTCATCCTCACCTCTAATGTGGCTATGCCAACTATATTTACTATATATCGAGCAGTTTCTCTTTACTGTTGCTTTTAAGTTTAAAGTACCCCTCTCTCATCATGCAAGTCAATTATCTGCATAATGAGTCTTCTCTCAGACAGCTATGTCTTACTTTAAGTGTTGTGTTAGTACATTTAATCTCATTTTAAATATGCAATACATTTTAAAATGAGTCAATGCAGCAACATGCAAACAACTTAGTGCTTGGTATCTTTATCTTTAACACCGACCTGTCTGGCAAATGCCAATTTATTTTTTAATTCTGTATTATGGTCTCAGCCATTGTGTGTGTGTGTGTGTGTGTGTGTGTGTATGTATGTATATCTCAATATCATTTTTATGCATATTACTGCTATCTTTCATGTCTGTAAATTTACAACAACAACAAAAAAATGAAAAAATAAATGTGCTATGCTTGGATTTTGAACTTGAAATCTTTAGGGCTACATACAACTGTATCCTGGCAGTGCTATAAAATTCTAGAGCTAGAAGTCCTGAGTTTGGACCCTAAAAGGCTGTAGGAAATTGATCTTCGAAGCTTTATACTTGTAGGACTGCACAGAGCTAGGAATCTAAAACCAGAATTGTTGGAACTAAACAAAAGCAGGAAAAACATCCTAAAAGCATCAAATGAGTTCTAAAAATGAGACGTAGTTGTATATAAAAAAAAAAATTAAGAAATCCTGAACCTCAAGTACTATACACATACAGAGAGGCTTTGAATTATCTTTGTGTTTGAATGCTGCTTTGGATTTATTGTTAGCTGTCATTCTATTTTCCTGTCATTATCCTATCTTTTCACCATCACAGTCTCATTATTCTTTCCCTTTGCACTCTTTCAACCAGCAAGAGACTAGGATCAAAGGTCCCTTCTGTTCTCGTATCTACGTACCTGCTTGCTTGCAGAAACACTGCTTCTTACCCACCCACTCTTTGAACTGGGTATTCCCAGTTTCCATGGGGTAGGCAAATAGTATGAAGAATTTTCTTGCACGTAAACATTACAATTCTCTTACCTTTACATAATTCCTGGAAGCAGATGCCTGATATACTGTTTGAGGTACCCTTTGAAAGTCATGGATGGGCATCGCATGATTCAATTGCCATGTATTTCAGAGTTGGGCTGAATGTTTCATGGATTTTATCTTATCACTTAAAGAACTATACTTTGAGTTCAAACGAGTTGAGGAAAGGCAGTGAGCAGTGCTGGGTCTTGCCCTTGGAGGAAAAGTAGGGACTGTAAAGTGATTTACTGCACAGTCGGAGCACTTGCGAGGAATGGTGAGTGGAGGAAGAGAAAGTATAAATAAACTTTGGGACATTGATGGTATTGAAAGGTAGCATGTGAATGAACAAAGACTGTAAGAAGAGGGAGCATTTTAGAAGGTGAGTGTGACATGCGATATGGAATGCAACAGAAAGTGAGTGAGAGTATTGGGGAGGCGAAGTGCAACATAAAGTCATTGTAGAGGGTTTTGAGGAGTGTCAACTTAGCGAATGTGTGAGAGAAGGGGAGATGTAGTCTCCCTCCCTGCCAGCTTCATTTACACTCCCAGAGGTGGGGTGTAGGTGAGTATGAAGGAGATGGGGAGATGAAAGGTAACAGAAAGCAAGTGAGATTGTAAAAAAAAAAAAAAAAGGAGCCCTGGAGTATATATTGACATGTTTAAAGCTCACAACCACGAGTAAATCTGTGTTTAGATGGGCATTAGGTAAGTGCTTAACGTGTGCAATTCATGGAGTAGCCATGACAGTAGGAAAATATGTAAGAGGTAGAATTGGGAGAGAAGATTTTATAGAGTGAGACAGGTCATGAAAAATGAAGAAGAGTGCATGAGGATTGACAGAATTCATTACGAGTGAGTATGGGGGTAGGAACAGAAGGGCCTCATGGGGAGGTAAGCCTGATACCATAGAAAATCAAAGTGAATTGATTGTAACGGGGCCTTAGTGTGATGGGAATGGAGAGGGGCTATATCAGCCTGATAATGAGCCAGTGTACTACAATTAGTGTTTGGCATGGGATGCAGTCCGTGAAGGGAAAGGTTGAGACACAGGCAAGAACATCTGAGGATCATGGAGACTAGCCAGTTTATGACTTGTGTAATGCCTTTTTTTTCCAGGGCACTTTAGCGAGATTAACCGCTATTCAGGTGTTAACGAAAATATGAAACAATTAAGAGTGTGCAATAAACAGAACAGACTAGTAAGACCTTTTAAAGGAAAATGCTTAGAAAAGTTGACCATTTTTGTGTTTCCTCACATCTATATTTCATTTTTTGTTTTCAGATCATTTTTTGGTCCAGATTGTTGCCATTGCAAGATCTTTCCAGCATCATGACCTGTTCTCCTGTATCCTCTTCCTCAGTACCAGGGCCTCTGTGATGGGTTCTGTATTCCTTTCCATGGTGCTCCATATTAATTGCGTTGTTGGAGTTTTCATACAAGTAACCTGCACAGCCATACTTTGGCATATCTCTTCAAAGGTTGAGAAAGAACGGACATCTAGTACAGATGCCACAAAGCACCAGGGCTCATCTAGGGCACTATCCACAGCGATGTGGCAATCAAAAGGATGGTCTGTTCTATGAAACCTATTATCGCCTGAGCCAGCAGTACCCAGTTATCCTGCTCTTGCTATTCATCGTTCTGGCAATATGTGTCTCCCTCATTGCCACTACTTTTGGCAGTGGGCGGGTGAGTGGAAAAGCTATTTTCTTCTTGAGCATGATTGATTTATTATAAAATGTGTGTGTGTGTGTGTGTGTGTATGCATATATATAGAATATAAAATATTTTGTTATATGATTTGATTTTAGTATGGTGAAGGTTATGTTGGAAATTCCAAAAATGCGAAAGTCTATGGAAGTCAAATATACAATGGTGAAGGGGCTAATGTTGCCAAATAAATAATTGCTACTATCGCTCTGTGTAGGTCATTCCACGACACAAAAAATTTAATAAATGCAATATTACCACAAACTGAACAATTAGTTTTGCCTTAAAAACAAATTAAAAGGTAAATCATAGTGCGGTAAATTACATATTTTTACACCTATGTACATTTAATTAGTCTACCTCATATGTTTTAGCAGGTTTGGTTTGAATCCCCAAATGAAATCAATTGTGTATTGTTCTTAGACCAGGCACTAGATCTGAAGAAAAATATGTACAAGACACTCTTAATTAACATATTTGGTTTCTTTCTTCTTTTCTTTCTTTCTTTCTTTCTTTCGTTTATTGAATCCTGTTGACAAACATTAATAAGTAATGAACAAAGTTGGTATTAACCATTGTAGAAGTATTACAAAGTATATAATATAAAGGATAAAATGTGGGTTTGAGATATAAGCACATTCCTGTTTCATGTTACATACAGTGAGTTAGCGTTTTGTATCATATGGTAAAAGACCCTAAACCCAATTGGTAGTAATCGTTGTAGAGTTGTTGCATAGTACAAACTGTAGGGTTGAGACCTTGGCACAGTTGTGTGACATATGATTTACAACAAATTATTGTTTGGATCTTTGTGCTCATGCAGTATACAGCAGGGTATGGTGGTTACTACTATCTCTGACTAGTAGGTTGGTTGCTCATTGGCAGGTGGAATAGCGGGGAGGGTAGTAGAGAGGGGAAGTGGTATTAGATTGGAAAGGGGATAGGAAAATCTCCCAGAGTCTAAAAGGTTGCGCGGCATGTTCTGTCAGTTAACATGGCATCAAGGGATTGAGTGGTCTACTAGTGTAGGTATATGTAGGCCCTGGCGAGAGTGAGGAAGAAGCTGGGGAGGGTGGGCGAGAGGGTTAAGAGATCGTATAGTAAGGGTGGGTAGAAGAGAAAGTTGTAGTGAGGAGGGGAAGGGGGACGTGAGAGAAAAAAACGGGGGTTGGGGGGAGTTTGCTGGGTAGTATATAGGGTTTGTTCCCGCCCCACTCAAACGACTCCACCGTCACCACCACATTGGTTGGTCTTCAGAGTAAAGAGGCCCTGGATTTGGTCCGGTGTTGTGTGGTACTATGGTGTTCAAGTTAAGGTCGGTTCCGCCGTTGCAGGAAGTTGCAGGTCAATCTCCAGTTTTAGTTATTTTGTCGGCAGCCACTGTATCCACTGAAACCAGATCTTCTGGTACGTTTGTTTCATTCCCCCTGCTGTCAGTATGAGTTCCTCTATGCTCCTGATGTCTTCTACTCTGGTGATCCAGTCGTCGGTGGAGGGGGTTGAGGTTTGTTTCCAGAAGGTGAGGCTACGTGCAGCGTTGATCAGGTATGGGGTGATGCTCTGGAGTCAACAGATGGCCCAGGTCTCTTTTCCAATGCTTAACGAAGTATGGGAGAGTCAGGATAGCTTGCGGTGTGATCAGAAGGCTATATAGCCGTGAGATGGCATGTGGCGGGGATGAGGGTTGGATGCAGAGCATCTCAAATGTGGTGAGTGGTCTAACGACAGAGGTTAGGTACTCGGTTGAGCATATGGGCTATTTGGTGATATCTAAATCTCGTCATTTGAACTGGAGGTTCCGGTGCAGGCAAATCTGAGAGTGGGGTGATGGTACATTTGTGAGTATGTGTTGTAGCCTGCCGCGTAGTGGTAGTCCGAGGCTGGTCATGATCCGAGTGGAGTAGAGTCTGCGGAACGCCAGGTTGCCTGTATTTTATTTATTTTTTATCATAAATGTATTTGCCAAAATAAAAGTATTTAAAAACCAGGTCTATAATTTAAACATCCATAGCACTAACACGTTTTAATGATAGGTCTTTATCAAAGTCCGATTATAGTCCGTCAGTGCAATCCTATTTAAAGGAACACTATAGGGTCAGGAACACAAACAGGTATTCCTGACCCTATAGTATTAAAACCACCATCTAGCACCCCTTGCCTCCCTAAATATAGTAAAATCGTACTTGTATTCAAATCTGCAGCTGTTGCCTCTGCCCTTGATCACAATGCTTTCTCGTAGGATTGGCTGAGACTGTCAAGGAGGCAGTTCAGGGGCCAAGTCAGCACAAGTCAAACTCAGCCCTGGCCAATCGACATGATTGAATCAATGCATCTCTATGAAGAAAGTTCAGTGTCTGCATGCAGAGGGTGTAGACACTGAATGACAGTACTGCCCCAGGAGGCACCTCTAGCAGCCATCTGAGGACTGGCCAGTGGATTACCCCTAGGCAGTAATGTAAACCCTGCATTTTCTTTGAAAAGACAGTGTTTACAGCAAAAAGCCTGAAGGTAATGATTCTACTCACCAGAACAAATTCAATAAGCTGTAGTTGTTCTGGTGATTATAGTGTCCTTTTAACTAGAAATTTACATGTTTATCCTCCTGCTAAAACTGTCACAGCCAGAGGTAAGTGAGACCAATTTAAATGTACATACATGTGTGTAAATATGCAATTTACTGAACTATGGTCTGCCTTTTTAATTTGTTTTTCAGGCTAAACTAATTGTCTAGTTTGTGGTAAAATTGCATTTATTTAATGTTCTATGGAACAGTTCCTTCTATGTCAGCCAGCTTATTACTTTTTAATTGGCAAACTATATGTAAGTATCATTGTTAATATTAATTTATGGCCTACCAGTACATAAGCGCAGTTGTGAGCCCACAATAAATAAAACACAGCCATATGTTGTAACTAAAAATGTGTTCATTGTAATACAAAGTAGCACTTACACAGCTGTGGCTTTACTCCTGTGGTGTGTGGACAAAATTGCTCTTTCTATACAGTATAGTAAATAACTTTAAAGGGACACTATAGTCACCCAGATCACTTCAGCTCAATGAAGTGGTCTGGGTGCCAGGTCCCTCGGGTTTTAACCCTTCACATGTAAACATAGCAATTTCAGAGAAACTGCTATGTTTACATTTGGGGTTAATCCAACTTCTAGTGGATGTCTTCCGGACAGCCACTAGAGGCACATCTGCGGCGATGGAGGCGAAATTCGCCTCCATCGCACAGAGTGTCCATAGGAAAGCATTGAGAAATGCTTTCCTATGGACACTTTGAATGGGCGCGCGGCACTTGCCGCGCATGCGCATTCGACTCCAGTAACGTCGGATATGGGAGCTGACGTCGGACGGGGAGGAAAGGTCACCAGCCCGGCGCTGGATTAAAGTAAACTGCTGAAGAGGTACCCTGGTTTTAACCCCTTCAGCGCCATGGGGGTGGGGGGGGTACCCTGAGGGTAGGGGCACCCTGAGGGCACTATAGTGTCAGGAAAACTGCTTTGTTTTCCTGACACTATAGTGATCCTTTAATGAAGATAAATAATAAAGACTATACTGTGGAGAACGTGTTTTTTTTATTTATTTATTTTTAAACCATACATTCTGCCACTATTGGTGATTTGACTCTTCATATCTCTTCATTTTCAGACATTTTCCGACAACCAGGGTTTCCTGGTGAGTGTCTTCTGTGCTCTAGGAGTATTCACCATCTTGTTCATCTTGGTATGCATAAAAGCCGTGCTACAGAAGTGTATGAAGACCATAGCTGTAGTTATCTGGGCTTGTCTCGTTACCATGGGCTATGCCTTCATATTTACCAGTGATGATGTTACTCCATGGGACCAGGTAAGCGGGAAAGTGGGAACACATGCTATATGCAGTTATAAGGCTTGATCATTTCTAACCATCTCTAACACTCTTAATGTTTTCTACAGCTTTCTTGTTTCTAGCAGATGGTCTTTGTTGGAGATAATTAGTATTTTGTTTTAGGTTTGAGCATTCTCAGCCACAGCAGAAAAAATATTTGATATAAAAAGGAAATTTGCACATATTTAAATTCCTACACTGTCTTCTTCAGTGTTATAAATTTACTTTGCAAATAGTAAATACATATCAGGTTCACAAAGTTTTAAGTCCTCCTTAAAATCTTGTTTTTTAATAGATTTCCACAGTTAATTGAAATATCTAATAATCACATAAAATTTGCACGTTTTTTGCAAATCTAAGGCTTTTCTCAGAATACACTATATATATATATATAATTTCCATACCAAAAAAAGTTATTTTCAATGTTTGCCTAATAACCAGTTTTATTTTGAAGACTGCAGCTTTAAAAGACTCAATTGTAATTCATTGTATTTGGCTCTACCCACCCACCCTGGTTCCTTCTAACTATATAGCATACACCTCCAGCTGCTTGGAACCACCAGCCAATTGCCTCCCTATTACATTCATATGTTACCAGCTGCTGCAGTTATACCATTAACTCTCTCTGCCATCACACACAAATTCCTCTGCAACCTCTTGTCTCATCTCCCAATTTTAACATTTAGATTGTAAGCTCATGGGCAGGGCCCTATACCTGTTGTATCGGTCTGTTCTAATTGGGTCTCTTTTTTTCCCAATTGTACAGCGCTGCGGAAATTGTTGGCGCATTATAAATGCCAGTAATAAATAATCCCCAGACCCTATTTCCATCTAGCTTATTCTATTGGCATTATTAGCTAGTTTATGATGTGTATTAATATCTAAGTTTCTATACCTAATAAAAAAGGTCATTAATGATATAATTATAATAAAATTAACTGTATTTTAAGGGTCTCTAACACAACACTCCTCCGTCTACTTTGCTGGGCTTACCTGTGCCTGATTCCACCAAACCGCTAATACCCAGGGCCAGCCAGTCAGAGGTAACACACAAACCGTCTACCTAGGTAGCAAGTTATTTTTCCATTCCCCGTCATTCCAGAAGTATGGATTTTACAGCTATTTGAGTACATACCATAATCAGTTGATCAATGGCCCAGCCTTGACCCCAACTCCCCATCCAACTACCGCCCTATCTCGCTACTGCCTTTTGCCTCCAAGATCCTCGAGAGAGTTGTGTACACCAGACTGACTGACTTTCTTGAATCCAACTCTTTGCTTGACCCCCTTCAGTCTGGATTCCGCACTGGTCATTCTGTCGAAAAGGCTGTGACCAAAGTATCCAGCTATTTAATTGCTGCTAAATCTCGCGGTCATTACTTTATCCGAATTACTCCTTGATCTCTCTGCTGCCTTTTACATTGTTGATCATCAACAGCTTCTTTGTATTCTCTGTAATTTTGGTCTACGGGTCTCTCCTGGTGCTCTTCCTACCTCTCCCAGTGCTTTTATAGTGTTTCTTTCTCTGACTCTGCCTTCCCCCCCCCTCCCCACCCCCAACCACTCTGTCAGCATCCCCCAAGGTTCTGTCCTTGGTCCCCTACTGTTCTCTATCTATACTGCCTCCCTTGGTAAACTCACCAGCTACTTTTGACTTTATCATTTCTATGCAGATGACACGCAAATCTACCTGTCCTCTGCTGATCTCTCTCCGCCCACCTTGACTCGTGTCTCTGACTGCCTTTCTGCGATTTCCAACTGGATGGCTGCTCACTTCCTTAAACTCAACCTGTCCAAAACAGAACTTCTGATCTTTCCTCCCTCAAGTGTTACTACTCCCATGTCTCCCTCCCTCCAAGTCAACGGCCCGCTGCCTGAGTGTTCTTTTTGACTCCAACCTCTCCTTCACCCCTCGTGTCCAATCAATCGCCAAATCCTGTTGCTTCATCTCAAAAATCTAGAGCGCATCCGCCCCTATTTAATGCCAGATGCGGCTAAGGTGCTGGTCCATGCTATTGTTCTCTCTCACCTTGACTACTGCAATACCCTTCTCAGTGGTCTTGCGTGTTCCCAGATTGCACCACTGCAATCTATAATGAATGCGGCGGCGAGGTTCATTTTCCTGTCCGCTTCGCACTTCCCACGCCTCCCCACTCTCAGTCCCTGCATTGGCTTCCTTTTAGATATAGGGCTTAATTTAAAATTCTGGTGCTTGCTTACAAGTCCCTACATAATTCTGCTCCAACCTACCTATCCTCCCTAATACACAAGTATGTCCCGTTGAGGCCCCTACGCTCTGCCAAAGACCTACGTATATCCTCTGTCCGTACTCTCACCTCTAATGCTCGCCTCCTAGATTCCTCCAGGGCTGCACCTCTTCTGTGGAACTCCCTTCCTTTCTCCGTAAGAATTTCACCCAGTCTCCACTCATTCAAAAATTCAATGAAAACTCACTCTTCAAGAAAGCATATCAATGAAACTGTTAGCAGGCTTTTATCCCCCACCCCCCATGACTCCTCTCCTGCAACTGTCAAAATTACCTAATAAGCCCTCAGTGAATACCTTTCTAACAACCTACTTCATACTCCTACTTTTACCCTTTGTTTCACTATACCCCACTCCCTCTAGAATGTAAGCTCATTGAGCAGGGCCCTCCACCTCTGTTCCTATACGTCCAGTTGTCTGGTTACAATTACATGTCTGTTAGTCCACCCATTGTACAGCGCTACGGAATCTGATGGTGCTATATAAATAATAACATAATAATGGCACCAAACACCATTGGGCCGGCTTGGACTGTGCCAACCCCTTACCCACCCACCCAGCTGCTTAGCTGTTATTACCTTTCAGAAGTCTCTACTTTTTCTTATCCCATTTTTACAAACTACATCTCTCCAGAAAAAATACACAGATTTCGCTTTCATGTACCAACTTTTGGCATTTCATTCACAAACCACACCAGTGTCTCGTTTTGTGGTAGATTTGACAGGTTGCTGGTTACCTACATGTGTTTCAAGAATCCTTTGTAAATGGACATTCATTGACCTTTTCCCAGCTAGTCAATAAATAATTATTTATACCTCTTTCAGCATCTAAAGGGATACCTGGAGAGCAGCCAATAAAACACTCACATCTCCACACCTGCTGTCACATACAATGTTAAGGTTTGTAGGAGTAGGTCTCCCGCAAATAATAAGTAATTAGTTAGTTACTTTCCCAACTAGCAATTTGGACATTTTTCTCTGTTTTTATTTTTTCCCTTTATTTCTTCTCTCATCATACTACACTGAAGACTTCCTTCCCATCTACTCTGTCCCACTAGATCCTTTTCCATCCATTACAAGTCTTCTCTGCCTCTTTTTTTTTTTTTTTTTTCTCAATCCCAGTGGATGCCTGACACGTGTTTGAGCAACGTCGGCATGTAATATTTTATTGCAGTGGTGTATAGAGTGAAAAAATAAAATGGGAACTGGTGATATGCTGTATTTACTATTTCTGGACACTACATACATAAGAATAAATAAATAATTTACATTTTATTATTTTAATATATTATCTATAGGGTTTTTTTTTTCTCTCCTATGTAGATGCCTTAATATCTTCTGTGTAACAAACCTGAAACTGTATGCAACAAAGAGGCAAATCTTGACTCTTGAAATTAAGTTTGAACAACTTTTCTGTAATGTTTTCTTTTGTGTGTAGGTTTATTGGACACTGTTTGTGACTATAAGCTTGTACACCATGCTCCCTTTATGCATGAAAGGGGCTATTTTCGCTGGAGTCTGCTGTTCTGTGTCCCACATCATCGTGCTGAGCGTTTATGTGTCTTTAACACGTCATCCACCTGCGGGGAACTTTGCTGAGCAGGTAAGAAAAACATTAACCAAACATGTTTTTGGTTTTATAAATTTTTTTTAATCATTAATAAATATAGCTTCATACCATCAATAATGTATTTCAAATCATCCAAATGACTAAATGTTAAAATGCCTAATGACTGCTATTATAAGTCCCGAATGCTGTCCATAAATCATTCCTTGTATAGGAGAAAGGTAGTCATGCCTGCTTTCTTTCTTCTTTTTCTCCCTTATTGACAGATGATAGCTGATGTTGTCATCTTGCTGTGTGGAAATGTTGTGGGGGGGTATCACAAGCGTGTCACTGAAAGCGCACTGAAGGATACCTACCATGAAGCCATCAACTTCATTAATTCTCGACGGAAGCTGGACTCCCAAGAGAGACAGCAGGTGAGCTGTAAAGCGGGTCTAGTGGGTGACACCAGAAGAGTTGTCTATAAACTGAATTTAGCATACCATGCTTACTGAATTAGAAGAATAAAATTGGAGGGGGAAATAAAAATGAAGAGAAAAGGGCTGAAATCGAGGAAGGGGCATGAACCCAGTGATTGAAGTTTAGAAAATTGCACAAAGCAAAACATCTGCCTTATAATAGTTAAAATATAACATATTATTATTCCTTTTTAAATGCAATAAAAAGTTATATTTTAACTATTATAAGACAGATTTTTTTTTTTTTTTGCTTTGTGCAATTTTCTAACTTGGTTACATTTCCCAGAAAATAGAAAAAACATGTGTTTCTTATTAAAACGATTTCTCACAATACGTGATGAAGTGTCTTTTTATTTTACCAGGTGAACTGTGTGTCAATAATTCTTTGTGATAGCACAGACTTTTAGTGTTAATATATTGTGTATTGCCACATTATTTGGGGCTGGCAAAGTAAGTACAATTGCACATAGCCTTAAAATATGGCATTTCATGTATTTTCATTCTCTGTTGATATTTATCTCGTTGGTGAATATAACTTCTTCTTGACAAATATGCAAGAAAACCAAATTAAAATCTGGGTGAGAGCTCCTTTCAACATCCAGACATTGAATCTTGGGCATTTCCATCCAAGATTGAACCTAATTGGAGGCCATGAGCACAGACAACTTCCTCTGAATGTTTTATACTTGCAGACAGAATATTTCCAGATAGGAGGATGATATTAGGCCCTATTTCTATGACTTTAAATAATTTCAGACCACTTTGACCACTGGGACTGCCAAAGTGAGTACTAGCCTTTATACCAGAGTCTACTAGAACAGGAGCTGTGAGTTGCACTGAATCCTTTTGGAGATGTCGAACCTCTTCTCTGCATTAGAATTATAGATTGAAATGCTAATTACGTGACACTATGCCTGCAGTGAAATATACCAAAGTTGGGGGCTGAACTCTTAGGGAGTTACTTTACCAAATAATCCAGTGAAAGCACCAGTGATCCTCAAAAACTGTGTGTGATCTAGTACCACTGGGGCTCTCAACAAGGCATTATGGCATATCAGGTATTCAAAGGTCAACTTGAAGTGCATAGGAGACCCAGAGTTGTTTTTCAAACTACTTGGGTTACACCCACAGGCACCCTCTTCAGTGAATGAAGTGATGAGTATTAATGGTGACCCTGACAACTCTGAAAAGGCCATTAGACCATGACCTGAAGAAGCTGAGAGAACTGAGACTTGGTGAAAAAAGATGGTAGTCTGATCAAACCATTGTCCAATCCACAGCATAGTGACTTTGACTAGAACTCAAAAGGTAATTGTGCCATGACCCTCCTAGAGATGCTATGCAGCTAATTCTATGCTGCCATGATAGGCTGATGTTTCTAGCCTATATGAAGAGACTAGTTTTCAATAATGTACAGATTTTTATCACACTTTTACAGGAGACCCTTATGATGATGCATACATATGGTTTAAATAGTCTTTATAGTCCATGTGGTCATGTTAAGTATTTCAACTTAAGTCTTCCCTTCATATTTATTTAAAAGGCTACGGGATGTTTGATACTAATAATACATATGCAATTGGCATAATTGTCACTGGAATACTCAGGGCCCTTATTTATAATAGCTAATAGTACATAAAAGCATGTGTTAATAGCTATATGTCGAAGTCAGATTGTTATTCACAGACTCCGTTATTGAGGAGCATTTCATATACCGTACAGCCTTGGTTTGATGAGGCAGGGGTTGATTTTTACACAAGCAAATGCATTTACTCTATCAAGGGATGTGGGTTACAGTGCATTAAAACTTTATTTTTATTTTTTGTATTCATGATCTGGAGATCTAACTCCTACTTCTAATGAATTGTTGCTTCCAGGAGCACTTGCTGCTATCAATCCTTCCTCAGTACATTGCTACAGAAATGAAAGCGGAGATCATAGAGAGACTAAAAGAAAAGAGACCAAAACCGGAAAATACCAACAATTTCCATAATCTGTACATCAAGAGACATAAAGACGTAAGGTGAGAGACACATCATCTAGCTTCCTGCATGCCCCTATTATGTGATGGCCATGAGGTATGATACAGTTAAATAGTATAATTGACGTGTTCTTGCTTTGCAGCATTCTTTATGCAGACATTGTGGGCTTTACCCTACTCTCCAGTGAATGCTCTCCTAAGGAACTGGTCCTCATGTTAAACGAGCTGTTTGGAAAATTTGACCAGATTGCAAAAGTAAGAGACCCATTAGTTTGGCCAACTTATGATGCTAGCCATTGATATTGAATAAGGGGAATAAATATACATGGGCCATTCTCTTCTCATATCACTTTAACTATGTTTCTAATCCTTCCCTACATTTTTTTTCTATCATCAGGGCTTTATTTAAAGTATATTCTCTGCACACTCCTGAAAGCCATCACACGCCAGCATGTATAGGAGCTGCTGGTCTGATTTTTGTAGTGGAGTGTGCAATCAACATGATGTGAGTCTGTTTCCTATCCTGGCAGAGTGCTTGGTTGAATGTATGTTAAATTGTTTTGAATTGTTTGAGAGTGATTAGTTCTGAGACTATTGGAAATCATGTTGGCAACCTACGTAAATCCTGCATACAGTCACGCTTGAGCAGCGATAAGCATTTTGTCACACTATGGCATTCCAAATGTATGAAGCAGTGCACTGGAATCTGAAAAATAGGCAAATGTTAGTTTTCACTAATTACATGTTTTCTGACATTTTGCTCTACATCCAATGTGTCAAATTGGCAGCAGCAAATTCTGCCCCCAAATTTTGGTTAGTTTGGTTCCTTCACTTTAATCCATATTTACTAACAGCTGAACTGAATATCTCAAACTTAATTTTAATATAATTGAGCCAAATCAAACCTTTTTAACTGGCCCAATTGGCAGCATGTAAAGTTGGTAAACACAGGACTAAGAAAAGGGAACTAAGGTCCTTCATAATTAAACATGGCTTCCTCCTGGTGGCTAGGGGTTTCCTGCACACCTCCAAATTAGATTGTCATGAACATTTCATTTGTAACATTTCATTCAGACTCTCGATTGCATTTCTTTCTTTTTTTTTTCTCTCTATCCCTCTGTTGCAACACCATAGGGTTGTTTTTTTTTCCCCCTAAAATGCCTTTGTAGTTGGAAAGGGGCAGGAAAATGAATCTTGAATATTTTTCTATTCTCAGAGCATTTTGAAGTCTATAATTGCAGACTTCTATGTGTGATAGATTTTTGTTTTAATTCCTAATTAATAAGTATCTGACCATGTTTAATTTCAAATAATCTAGCAGATGAGAAAACTGTAGACTTGTACATCTTACAAGGTTATTTTCTTAAAGGGCCACTGTAGGCACCCAGACCACTTCAGCTCATTAAAGAGGTCTGTGTGCAATGTCCTATCACTCAATGCTGAGCATGTAATTATTGCAGTTTATATAAACTGCATTAATTACCTGCTAGGGTTTACTCACCCTCTAGTGGCTGTCTATCAGACAGCCACTAGAGGTACTCCAAATCGACCGTTGGTCGCGTAAATGACGCTGGATGTCCTCATGCTATGAATGATGACTTCCAGCATGACCGGAATCCCCACAAGAAAGCATTGAACAATGCTTTCCTACAGGAAATGATCTAATGCGAGCACAGCCACTGCTGCGCATGTGCATTAGGTCTCCCCTGCCGACTGACGTCAGTGGGGGAGGAGCGTGGGCAGAGCCAGACCAGCGCTGAGGGACATTGGTGCTGCACCCAGGTAAGTGACAGCAGGGGTTCTTAACCCCTTCTGCACTGGGAGGGGGTGGGGGGCTTGACAGAAGAGAAAGCTATAGTAGCAGGAAAAGTTTTCCTTGAAGCGGAAAAGAAAATTTCAGTTGTAAGGCAAATATAGCCAAAGGGGAAGAAACATAACTGACTCTATTTTCCTATTTTAGCATTAAATTTGAAATTAACTTTGTATTCCTGCCAATGTTCACTTTAGTGACACCCAACCGTATCTCATTGTCTATGTTTTTTGTTCCTCTTTATTAATTGTTGCTTCATTACACGTACTGATCAATGATTGTACCTTCTGCCACTTTAGGACAATGAGTGTATGCGCATTAAGATTCTGGGAGACTGCTATTATTGTGTATCAGGTCTGCCTGAATACTTGCCAGATCACGCCAAGAACTGTGTTCAGATGGGATTAGATATGTGCCAAGCTATCCGGTGAGCATCTAGTTCTTTCCGTTCTTAACAAAGCCGTAAACTTATTAAAACATGAAAACAATACCTTGACATACTGCTTCTATGCTCTACTCTTTGTTTCTTTCTTCACTGTATTAAGCGATTGTAGATGATTACACTCACTTTTTGTCTCAGTGAATATCCAGTAATAAAGGACATGATCGTTTTTGCTCCCTTGTATTACACGGAATATATCTTGATAAAATGTGCATGCTGCATTTGTTAAAGCTGCCATTGCTCTGCCTCTCCAGGAAGTTACGTAAAGCCACCGGTGTGGATATTAACATGCGTGTTGGAGTACACTCTGGCAATGTTCTCTGTGGTGTGATTGGGCTCCAGAAGTGGCAATATGATGTTTGGTCACATGATGTAACACTAGCAAATCACATGGAAGCTGGAGGTGTCCCAGGGTAAGGGATTGAGACTCTGTGCTGATTATTAAAGACCTTGATATCTCCTCTCTATTGCTGCTCATTTTTTGCCGTTATTCTACTCTTCATGTAGGAGAGTCCACATTACAGAAGCTACCCTGTCACACCTAGACAATGAGTATAAAGTGGAAGATGCAACTTCAGCACAGAGAGACCCCTATCTGAAAGAAAATAACATTAAAACATATTTGGTTATTGACCCAAGGGTGAGTCACAAGTAAACTATTGTTTGTATTAGACACTAAATGACTTGAGAATTAAAAAAAAAAAAAATTGTTACTGATATTTTCCTGTTTAAATTTTCAGTGTTGTCTGCACATCCTCATCTCAAAACATAGGAACCTGCTCATTTATTTTTTTAGGGGGGATTCTTTGCAAGAGAAGCAGGTATCTGCTGTGTGACTAGACAAGTAATGTCTGATTTGGACAAGATCCTGCTGCATAGTAATATATCTGATTTTGCCTTAAATACTAATGGAGGGAGGGTACTATTATTCGTTTCTAATCTCCATCACATGCAATTTTGTTTTCCTATGACATTTTAGTGTCAGCAAGTACATTTCCTGTCTTCTGCAGCCATTTTATGTAAATACTTTTTTCATATATGAAGATGCACACCATATGTAAAGCTTACATTTTGTCTTATTATTTAGGCTACTGATTGTGAAGGTGAGGATATTCTAACTCAAAGACAGTCAGACAGCCAGGCCCCCAAAACGAGGGCTTCTGTCCGTATGACACGCTATCTGGAGTCCTGGGGAGCAGCTAAACCATTCGCTCACCTCAATCACAGGGACAGCCTGGTCCCAGAGCCCACAAACACATCATCAAATCGGGTAAGGAGGCATGCTTACAGGGCAGTTTGGGCTTGCCATGTATGCATTTGAAAATGCAAACAAATTAGCTTTTCTCCTAATTTAGTCGTAATGATCTAGCAAAAGGCCCATATTGCAATACAAGCATGTTCAGCTCATTAAAGTGGTTATGTTTTTGTGATGGTGGTGGGGGGAGGTTAGTAAAGTGGTGACTTCTCTTAACATAGCATTTATGTAAAATAAGGGTGTAGAGAAACTATTAACCTGTAAAGCACTTCAGCAAGCTGAAATGCTTTAGGGATTTGTGGTGTTACTTTAAAAAATAAACAATGTATACTATTTTATTATTATTTGCATTTCTGTCCTCTTTTATTTTTTTTTTTTTATATTCTGCAGGACCTTGCAATGTCTTCTCTACCAGCAGTGGGGAACCAGGACAAGTAGGGATAGTAAAATGTTTTTCTACTTCTGCTCTGTGCTTCATCATTCTGTCCTGTTGTCTCTTGTCTCTCTCCCAACTTCCTCTGACAGTGGACCATGGATCTTCCTGCAATGTTTCATTGTGTGACTATTGCTTTGAATCTGTATGTTGCCCTAAGAACTATGTGTTCATTTCTCTGTTCTCCTCTGTGTTTCAGTGTGTCCATATATTTATATACCATGTATCATTTACCCCAGACTTCCTCTCTATCCTGTTGACTTTTTTTTTTTCTTCTTAAACAGGTTCCGCTCTCCCAAAGAGCCAAATGAGCCAGGGAATGACAGCCTCTTTCAAATCTTAGAGGAACTCAACTCACAAAGGTATACATTTTAAAGAGACCTGTTGAGTGCCACCTCTCAATTTGTACTTTGAAAATAACTGGCATACCCTTTGCTTCTTACAGGCAGTGGAAGAAATCAAATGACTTCAACCGTATTACTCTGTATTTTAATGAGCCACACATGGAGAAGGAGGTACAGTTTTCATCAGGTTTTGTCTGGGCCTAGTATGTAACTGCACATTACCAGGCATGAATACACAATGTTAGATAGTCCCTTAATATTTAGACACAAGTCATCTGCTCACCGAGCCATTACCTTTTCCTCATCATTCCCTAAACTTGACAAAACCCATGTAGTTGGTAACAAGTGATCTATACAATCTTCTAAAATAGTGCCCTGTGCCTATCCTAACAGAGATGGGGTTGGCAACTATGAAGCAGCTAGGCAAACCTGGCAAAACGAACACATTCTATAGAAAGAGAAGAAGAAAAAAAACTCAATTGGATAAAAAAGAAGAAAGCAGGTTTTGATCACTAGGCACGTATGGGATACATAATAAAAGATCAAATTCATAGACTTTATATGAGAGCATATTGGAATTTAAATAGCGCAACGGGAGGAGTTTTGGAGAATTTACGTGAAATGTGGTATAAAGGTATGTAGAGAGGAAGTATAAGGAACAATATGAAGTTTAGTAGCAAGATGTTACTAGAGCAATATAGGGAGTTAATACAATTGGAAACCATATTGGCAGCAGCAGCAATAGGATATATAGTGTGAAGTGATATAAACAGCTGCAGTATGCATAGGGTGAAACACTGTAGAAAGCAACACTTCAACCTACAATTCCACCTGATCTGGCATGGTTATTTTCCACAGTACCGACTCTCAGACCTACCATCCTTTAAGTATTACACCGCATGCTGCTTCTTCATCTTCACTTGTAACTTCACTGTCCAGATGCTGGTGTCTCACAAGTAAGTGAAACTGGTTCATGCACTCAAAATCACAATTTTGTCTCCCTAAGCATGAGAACGGGATGATTTATCCATTCATTAGCAGTGTAACACTTTGGGGATATTGACTACAGCAGGATTGTTATTCCCCCTTGCTAGTTATAAGTTTTATAGCCTATTCTGGTTAGTAAAGTGACCTTACATATTTTAGAATGTAATGTTTTTGCAAATACTGCTGTCTGATCGAAGACTTGAAGCAACCATTTATTCATAAAATCAGGATTTGAGGAGAATTGATAAAGGAACTTCACATAGCTGAGCTAAACAACTATTCTCTTTTTCCTGCTTTGTTTGTCTTGTTTCCTTGACAATTCTTCAGAAGTCCTGGGTTCGCATAGAAATTTCGTTAAATGTACCTAAACATTCTTATTCAATAAAGTGACAGCCGGTCAATGCGCCCTCTGAATTTTTCTTATTTTTACGGGTATTTTTCTTATGATTGGACATGTATAATAGTTAATTTGTCTTTGTTCACTTACTGTGTCTAAACTTCTGTTGTGACTTTAGAAATGCAGCCCTTGGGATCTCGTATGGCATCTCCTTCTTCCTCTTCCTGCTTTTTCTCTTCACCTGCTTTGCAGGAGACCTTGCAGTAAGTAATTTTTACATACACGCACTTTAATCTTGCTTCCCACATAATGTTTCTTTTATATCCTTTGATTGATTTGATTTGATTTATTAAATATGTACCTTGAAGCTAGTAATAATGTCTAGACCTTAAAATGTATTTGGAAAAGATAAACAAGCTAAAATTGAATTCTGGTTATATACTTGGATATGATTATTGTAAAACTAGTGATCATGGGGGAAAAAACTATGTAAGATAATAAAGACAATATTGTGATCATAACTATATGCTAACTGGAGTACAATGGATTGCTGAGGATGCTTGTAATGGCCTAACTGGGCCCAAACCTAGGGCAAACGTCTATCCCAGTGAATTAACCTTTTGGTTTGGATGGACTGTAATATTTTGTGTGCATTCCTTAAAATGTGCTTTTTAATAAGTATTTTAGCATTAACATTTTCATTCTTATCTGGCAATTAATTAAAATTAAGTTAATGACTAGAAGTATGCACACCTCTTATACGGCTTCAAATGTATATGATATGTATACACAGTGGATGAAAATGAAGTAGATGTGTCTTGGAAATGTGACTCTTGTTGGGAAGTACTATACTAGACATAAGAAGGTGACTGCTGTATGAATTAGATTGGCAGGGAAAGACCTCCAGCATCCACTAGTAACTACCCTACTACCATATAGAAGTATCAGAGAAGTTGATCAGTCTATTTTTAGATTATATTATTGATAAGCCACTTCTGCCAGAGCAGAATTGATAACACACAAGAAATGTACAATATGTACACTGTTCTGAAAATTGTTCAGATCGGTTTTGAACACACTGGCATATCAATGTCTGTTTAGAACACAGCAAATTAGTGTCACACTTCTCCTTTTTATTCATCACTACTGTTATCAATAAACTTTTTACCTCTGACGTAATTTTAAAAAGCTGTAGGATCGCCATTTTATGTGACACTAATTTTTTAATTGTATGAATTAGAGGAACACTATAGCCCCCCGGCCCCACCTTTTTCCCCTAAATATAGTAAAATATTACTTTTATTTCTGACTTCTGATGATCATAAGTGATCATCTCACCCGATCACAATGCTTCCCCATAGAAAAGCATTGGATTGGCTGAGATGATCAATTCTGATGATCTCAGCCAAGGAAGCTGACCGGGGCAGAGCCAAATGCTGACCGTGGCTGTACCCCATTCTTGGCAGGTCCTACTCTAACAGCCTAATGCTTGCCTTTTATGAGATCAATCCACTTACTTGGGAACTATTTCCTCCTGGGACTCTCTACAAGTCAAGGCTATATAGGATCCTGGAATGAGGCCCCTGTGACAGGGAGGGGTGCAAAACCAAGGAGTTGGCCTGGACTCCCAGATATATAAATGAAACCAAGAGGGCTGCACTCACCTGAACATGCACACATTATAGGGTGCCGCTGAGACCAAAATATACAAAATACACAAACCAGCGCACTCGCTTATTCACTAAACAATGATTTAAAATCTTACAGATTGTAATAGTTTTATTGTGTGTGTGTGAGTGTATATAGATATCTATCTATATATTCTTTCACCAGCAAAGAAAGGTTCCTAATTTTTGGAGTATGATAATTTTGAAAACGCTTTTCAATTATCACTCTGTGCTACTTTTCAATACCAGCCACAATTCACAAAGCATCGGACAAATACCAGAACTGAATTGTGATCAGGGCCATCATTTGATACACCTAAAAGCTGCAAACTCAAACAACATTAAAATCAGCTCCTAGATAGAAGTGTGGGTTAGTCAGAATTATATGCCAGTTATGTTAGTGTTTATTCTATACAGACAGTAATACTTTATCTTAAGGGGGTTCTGTCATTTCCTGTATATGCGTTCCACAGAGTTTTCATAAATACAATAAAAACAAAGCTGACCACCTTCAGTTACCTGATGATCCACATTGTACACAAAGACCCTTACAAAATTGGGTACAAGTACAATAAGTGATAAAACCTTTTGTTTATACTTTGCTTAGCCATCTGATATATTATTATCAAGACTGCTGCAATACAGTGCATGTAAAAAATATAGAACTTGCAATTTTCAATTTTTTACAGGTTCACTTTTAGTGCACCAGACATTCATCCTTTTTCTAGCAGACTGTGACTTGCTTTCATTCTCTTCTACCTATTTTTTAGTTACTGTCTTTAAGTTAATGTTAGTTCATGCATATTGTTAATTCACAAATGTGAATTGTTAATACTGCCTGGGATGTCTTTATTACAGCGCTGTATCTTCAAAGGACCTCAGCTTCTGCACTGGGTTCCCTCCCTCTCCGTTGCCATTTCCAGCCGGCCATGTCTTAGAGTTCCACTGGGCGTTCTCACAATACTCTGTGTGCTTTTCATGGCAGTGTTTAACCTGGTAAATGTGTTTTGTTTTGGTGTCATTCTGTATCTTCATCTATAGTATATTTTATATATGGGATATGCTTTTACTCTTTATTTAGCATGTTTCAACTTTAAAGAGTGTTTTTCCACACTGGGTTCCAGAGCTGCCATCAGAGATCTTGGGGTCTTTTACACAGCTCAAGGCATAGGACCACATGGCTACCCAAAGGGCTGACCCTCCCATTCCAGCACCATCTTGCAGGCATTCTGTCCCTGTCCCGCCTGTTGAGATGTAATGTGTGGCTATAGGGGATGTAGTGGGTGTGTGTAACTTGTGTACATGCATATTAATACAATATTAATATTTGTGTATATATTATAAAACCAATACTTCATATACACAATAACCTTTATAACATATACACATGGATGAGACACATACTCCATGTGTCTCATTCTCCCCTTTGACAGCCCTTCCAGGTGTCTCATCCCCGCCTCTCCCCCACGGTCTCATTCCCCCCTCCCCCCCAAGCCAATAACATAGTAGAATCAGTAGAAAAACGCACTCTCAGACTTACCTGGAATGGAAACCACGACTGGGCACTGATCAAATGCCTAACCAAAGTTTAAATAGCCCTGAGAGGGCTCTAGTTCACTGTTGGCGATAACATGAAGTTGGAACTTGCATGACTTATACGTGATGACGTAGGAATATCCTACTCTTGAGTGGAGCCCTTAAAAGCTCTAATGCGCAGCAGGCGGCGGTAGTTAGCACACCGGATGCTAGTGCTACCACCAAGACTGTCACGGCACCCCCTGGATCCGAGTCATCTGTGTGGCAACGCACAGAGGGTAAGTGCAATCTGAAACTGGTATAACCGTATTATGAGGCACTTGGTACCGATGCTGGTGCTATTCTCCTTTAACTCCATGCCAGTGTAAGGAGATTTTGTTTTCTACTGCACCAAATAGTAGAAGGTCCCCTGCTGGTAGCCCTTTGCGTCCCTGATTTCGCCCCATATACCTGAAAGGGTTGTAGGTCCCTGATGGTGGCCATCGTGGGTTATCTTGAAATTTCATTGATTCTCCATTGGTAGGAACAGGTACATCAGACAGCTTTCCACAATAAATAAGTTTCTCGCAGCAATGTTTTGCCCAGTGTGGTTTATATTTCTAAAACTGAAAAATAAATCATCGAGACAATGTCATTCATGCCATGTAATACAAGTCCCTTTTTAGATAAATAGCTTAAACTTGCTTTCAATATTTTTCTTATTGTCTTTCCAACTGTGTCTTATGAATTACTTCTTGCTGTCTGTCCTATAAACCTCTTTGTTTATGGTGTATACTAATTTCTGATATTTGTGTTGTGTTTTGTTTTTATTCACTTCAGTTTTTTATGCCTTATGACTCCTGCTCGGATATACTGCTCAATTCATCACAGTCTTCTTCTTCTGCAGAACCTCAGTCCCTGTACAGTCTGCCGGTCAGTATCCATTAATATAATCTACCCAACATTTACCTAAAGACCAAATGCATTATTTAAAGTTCATTGTCATGAAAAATGTCGTCATTGTTAAAATAAGTGAATATTTTTCACAAAATCTGTCAATGTCCTGATTTTGTCTGTGTGCATAGGAATGCACCTGAATGTCTATCGGATTTCAGCCTGTCCAGATACTACAAGACAACTGAAATCCAAATTTGGATGCTGAATATCCAGTATATTTGCTCACTGGCAGAGCGAGCAATAATACAGTGTCCTGTTCCAGATCTCCCTATAGAACTCCCTTACATCCCAGCAGGTTGGGTTTTCAGTGAAATAGTGAGTGGGATGTGGTTTTATATTGGTTGTAATAGAAAAGTGACCTTCCTCTGGTTTTCCCTATGTCCCTACCAGTTTAGCGATGGGTGTGGCCTAAATTACAAAGATGAAAGGGGATATACACTACTGGTCCACTGCCTTATGTTCTTCCCCATTGGCAAGATCAATAAAGGGGGACGTTCTAGCAGTGGGTGGTTTTAATGTTAATTGGGTGAACCTGCCCAAAAATAAAAAAGTAAAAAAAATGTAATCAATCATTCGAGCACTTAAAAATAACAAATTTCTCTAAAGTGCTTAAAACGTGCCTTAATTAAATCAAGTAGTGGATCACCTTTAAAATGATCTACTAATTTTAATTCATTTAAAATGCTTATTCAGTGTAAGCCATACAAACAAAATCTATACAGTTATTTCTCACATTCACAAAGTGTAATATTAAAATGCAATAACAATTTCAATATGCATATAGCATCACAATTGGTGATACCAGTCTTAATAGAGCCAATATTTAAAATGCATACAATCAATGCGACCCAATTCTCCCAACTTTAATAAATTACCGAAACTTTAAAGAAACCCTATCTTTGGGAATATATGTTAAAATAAATGTTTTTCTGATTTATGTATAAAGGGATAAACAGGGAGTGTAGATATCAGCTAATTGAATTAAAATGCGTGGGTTTTTATTAGATTTGTAGTGAATTATATTAGGTTGTTTGAAGTCCCTTTTCTACATTAATTATGATTGTTTTTGGAACTACCTCCCCATGTGCAGCTAAACTTATGTGGTCGTAGGGACTGTCTTTCATCGATCTTTAATAGATCTGTAACACCCTTAAGGCTGGCTGAGCTTCATAGTTGCTGTAGTTCTACTAGGGTATGCTGTTTGGCTACCTTTCTCTAGCATTAATGGAGAAAAATATAACTTCCCGAAAAACAGCATAGTTAAACAGTGGTCATCCACTAAAATTAAAGGGACTCTCCTAAAGAACTTAAGCTTTCTGAAAAGCATTGTGTGAAGAGTGTATCCATCTTTATTTATTTATTTATTTTGTGTGAAAAAAATGCAGATTCCAATAGAAATTGGCACTTTTATAAATTATACTGGTTACACCCCCCTCCTGACTTTAAAGGACCACTATAGTGCCAGGAAAACAAACTCTTTTTCCTGGCACTATAGTGCCCTGAGGGTCCCACTCCTGCCGGGCTCTGTTGGGAGGAAGGAGGTTAAACACTCACCTTTCTCCAGCGCCGGGCTCCCTCCGTGCTGGGGACTCTCCTCCTCCTTCCGATGTCATCGGCTGAATGCGCATGCGCGGCAAGAGCCGCGCGCGCATTCAGCCAGTCCATAGGAAAGCATTCTCAATGCTTTCCTATGGATGCTGGTGTCTTCTCACTGTGAAAATCACAGTGAGAAGCGCCTCTAGCGACTGTCAATGAGACAGCCACTAGAGGCTGGATTAACCCTAAAGTAAACATAGCAGTTTCTCTGAAACTGCTATGTTTACAGCAGGCAGGGTTAATCCTAGATGGACCTGGCACCCAGACCACTTCATTAAGCTGAAGTGCATTAAGCTGAAGTGGTCTGGGTGCCTATAGTGGTCCTTTTAATCCCGCAAAGCTAATGATTTAGCTTTGTTGGGTTACTCCACCTCTAGTGGCTGTCTACAAGACAGCGACTAGAAGGACTTCTGGGTCCTTAGGCGACTTTTGGTCGCCTAACTGAAGCTAGACGTCATCACTCTATGCATGAGGACATCCAGCGTCACCAGAATCCCCATAGGAAAGCATTGTTTAATGCATTCCTGTGAGGAAATCCTAATAAGAGTACGGCCAAGGCGGACGTGAGCAGCGCTGAGGGACATCGACGTTGGACCCGGGTAAGTCACAGAAGGGGTTTTTGACCCCTTTTGCACCACGGGGATGTAGGTGAGCACTATAGGAAACTATATTGCCAGGAAAACAAGTTTGCTTTCATTTTAAGCATAAGAAATATACTAAGACAAAGTCTTGGTATATCTTTTGACTGTGAAAATTCCAACACAGTCTCTGTGCATATATTATCTTTATGAATTACTCGTCAAAGGGGTGGTGACAGAGCCATTTAAAAATATATATATTTTTAAAATAAATTTTACTATCCGTTATGTAATCTGTAGCCACTGTTTATTTTCTACATTTACAAAACTCTTTCAAGTGTTGTAAGTCTTGAGTGACCTCTAGAGTCTAATTGATGAATAGCACAAAATAATAATATTTATAAATGTTATCTCTGATCTCCCCAATTGCTTTACAATCATTTTCCTTCAAATAGCACACGACAATTTCTAATTCAAGCTTGGCAATACAATAATATGTGATGGTTCATAAACTAGATTTAGTATTTATTTTATATGCTAATTTCCCATCTTGGCATTTTTATGTATTTGTATTTATATAGTTTTTGTGATCTTGGCATTAAATAATGAAGCTGCATCTTGGGTCACATGTTTTTATCTGATCTGACAGTTTCTTGCGAAATACATTCTTTCAAACACATTATATGGAAATTGTGGATTGATACACTGACCTCACCGTGTTTTAAATGTAAAAATGGTGACTACATTTGAATAGATGAAGCCAATCAATATATTTTGAATACGCTCTAGCAAAGTTCTGATAATGTGCACCTATCAAACCCTAATAATTTGTAAACTTAATCAAATCGTGGATAAATCCATCTTTCCCTGGCAGCACAGGCTGTTTAACGTGGGAGCTGAAAAATTAAACAAATGTTTGTATACCCCCATACTGTTCTCCATTTATTGCTTCAATGCTGTGCCATGAGTTAAACATTTGTATACTCTTTATCAGGTATATTCCCAGAACTGTGACTTAACAGGTAGTTCTGCTGTTTTGGTCTCAAATTTGCAATTTCCTAGTGAATGCCTGAAAATTCTCAGTTTAGTCCATAATCCTCAGAATAATTTGTGTGTGTATATAATATTTTCCAAACCCTGAATTATTGGGAATTTAAAGGGACACTACAGTCACCAGAACTACAGTGCGGATAGTCAGTCCCCTTAGACTTTTTGCAGTAAACAGTCTTTTAAGAGAAAAGGCAATGCTTACATTACAGCCTAGGAACACCTCTTATGGCCACTACTCAGATGTCCACTGGAGGTGCTTCCTGATGCTGTGAGAGACACAGAACTTTTCCCATAGAGCTGCATTGATTCAATGCATCTCTGTAAGTAGATGTTGATTGGCCTCGCCTCCTGACGATCTCGACCAATCCACTGCAGATCATCAATAAATCCATTCTGATCTCAGCCAAGGAAGCCGATCTGGGGGCAGGGCCAAAGTTTTCTTACCTTGTAATGGGGGGAAGAGGAGGGTGAAACCGGGGTTGGGGGGACCAAGGAACTCTTGAGATGCATTTGTAATCCAGGCCTTTTATGCGTTTTTGACTTACATTCATTCTACCACAGGTTCATCCTTACATATCAAATATCATATTTTAAATTAGAAATAGGGCTTTCTTTTGATACCCCACTTGTATGCACAAACACAACATTAAATAAGAATACAATATTAAGAAATAAAGAAAAAAAAATTCTCAGTTTTTTATTTAATAATTTCTGCAACTAAACAAAAATAACTCAAAATAGATGTGTAATTTGGTCATGATTATTAAAATGCGTAATATCTCTAGGATTTCAATTAGTTTGTTCTATACAGTAATGATATAATTTTAATTAAGTGTGCAGATGACCACTAATACTATTCTGCAGAAAGTCAGCAGATACAGAGTTGGATGCCGATTTAAAAACAGAAGCCTGGAGATATTTTATTTTAACCAGACTGCTATTTCCTGTGTTCCTTTCATTCATATGTATCTGTGGTTATGTGGGATGGTTAAATCAACATTTTGATTAAACCACAGCTTGCTTTATTTTGTTTAAAAACATTTTTAACAGAAGATTATAAACCACAGTCTGCAAAACAGATATAAAAATTATTTTGAACTAATAGCATACTAGGGGGAAAGATGGGTGGAGGGCTCTTGGCCATGTTTCAGAGGTGAAATAATCCCAATCCTTCACGTTAAATGAACACTTAATACCATCCTATAACCTGATTAATTGGCGGAGATAGCAGTGGCACCACTTTTTATGCTCTCTTCCTGCCTCTATTTAATTCTCAGAAGGTAGGTGGAACATATGAGCCCACTAACAGCAGGGGGTGTGGTCATTTAAAATGCCTAAAAAAAGTAGACCTTTGCTTGTTATGTCTCCATCACATATACATTTCTACAAATAGGTACTCTAGTTCGTGGGTGCCCAAAGGGTAGATCCACAGATGATGTAGAACTACCGCTCCCATGATGCTTTGCATGCCTTTAGAATGACAAAGCGTCATGGAAGCTGTAGTTTTACAACATCTGGCGATCTACATTTAAGGCACCCTTGTTCTAGTTCATAGCAATTGGCAGCCTTTAATGAATTATAAAAAGAATGCAATTTTTTTAATATCTTGACTGTAGCTACTGTTTGATGTGACAACGGTCTTTCCTGAACTGAAATTGCACTAGATAAACTCCAATTTAGGCTATTACCTGGTGTTATTTAATGGAAGGAGCCTGCAAGGCTGCACCTAGGTTTCCTGAACATAATCCTGGTTCTCCTTTCTGTTCACACCAGAGTGCACATTTTGGTCAATGCAGGCTATATCAAGGCTTTGCTATAATTAGCAAGGCTGATCACTGATTGAATGCAGTGGTCCAGAAGGGAAAGGATGATAGCTTGCTGAAGGGCAATCGATGCAGAAATAAGTTTACTTTTTTCATGACAGGGCTGTTGTCACATTACATGGGTTCCAGTACAACTTGTATATCTTGCCTGCCCCTTGTTTCCCCATTTTTCCCCTCAGCCTACACTTCCCACTTTAATGTATATCCTTCACCTCTATTCTATTACCAGTTTCCTCCTTATCCCATATGTGACGGTAGTAGAAAATATCCCCGTCAAGCATTCCCTTCTTCCCATAAAAGAAAAGCACTCCATATTCTATAAGTAGAAATATCCCTGGAATCGCCGACTAATCCACACATGAGCCAAAACTTAATGCTGGAACAAGACTGATTTACGGGCACACAGAACTCACAATTTATGCAACACAAAACTCCTCCTCTGGGCCAGGCTAGATAATTGAGTTTCTACGAAACACAAAGCTCAATTATCTGCTGGCCAGAAACATTACAATTTTTAACAATTTAAGAAACATACTTTTTACAAGACATACAATTATACTTTTAACATCCCTGGGTAGCTGAGGATACTGGTAGTCACATATCCAAATCTCACGAATTTCCGTTCGGTAGTTTCCGTGTCGCATCGTGTGGAAGTTTGACCGGCTTGCCATGTGGAGGTATCCGAGTTAGAGTTCCATAGAATCAGTAGCAAGAGCCGGTCTCCGTTCGCATCTAACTACACGAAAACCACCGTTCGTATGGTTCAGCTGGTTACCTGTGAATGTTCCCCCTCATTCGCTCATTCGGTAGATGCTATCTACCGAACGCCAGTTTGATTCGTGGAAGGGAATGTATTCATCCAGGACTTGCATGGAGACCGGGCGTTCGCATGTTTCCCGTACCGAAAACAGTTCCATGCAATTCATGCGTAAGCCCCGCTGACCGCATTCGTGAGTTTTAAGATGGCCGCCATCCTTTGTTCTCGCCACGTGTTCGTATGTCGAATGGCGGCCACCTAGTAGCAATTAAGTTGCGGTTTCTCTGTGTTCTACTTGCTACCCAGTGTGTGTGGTCCCCTTTCGGTAAGCTAATACATTTATTCTCAACATTTTGAACTGAACAAATACAGACATTAAAACAGCAGGGAGAGGGTTAAGCTGAAAGCATATAGGCAAATACATAAAAGTCCTTCACAATGGCCCCCCTTTTTCTCCCTGCTCCGGCAACTCGGTTGGACCTTTCCTGGTCCAGTAGGGTTGACGGGTTCAGAATTTTTAGTCCGAGGTTAAATCCGTTTGGCGTGACAGTCCATTGGCATTCCCGTTTTGCTTGCCTGGGCGATAATTAATCGTAAAGTCATAGGGCTGTAAGGCCAAGCTCCAGCGTAGCAAACTGGCGTTGTCCCCTGAAACCCGGTTAAGCCACACCAAGGGATTGTGATCGGTAATGAGAGTGAAAGCCCGGCCATAAAGGTAAGGTGTGAGCTCTTTGAGTGCCCATACCCAGGCCAAACACTCTTTTTCAATGGTGGCATAACTGACCTCCCTTGGCAACAGCTTCCGACTCAGGTATGCCACCGGGCGCTCTCCTCCATCCTCTCCGATCTGGCTTAGTACTGCCCCCAGTCCAAACATTGAAGCGTCTGTGTGGACAATAAATCTTTTGTGAGGATCTGGGGTAACCAACACCGGAGCATTAACCAGAGCAGTCTTTAGTGCTTGGAAAGCCACCTCGCATTCCGGGGACCACAGGACTTGTCGGGGTAGCTTCTTTTTGGTCAAGTCGGTCAGGGGTTTGGCTAGGGCGTTATAGTCGGGTACAAAGCGTCTGTAATAGCTGGATGTGCCCAAGAAAGCCATGACTTGTGTCTTGGTGTGGGGAGTGGGCCAATTGGCAACGGCCTCGATCTTAGCCGGCTCCGGCCATTGCTTACCACATCCTACTCGGTGGCCCAAATATTGTACCTCCGCCATACCCAAATGACCTTTGTCGGGTTTCAGGGTCAGCCCGGCCCCCCTGATCCTATCTAATACTACCCCTACGTGCTCTAGGTGCGCTTCCCACGTATCGCTGTGGATGGCGATGTCATCCAGGTAAGCGCATGCGAAGCCCTGGAGACCCCCAAGTAACTGATCCACCAATCCGTTGGAAGGTGGCCGGGGCATTCTTCATCCCGAACGGCATAACCCGGAATTGGTATAGGCCGAACGGGGTGATGAAGGCCGACTTGGGTATGGCATCTTCTGCTAGGGGGATCTGCCAATATCCCTTGCATAGGTTTATTGAGGTCAGATACTTCCCTGCAGAGATACGGTCAAGCAGCTCGTCCATCCGTGGCATCGGATAGGCGTCCGTAACCGTCTTGTCGTTGAGGCGCCGGTAATCTACACAGAAGCGGGTTGTCCCGTCCTTCTTTGGCACTAAGACTACCGGCGAGGCCCAAGGACTTTCTGAGTGTTCGATTACGCCTAGCCGAAGCATCTAATCTATTTCCTTCCGCATCCCTTCCCGGACTGCTTCTGGAATACGGTAAGGAGGCTGTCTCAGGGGTGCCTGTCCTGGAGTCTCCACCTTGTGTACGGCTAGGGGTGTGTACCCAGGCTCCTGAGAGAATGTGGCCTCTTTCGTTTCTAGTAAGCGGACAGCTTGAGCCCGCTCTTGCGGCTCCAGCTGTTCACCTAGCTGGACTTTCTCTATCTGGGTCATCCCTTCGTTACTGCTCAATAGGTCGGGAAGGGGTAGTGTCTTTGTGTCTTCCCCTGCTGGTGCACAGATAGCAGCTACCTCCTCTGCCTGTTCCGGATAGGCCTTGAGCATGTTGATGTGAAAGGTTCGTTTCACATCTTCATCCTCCCAGCTGGCTATCGTGTAGGTAGTGTCGCATATTTGTCCTATAACTTTATAGGGGCCCTGCCAGGCGGCCTGGAGCTTGTCTGTTCGGACCGGCCTTAACACCATGACCTTTTGGCCTATCTGAAATCTCTGGTGCCTAGCCCGTCGGTCGTACCATACCTTCTGGCGTTGTTGGGCCGCCTGGAGGTTCTCTCGCACTGTCTGGGCTAATTCCTCCATGCAGTCCCTCAGTTCCAGGACCTAAGGTACAACAGGGGTCCCCTCAATTTCTGTTTGCCCTTCCCAGTGATCCTTGATGAGATATATAAGGGCCCCCTCACCCGCCTCCCATAGAGAAGTTCGAAGGGTGAGAATCCGGTCGATTCCTGCGGCACCTCTCAGTAGGCAAAGAGAAGGTGTGGCAGGAATCGCTCCCAATCCTTGTACGCCCCCGTGAACGACTTCAACATTTGCTTTAGCGTCCCGTTGAAGCGCTCGCACAGGCCGTTAGTCTGGGGGTGGTATGGGGAGCTAGTCAGGGATTTAACTCCACAGGTTTTCCATATCTGCTGGGTTACCTCGGCCGTGAATTGTGTACCTTGGTCAGACAGAACCTCCTTGGGAATGCCTACTCGGGAAAATATTTTAACTAGGGCCTCTGCCACTGTCTCAGCCTGTATGTTAGAAAGAGCCACTGCTTCGGGGTAACGGGTGGCGTAATCTACTACGGTGAGTATATAACGCTTGCCGGAACGGCTAGGTTGGGCCAGGTGCCCTATAATGTCCACGGCTACCCTTGCACGTTTGACAATACGCCCTGACTTCGTCGGATACCCCAGGCCAGAAAAAGTTCTGGGTTATCCGATATCCCGTCTTGCGTATTCCCAAGTGGCCTGCCAAGGGTACGTCGTGCCCAATCCTCAATAACTCCTGCCGGTACTTCCGGGGAACTACCAGCTGGCGTTTTTGCTTAGGCCCTGGTGCATTACCCCGGGTCTCGGTGAGCCTGTACAAGCGGCCTTTCTCCCAGATAAATTGCTCCTTCTCTAACCCCCCTTTGCCCCTCCTGGCTTTCTCTCGATACTTTCTGAGGGAAGGGTCTCCGGTCACCTCCCGCCCAAAGTCCTCTGGGGTGTCCCAGGGTAGGGGTTCTACAGTCAAGGGTAGATTGGGTTGGCTTACCTGGGTCTCAGTAGGAAGCGGATGGCTCTCGGCAGCGTGACTTTGTGCTCTGGTGGTTACTGCGTGGGCCTCCTGAGCGGTGGTTGAGGCGAACGCCGAAGTCAGGGGGCCAATGTCGTTGCCCAAGATGACTTCAGAAGGTAAGTCTTTCATGACGCCCACATGAACATTGCCAGCTCCCGCACCCCAGTCCAGGTGTACCTGTGCAGTAGGAATACGGTATACTGCCCCCCCTGCCACTCTCACAGCAATTGATTTCCCCGGTTTCTCCGATGCGTTAATAAGGTGTCTTTGTACCAACGTGATGGTCGCCCCACTGTCTCTTAATCCCCGGGCGGTCTTGCCGTTAACCATGACCAGCTGACAATGGTGTTTCCTATTGTCCGTAATGAGGGATTGTACCATGAGGGCTTCGTAAAGGGTGCCCAATGGTTCTTCCTGACCCAGCTCCTGGGGATCCCAAGCCGAGTCTACACAATGGGCTGCTGCTGGTAGGCGGTACCCAGGTCGAGACCAATTTGACCTGGTGTTGTTGTCCATGGGGCAATTCTGCTTGAAGTGACCCAGCTGTTTGCACCGGAAGCAGCGATGTTCATTGTCCTCCTGGCGTGGATAGCGAGGGTTAGATGTCACCGGTCTGTTAGGAGGTTGATATCTAGCGGCTGGTGGGTGTGAGGGCACCGTTGGTCGTGGAGGTTGTACCCGTGGTGTGACCTGGTTCGTCTTGTGAGTATCCGCATATTCATCCACCAACTTAGCGACCTCTGGTAGAGACATGGGCCTGCGATCTCTCACCCAGTCTTTGACATCCGTCTGGATTTGATTGTAAAATTGCTCCAGGAGCATTAGTTGCAGGATGTCCTCTGCGGTGGTGGCCTGGCTGCTGTTAACCCAGTTAGAGGCCGACAGGGATAACTGGCATGCCCATTCCACGTAAGAGTCTTTCGTGGTTTTGCGTGAGTCCCTGAACTTCTGTTGGTAGGACTCTGGGGTTACTGAATAACGTGCCAGGAGCACTTCTTTAACCCTGGCGTAGCTATGGATCTCCTGTTCTGGCACAGTCCAGAAAGCATCAGAAGCTTTGCCTGACAATATTGAAACCCACTCTCCCCTAGCTATTCGGTGCAGGTTACATTGTCGCTCAAAATCTGCCAGGTAGTTATCAATTTCAGTATTTTTCATCAAAAGCTTTAAAAGCGCTAAACAGAATCTTCATTGTGTCTGCTGTGCTGTACTCACTGTTGGAGAATGTGCGGCTGCTTGTCGGACTGCTGCCAGTTTTAACTGTAGCTCTGCGTCTCTTATTTGTTTAGCCTCCTCCGCTAACAGGTTCATCACTTTCAGTACCACATCTGCCGTTGGGTTCGGACCGAACCATGCTAGCTTCTCTCATATTACCTTGTTGGCTGGTGATTCCTCCTCCTGAATCACTGGTGTCTCCATCTCTTGTACTGCTGGCATTGCTGCAACCAAGTTCTCCTGGTCCAGCTCCATTAATTCTGCTATGATGACCCGCTTGGTTTTGTTGCTAGCAATCCTTCCACGAGCTTCCAGTAGTTCTTTCGGTGTATTTCTTTTAAGCAGGGTGTACCAGCCTTCCATTCACTGTTCCCAGTGTCTGCTTGGAATCCTGGTGTAAAGGAAAGTAGAAGGGAAAATCCCGCCGCTGCCAACCAGTTGTGACGGTAGTAGAAAATATCCCCGTAAAGCATTCCCTTCTTCCCATAAAAGAAAAGCACTCAATATTCCATAAGTAGAAATATCCCTGGAATCGCCGAATAATCCACACATGAGCCAAAACTTAATGCTGGAACAAGACTGATTTACTGGCACACAGAACTCACAATTTATGCAACACAAAACTCCTCCTCTGGGCCATGCTAGATAATTGAGTTTCTACAATACACAAAGCTCAATTATCTGCTGGCCAGAAACATTACAATTTAAGAAACATACTTTTTACAAGACATACAAATATACTTTTAACATCCCTGGGTAGCTGAGGATACTGGTAGTCACATATCCAAATCTCACGAATTTCCGTTCGATAGTTTCCGTGTCGCATCGTGTGGAAGTTTGACCGGCTTGCCATGTGGAGGTATCCGAGTTAGAGTTCCATAGAATCAGTAGCAAGAGCCGGTCTCCGTTCGCATCTAACTACACAAAAACCACCGTTCGTATGGTTCAGCTGGTTACCTGTGAATGTTCCCCCTCATTCGCTCATTCGGTAGATGCTATCTACCGAACGCCAGTTTGATTCGTAGAGGGGAATGTATTCATCCAGGACTTCCATGGGGACCGGGCGTTCGCATGTTTCCCGTACCGAAAACAGTTCCATGCAAGTCATGCGTAAGCCCCGCAGACCGCATTCGTGAGTTTTAAGTTGGCTGCCATCCTTTGTTCTCACCACGTGTTCGTATGTCGAATGGCGGCCACCTAGTAGCAAGTAAGTTGCGGTTTCTCTGTGTTCTAATTGTTACTTGCTACCCAGGGTGTGTGGTCCCCTTTCGGTAAGCTAATACATTTATTCTCAACATTTTGAACTGAACAAATACAGACATTAAAACAGCAGGGAGAGGGTTAAGCTGAAAGCATATAGGCAAATACATAAAAGTCCTTCACACCATACATTAGCAATACTCCTCTATTTTACATCATTCCCTTTAATCAGTTGGTTTTTAGTGAGAGGCCTCATTGCTGCACAAGTTACACTGATGCAGCCAGTGCTGTAATGTTGCAGAGCATAGCTGCGTATTTTGTGTCCAAAGTGAATTAACATTGTCATTGTTATCTGCATCTGTATGTAATAATGACCTTGTTATGAATGTGACGGTCAGATAATATGGTTCTATATTGTATATTCTAAGTAACTAATCTTTTGCTGTTTTCATTTTACAGTATTACATGTACTGTTGCATTCTGGGACTTCTGGCCTGCTCTGCCTTCCTTCTTATGAACTTTGAAGTCAAACTGATACTTCTGATTATTGCTCTTGTGATCTACAACGTGATATTCCTGCACATACACAGCTGGGTGTCGGAGTGTTACATGGAATGGCTGAATCAGACAGATCCTAGGTATTGGTGAAGTACATGCATCTTGTGATACTTGTGACCCTTTTAAGGGATGTTTTTATTTGATAAGGAGGGTAGCACGAGAGGTCCTACATGTAATAATTTATTACATTTTCTTTTTCCTCATTAGACCTGGAGTCCTCAAAGAGCCAAAGTTTATGGGCAGCATTGCGTTATTCATCTTCTTCTTCACCTTGCTGGCCCTAGCTAGGCAGGTAAGTGACAGACATCATCGTCAAACTGAACTCCTAATAACATAAATGACAGGAATAAACAAATGGCACCCAATAATAATTGAATTATATAACTAATGTCAAGGTGAAAAAATATCTTGCTGGCAGCATAGGGGCCAATATTGGGCGTGAAAGAGCCATCTCTGAAAGGATTTTAGCAATCGCAGAATTTGACCATCACAGTTGTTTGGTTTTTTTCTCTGAAACACACACACAGGTCTGTTCTCTAAAGCAGGCTTCCCCAAACTCCAGCCCTCCAGGTGTTGCTGAACTACAACTCCCATGATTCTATGAATGAAATAGGCTGAGAATCATGGGAGTTGTAGTTCAGCAACATCTGGAGGGCTGGAGTTTGGGGAAGCCTGCTCTAAAGTGTGTATAATTAGTAATTAATAGTGCATTTGAAATTCTAGGCCAAAATAGAAAGAAATTTTAAAAACTCATTATCTAGTTTGGCTCTTTTGACCTAAAATTCACTTTACATTTCATTTTAAATTCCCAACAATCCACATTTAAGTAAATAACTCTTACAGTGCTCTGCATCATCCCAACAGCAGAGTATGAGTGACAATACCTGGTCCACATACCATGTGTCTACTTGATACATAAACACAAACTCCTATACATTGAATAGATAGCCAATAGTATCGAATAACTCACGACTAAGTGCCTATTGCTGCATATGTAAGAACAAAAAGGTCAATGTTGGATTAACTTGTAATTTTATTTTAATCTATTTTGTAGAACGAATACTACTGCCGCTTAGACTTTTTATGGAAAAGAAAGTTTAAAATGGAACGAGAGAGAATTGAGACAATGGAAAATCTGAACCGTGTATTGCTAGAAAACGTACTGCCTGCTGACGTGGCTCAACAGTTTATTGGACAGAACCTTAGAAATGAGGTAAGTCGTTACTGTAGGAGGTGATTGTCTTATTAGATATAGGTTTGAGGTGCACGATACCAAGCGCCTTCTGTAACCTGACTTGAAAGCGTGTTAGACAGCAAATACTTTTATATTTGACTGATTCTTAATTTTTTTTTTTTTTTCTTCGGTGACGATTATCTAACACACTCTGTTCTTTCAGGATCTATATTACAAGTCGTACGAGTGTGTATGTGTTATCTTTGCCTCCATTCCTGACTTTAAGGAATTCTATACTGAAAGCGATGAGAACCGCGAAGGCCTGGAGTGTCTTCGGCTGCTGAATGAAATAATAGCAGATTTTGATGAGGTAAGCATTGGGTGTAGTGGTAATTGTTGACCATTGATATGTATAACTGTATTTCAATTTTCTAGGTGGTTAGAATGGTTCAAAATGGACACATCGAATCATGAGCACTTGCAGCCCTTTTTATGTGTAGGGAAAGTCACAGATTTTTCACATTATTTGATTTCCATTTGCCAGCTTCTTTCAAAACCAAAGTTCAGTAGTGTGGAAAAAATAAAGACCATCGGCAGTGCATATATGGCAGCCACAGGATTAAACCCCACATCAGGGCAAGAAAACCCACAGGTATTGTATATGTCTCTGTCCATATATCTGTCTTACTGTAGCAGTCCAATCTTCGCAGCACCTTCTTATAATTGCCATGGAATCCTCTTAATTGCTTACAGGATGGGGACCGAAATTACAGTCATATTGGTATCATGGTAGAGTTTGCAATGGCTCTGATTGGAAAGTTAGACGTGATCAATAAACACTCATTCAACAACTTCAAACTTCGTGTAGGTGAGTGACATTAAAAATGCTGCTGTGTTTTGTAAGGAGATATAGTTGACGTCTTGCATAATGTAGTGGATGTATGCCATTATAATAATCAAAATATTTTCTTAAGCTATTCCATTGTGTTAAACTATACCAATTATCCAAGTCAATGACCTCAGCAGGAGCAGATAGGAATCTAGTCTTCCACCCAGAGTATTATAGGGTTATCCTTCAAATAAATCAAGCTAAAACTCCCCTCCATTCCAGCAAAGTTCTTTCCTTATCTGTAGTCTCCACAACTGACATTCTCCTCCTGGAAGGGGAGGGATGTAGGGCGGTGGGTGAGGCTTATGGGAGAACATGGGCAGTATGGATAGAGGGAACATGCCACCATATGTTGCCAGCCATCAGCCTGCTGTGCGTGCTGACGTCAGTACTGACTTTAGCTAGCCTAATACTCTTGTTCTAGGCTAGATAATGACGCTGCTGTAGGTGGAGTTACTCATCTGAAGGCAAAGGGGTTAAACTGTTTACAGACTCCAGGCATCATGACCACTTAAAATCACCAAAGTGGAGTAATTCCTTAACCAAACTTGTAATGTCATTGCCACACTGCAGGTTGGAATTTATTGAATGATAGAGTGGACATGTTTAATATAATTCCAATTATTAGGCCATGTCTAACCTTAAGACTAAAAGAAAATTTGGCATTTGAATTGGAATTTTGTTACCTGCTAAAAGAATTCAAAATAATCTCTCAATTAACCTAGGTATCCTTTTGTTTTGCTTCTCTCTCTTTCCCCAAGGTATTAATCACGGACCTGTTGTGGCTGGGGTTATAGGTGCACAGAAACCACAGTATGATATATGGGGTAACACTGTAAATGTTGCAAGTCGCATGGACAGTACTGGAGTGCTGGGTAAAATTCAGGTAACGTCTGATGAGAAGATGTGTAAAATAATTTCTTCCAAGAATAGAATGGCTATTATTTTAAACATTGTTACATACAAATTTTAGGAAGACTTTTTTTTTTTTTTAAATTCAATAGGCATGCAATAAATTATTTTAGAAAAAAATCGACAAAAACTGAAGATGTTATTACTTCATCATACTGCACAGATACTTTTAATCAATACAAGAGCTGCTGTCTTAAAAAATCTTTTGGCAGATAAATCATTATTTAGAACCCCATTGTTTCAATTGCCATAATGTAGTCCAAAAAAATACTACTCCGGAGAAAGTCTAAAAAAACTGTTGGAGAATTAATGTGCTAAGATGATTTACTTTTAAAATTCCAAGTACATTTTAGAGGTAAGTAGAAATGTGGATCTCTGGAGCGAATTATTTGGTTTTTGTACCTGTTGATCCAGAGAAAGATTTTCACTCAAATCAAATAATTGATTATTCCACGAGTTAGATAACAAGCAAAAGCCCAACTTCTGCTCATACCACCAAAAAAAATAAAATTAAAAAAAATTACTTTTTCATGTTGTTACATGTTAATTACAACAGATATGTAGTATGGGGAAGTGCACTTACTAATCAGCTGCAGGCAGCTCTTCAAGGTGGATCTTATCACCCAAAATATTAATTTGAAATAAAAATCTTTGATCAAAAAAATCCCCAGACACTATCAGTTCAGGGATTTCCATTTCTCTATATAGTGGCTGAGCTGTCTCAGGTCTCCTCTTAACCAGCTGCAAAAAAAGGTACAGTGTGTATTTGAAGTGCTGCACATAAATGCATGACCTTTCTTCCATGAAAATAGCATGAGAAGCTGCTTCCCCAAAATCAGTACAATTACAATTGACCGTAGTTGTGAATGATGGCACTTCTCAAAATGTGTAATCAGCTTTCCATTCATTTACTATAGCAACATGAATGCTTTTTAAAAAGTGTACAATCCATTTTTTTCCTTCATTACATTACATGAAATGTCAGTGGTTATTGTGTTTGTCATGTTTATTTAAAATTCAAATTCAGGGCCTATATTTCAGCCTAGACCTTAGACAGCAGAGACTGTTATTTATTTTTATTTTTTTATTATTAATTGGAATTTAAGTAAATGGAGAACAGATACTGGAGCCTCAGAGGCCCAACAATAAGCTGTCATGCAAAAGAATGAAACAAAACCAGTATGGACTTGATCATTTTGATAATGGTAATTATATAATATATCTTTTGATTAGGCAATGGACCTAGTTGCTGTAGTAGTCTACTCTGTCTGTCTGGATATCTTGGAAGGTGGGATTAAAATAACATTCCAAAAATTGTATATGGTCTGTCAAACTGTTCCTGATCATTTTGTATTTTTAGAATGTGGCAAGATTCTACTCAGAGATAATTATTTCATTCAAGAGCTTTACAGTACAGAATGCACAAATTACAAGGAGCATGTCTTTTTTACTTTCCACAGGTCACTGAAGAAACCAACAAAGTTCTACAGAAACTGGGATACACCTGTGAACGGCGAGGAGTCATCAAGGTCAAAGGAAAAGGTCAACTCTGTACCTATTTTGTTTCTACGGACATGGCACGTTCTAGTTCCCAAGGCAATGTTTTGAACTAGGTCTCCGTATTCTCAATCTAAAAAGAGAGGCTTTCTTAGGACCATACTGCCAAACTGATGATAGAAAAATGAGGAGGATGGTGGTGATTTTAGTATGTAAGGCAGAAAAAACCCTTCTAATAACTGGATTGCCTGCTAACTATCCAAGTCCTCTATAGTCTGGCAGTTGCAGGCATTTGCATGAAGGATTGAAAGGACCATACTTAATTGCTGTATGGAAAGAGGAATATTTTGGGCTGACTTGTGGCTGGCCCGCAAAGTAGAAACTGGGTAAATCCAGGCATGCCATTAAAAGGATAACATAGGCTATTTTATTATTCTTGACCAGTAGATCTATGCTTTTAAGTGGTAGCCATAGAAGTGATATGTTGGTGGGCCGGATCCTATCAAAACAGTAATATGAAAAATGAGATGCACAGGCAAACTGGAGGCTATTGCAAAAGCTCTAGTGGGCAACATCGGAGCCACAACACTCCTGATGGATAGTGCTGTTGTAAAGGAACAAAGAAGACTGCATCGGGGTATGACACTTCTACCAGATGCACAGAGAAGAATGCCACAAAGCACTCTGCTTTTCCAGCTTACATTCTATCCATGAGGTCTGTAAACTAGCAGAGGTCCAACTCAGTGACTGTTTGGAATATTACAGTATGGTATTATCACTTCCAATTGGCAGTCATACAATGTCACAAAGTATCAGCAAGTTGCTGAAATAAAGTATCCAGTAGCCAGAGGCAAAGTGATGGGTTCTGCAATGACCGCTAAGCTCAGCAGTGCATATTGTGTTTATAGCCTGGGCTACAATATAACATGCAGCTTTAAAAAATAAAAAAACCCATCTGATTTTCCAAAAGAGGAAGTGAGCAAGCCATGACTGGCCCCACACGTCATTTACAGAAAAGGAAGGTGTAATCTATATACAAAGCAGCTCTCATCACTTGACATTGTAATATATATTTATATATACACATCCATGCCGCGCCCATTGTATTTATTCATCACAATAAACTCTTGTTATTAAACAATTGTGTTTCTACATACAAGGAAATTTGAAGTAAAAAAAAAAATGGCAATTTCCCTTTGGCTATTCTCTTGTATCGTAATGATTATACTTGGCCTTCCAACACTTAACTTTATATTCTTCTTTTTAAATAATATCTTTATTATTATGTTTGAGCTGGATCTCAGGATCCAGGCACTGCCATTTTGTTCTCCACTGTCCACAATTTCTGCATTTTTCCTTTTTGTTTTGAATGATGGATTGCAAATGAAGCTGGCACTTGCAATAGAACTTAAGCTCCACCCATTGCTAAAGACCATGCTCTTAATAAAGTATTCCTTACGTTATCTTTCTTAGGTATAAAGTAATGCTAGTGTGAAGTTATTATAAAAGCAAGGTGATCTCGAGGGACAAATGGATCAAATAAAGTTTTAACTACCTGACAATCATTTTGGCAGATTTTTTGATGGTATTGGTAGGTCATCTGTTAAACATAAATAAATTTTACCAAAAAAGTGCCACGCTTGCCTGGTTTACCACTAACCATGTTCTTCTCCTCCCATTGATTTCAGTGGATTGAAGCCCTACTTACTTTGGGTTTCACCCATTCATTTTATTAAAAGTGATTTGGCTTGGGGTGTTAAACAAATTCCTGAATGTCCAAAATACCCCTGAAGGCAGATAGGAGTCTGGAGAAAAAGAACGAAAGAGTGACACATTAAAGCACACAATTGCAATGAAAATTATTCAACCCCTCGTTTAAAAATCAGTTTATTGTCAAAATTGAAAGCGCTTCATTTTTTTACAATGAACAAATTAAACAAAAGCAACTAACTAAAGTTAATACAAAAAGAAAAGTCCTGCGCTCACTCCCATCACTCCTGGGCGGCAGCAACGACCATAGTACACATCAGCTCCAATACATATAGTAAAAACCAAAGGAACAAAAAGTTACCTGCGCTCTCTCCTTAATCCCTATGTAGATTTAAACAAATAGGTCATTTAGTTACTCCAATGGCCACTGGAGGGAATGCCCGCCTGCCAACGTCAAGGCAGACCCCCCTAGACGGGTCCTACTCTGACCCTTTAACTTGCTTCCTTGAGCTTCTGGCTAACTAAAGTTACCCACTGCTTGAGATTTTTATTTTTTTACACTTACCTCCATTTCTTTATTTACCCCAGTAAATACTGCAAAAATACTGCCTAGATTTGGGGAAGAAAGAATTATCATAGTAACAAAAACCATGACGGCACCACTTTAAAAACTACTTTTTCACAATGAAATAGTTTTCTTAAGGCCCCACAATTGGCCATAGTGTTTCATCATCACTTAATTACAGATTTACAATCTAAGAGCTCTAATGCCACAAACAAAACTTTTGATAAATATTTTTTGTTTTGATATGCTTTGTTAAAGAGGAACTTTCACTTCTGCAATTGTACCTTTTTTCGTCCATTTGTTTTCTTTCTTTTTATTTTAACTTACATACTTTGCTGGCAATGTTTGTAAATTAGTTTAACTCTTGCAGTGCTGCATGCAAACATAGCAAAAAGAAAAAATCCCAAGCATGCAAGCCTACATACAGAATTTCTCATTATGTGCGCCTGAGGAATTGATACAATGATAGCTCAATGTGGAAGTGCAGCAGAGAGAAGTACTTTAAAAAAAAAAATTTTTTGTAAATTGCCTCCAATGCTAACATTTAAGTGGATGAAGCAACTTGTCTGGAAATGTAAGTTCCTTTTTAATTACATTGTTTTCCTCTAACTCGTCTTTTAAGGTGCATTTTTCAGAGGTCAGCAAAGCCTTTGATTGTTTGTTGTTGTGGCAGCAATGACAGTGTGCACCTGTTTCACCCACAGGAATAATTATAATTAGTTTGTGGGGGGAAAAGCATGGGCTTATGGTTTATGTATAGCAACAATGCCAAGATACTTCATGCAAGGATAGATAACATATTTGATCAGAACCAAAGAAAAGGGAAAACCATTCACAACTACTGATTTTTGGAGGGTTAACTGTCTCTACTCTCTCTGGCCTTGTGACCTTGTGCCCTTGTGCCCTTTTTTCACAGCACGGTTTATCTGGAATTCACCAAGGAATACCAAATTTTAGAATCGGAAAAGTAGTTCAAGTCCACTATATTGTTGGCTCAGCTAGTTTGGCCTCATCTGTGCTATTTCTTATTAATATCTTACATTTTAAAGTTTACTGAATAAATGTGAACATTGTCAGGACTCCCAAAACCTCCTCTGTGTATGCTTGCCATTAAAATATAGAGCATTTGTTAAAGGACCACTATAGGCACCCAGACCACTTCAGCATCAATTAAGTGGTGTGGGTGCCAGGTCCATCTAGGTTTAACCCTGCCTGCTATAAACATAGCAGTTTCAGAGAAACTGTTATGTTTACATTAGGGTTAATACAGCCTCTAGTGGCTGTCAATGAGACTGTGATTTTCGCATTGAGAATGCTTTCCTATGGACTGACCGCTCGTGGCTCTTGCCGCGCATTCAGCGGAAGAGGGAGGAGAGTCCCCGTAAGCCTTTAACCCCATCCTCTCCCTAAAGCCCGGTGGGAGGGGGCCATGAGGTTTGGAGACCTATTAACACTATAATGCCAGGAAAACAAGTTTGTTTTCCTGGCACTATAGTGGTCCTTTAAAACCAACAACCAGCAGAAATTGCGGCTAAAAAATGCCAACAAGTTTTTTTTGTTTTTTTTTGGACCACCCTTGTATTTACTGTCTGCCCGCTCCTCACTTGTGTTCACTGACACAGACAACCACTTAAGTGGGTACTTTAAGCACCATAACCACTACAGCTGCTGTAGAGGTTATGGTGACAGGAATTCTCTGGTGCCATCCAATGGGAAAGAGTCCAACCATTTCTGAAAGGTTTTACCTGGGTCATCCAAATGCCCACAGTTCTAATCTTCTGAATATCACTAAAATGGAAGTTCTCTTTCTGCTTTAGCTATAGAAATTTTGTGCAACTTTTCACATCCGTTAATGTGAGCAAGTAGAATTGTTTGAGAGTTTGTAATCGTTAAAGGGACACTATAGTCACCAGAACAACTACAGCTTAATGTATTTGTTCTAGTGTGAATAGTCATTCCCTGCAGCCCTTTTGCTTTAAACACTGCCTTTTCAGAAAAAAAGCAGTGTTTACATTGCCCGCTAGGGACACTAGGAGATGCTAATTGGCCAAACCGGCGTTTGGCCCGCCACGCCTTCTTGATGATTTCAGCCAATCCAATGCTTTTCCTGTGGGTCAAGGAGGCTGTTCGAAGGCAGGGCCAGCGCCGGCTGATCTCATGGCAGTGAAAATAAGGTGAGGGGTTTTTTTTATTACCTTTTAAGAAGCGTAAGGGGGGAGGCAAGCCATCTAAATGGTGGCTTTAACACTATACACGTATACACTATACACGTTGTGACCCTATAGTGTTCCTTTAACTTGTCTTTTCCATTTTACACCAAGCTGAATTAAGTTGAGTGAGTTGTTCTATCAGTATAATTCAGCATTTTTCATCTCCTATTGAGCTTTACGAGAGCCATTAAATCTTTTTGGCATTTGCTTATTGCAAGTAGTTAAAAGTTATGATATGTAGCATGAAAACAGCCGGTAATTGATAACAGTGCCAGCTATTTTAACAAATACTGACTGACCGGTAAGTCATTTGGATAAGCATGGAAACAAGTGCTATGTTGCTGCTTGAAGGTTACGTTGCTGTCAGCATTCAAAGTGCTATCAGTCTGCATGACTAAAAGATAGGAACCACTCTGAAAACAAACTATATTAGGGGTTTATTAGAAATGTTAAAGCATCACACTGAAAGAACACTCAAAGTACTGCTGTAGTGGATTTGGTGCCACAAGTGCCCTGGATTTATACCATGGTAAAAAAATCAAACAACTTTAGTACAGTTTAACAAACTACCTTGGTCCCATAGTAGGAGCCTAATATGCTTGGTATGTTCCTTTAATTCATTGAGTGCATTGTTAATAGCTGTTGCTAAAGGATTTGTAAACCTTGAAGACATGGTGTATATTACAAAATACATTAACCCCTGGGCAATACATTAATTATGTACATCCTACCAGGTATTGAGTGGATTGCAAGCTGTGTTGTTGGCTAAAGTAAATCACACTGTTCAAGGTAAGCGATCTTCCGTTTCCATCAATATATATTAGTGTGTACAAAAATAGGCATAGATTCAATTAGTAAGGATTGAAAATAAGTAAATGCTAGTTGTATGTCCCTAACAATTTATTTTCCAGCAAATTATATTATTGTTCAATTGGCTGCAACAGTCTAAATATAAATATTTGTGGGAAGAGAATAATCAGAGTTTAAAAATAAAGTAATAAATGACCAGGATTTATCCACTGAACCAGACTATGTGAAGAAATCACCAAAATGGGAAAATAACTTTAGTAGGACATTTTTTCTGAATTTACTATTTTGGCCTAAAACTTGCAAATATCTCGTCTTTCAGCGCACACACAGCATTGTGAACCAGAACATTATGGGAGAAGATGGCTCCTTAATTGATTGGTAACCACACTATCTGTTGGTGTCCAACACACAGAGACTGCTGTGCACAATTAAGGCCTCAGGGACAAAACCTGTTTTTTCTTTGTCCTTATGGTTTAATAAAACTTCTCATTTTTCCACTACTCTGTGCTGCTTGTGGACCTCTATTTATAGTATCGGTTTTGGGGTTTTATAGACCTATACTACAGGACTCCTCTGTACTTCTCTTGTGTGAAGAGCACTACTTTGAAATTGAATTTATTAAGGCAGAGTTACTATCAGTACCTTTACCCATTGAAAATTAACATATTATAGAAAACACTCTGGGCACCATGGCACTGTCTTTCCTTCTTGTGTTAAATCATGTTGAAGGAGTGTACTTCTGCACCCATCTACTTTGCTCTGCTAATTCTAGACCATAAGCTTTAGCAGCGAAGGTGCGGCAATGATGGGCTGAGTGTCATTTGACCTGGTAGCCCGTCACTGCTATTGTTTCTGCCGTAGCAGTGTAAAAGAGAGGTGGAAGACCGATATCAGAAGACAATACTTCTGTGATATACTGTTCGAAAACCATTTAACACAGACCTGCATGACTTGGCAGTAGGAAGGAGCCAAAATTAAAATAGGATAAACTTCTTAGGGCCGCAGATAGGTTTTTAGTGCCTCACTTGCCAAGTAAAGGTATAAAATTACATCTTTTAAAAAACGCACTTTTTCTCTCTCTCGTCTGCCCAATATTCTTAATACTTGCATTAGTATCTTCTAGAATAACGTCATCCCTATCCCTAAACTGTTGCCCCTCTAATTTAAGACTATGTCCTCTTGTTATGGTAGTTTTCCTTCTTTTAAATCTACTCTCCTCCTTTACTGTGTTGATTCCCTTTATGTATTTAAATGTTTTTATCATATCCCCCCTGTCTCATCTTTCCTCCAAGCTATACATGTTCAGATCCTTTAACCTTTCCTTTAGTGGGCCGCATGTTGTGCAGATCTGGTTCAACACAAGAAGGTAAGGTGCTAGAGGCCTCCATTCTTACTTCATTGAGACAAAGTGGTCATGGTACCTAGAGTGTTCATTTACCATTAGGTCTGTGTTAGGGTGAGAAACTCAGCAACCAAAACCTGTTAATGGGCAAAGGAAATGAGAAGGAAGGCTACACTGCTCTTTTGTTTCTCCACCACTAGGCACCAGGAAGTTAAGACAATGGATTCTCTCTCTTTTGACTGTTGAGCTCATGGTAGGTAACCAAGACCCCATGAACCCCATCAAAAACTCCAACACCTTCCAGCTGCGAGAGGTGTTTCCTCTGCAACAACAGAGGTTAACTCAGTCATGTAATGTTTGATGTCCAGGAGGACGAGCGTCATCAAATACAGTTCAAGGGGAAACATTGGATTTAATGCTTCCAGGTAAGGAGTGTTTGACTGGATGCACGTGTGAATCTTGTTCCCAGTATTCCTGTGAAGCATTGGATTGGACAGGAAGCCAGAAATCAAATCCTCCAGTATGACATTGCGGGAGGCCTCTGTGAGCCTCTGTGCTGGAAGAAAGGTAAGTAAAATCATTTTTTTCCCCACTAGGAATTTTTTTTTCCCCACTTTTGAAAACTGGAAAAAAAAAAGGTCACTAGCTGTGACTGCAGTTAAGACCATTTAAAATCTGCGAAAAAAGGCTGAGGACTTTGTTTTCCACAATACCTTTCAACTGTCCCGGGACTGGCAGAACATTCTTGATGTGGGACTCCCCTTTTTGGAATTTTCCCTCAAAACTCCCCATAATGCAGTATACACTGACAGGGTAATTTTTTTCTTCTCATGTGATAGCACTTCAGGAGAGCTCTGCCCACAGGCTTTAACAGCTCATGTGTACCAGGCTGACCTACCACTCTACATGAGGCCACAAACAACCCCATTCCATATAATAGAACTTTAATAGGAATGTTGCAATAAATACAGTTAAACATTCAACTGGAGACTGAACGAATCCCTCCTGACTGACCCTGGCACGGACCAAAAGGTCCGCACACAAATCAGGCAATTTTTCTCAGATTGTGACACAGGCGATACCACCCCAATGCTTCAATGGGAGGCCCATAAATGCTCCCTGCGAGGTTTTCTCACATACAAAAGCTCGGCAGTTAGAAAAGGAACAGGCAACACACTTCCACCACTTACCCAAAAAAATACAAACACTTGAGACAACACACAAACAGACGAGACTCTTAACCGACTGACTGTTCTACGAAGGGACCTCGCTGACCTCATGACATACAAAACCCCGCAAGTCCTGCACACTATCATCCCATCCATTGATGAGCGCTGCTGGAGATGTGGGAGAGAGGTAGGCACCCTCCTACAACTGTAGTGGTGCTGTACCCGGATACGTCCATTCTGGAAAAAGATCTATAAAATTATTCAAAAATTACCCCCACCCCACTTTAGCCCAGCACCACTGCTACTGCACCACACCAAAATCCAGACTTCAGTCTATAAAAAGTCATTGACAATTAGAATCCTTAACGTAACTAAGAGTCTGATCCTCCTCTTTTGGAAACAGGAGAGAACCCCACCCCTTACCCTCTGGTTCCAAATAATGGAGGAGCTATGCTCCATGGATGACGTACCAATTGAGTGGCAGATCACAGACTATGATATCTGGACTCACTGGCTTCTCACTACGGAGTCTGCTGACTTCCAAGCACTCATACAATAGACCCTGACTTACAGCTGTGAACAGAAGCATGACAGGCCACTATGGGGGGGTCCACACAGGGAGGGGCAGGGGCGGTGGGGAACAGGGACCACCACCTTAAACTCCTCTCCCCCCCACCTCGTTATCCCCCTCTCCATCATTCATAACATGCCTCCTCTAAGGCAGCCTGATACTACCCGCCTGTCGCCGGTTCCCGCCTCTCTTCTCCCTCCCCCTTTTACCTAATCAAGAAGGAATCAGGATACGTACCCGATAGAGGGGGAACCCCAGGCCGCAATGCCTTATACACACTGCATACCACCAGTACAGAAGGAAAAAGCTAGGTGCATTGTACAGCGCTACAGAATTTTATGGCGCTATATAAATAATAAAATAATAATAATGAATACCGAGTATATGTCAGGCTGGGCATTACTGCATCTAACTTAGTGCCATTTGACAAGCTACCATTGTTACTTTGTTTTCTGTTTGAGGCCTGGGAGCCATACTGTTATGCACCAAATCATAGACCTGCGAGTCTACTATAAATTGAATCATCACGTTTACCACCAAACTTTTTACTGGAGACCTGTGCGTCTCATTGTATTGTTGCAAGACTTCCCTGCATACTTGCTGTTACCGAATGAGAAATCCCAATAAAAACCTATATTTACAAAAAAATTTAAGTAAATACAGTTAAAAAGCTAAGCAACTGGACATATTGCTTCACAAATAAATGAATATAAACATCACTCATTTCTAAATGACCGTTAAGGGAATGCAACGCAGCATGTTGCATTCAGAGTTTGGCAATTCCAGTGGAAATGTTATCATAAATATTGATTTTATTTTATTTAGTCCGGTTCGCTAATATTTTGCTGAAATATATTTCCTGGGTGTAAATAAATAAATCAATAAATATTGTAGAGGAGATAGTTATCACACAGGCTGTTAACCTCTTGCTATCAGAATTCTAGTCATAATATATATAAACATATATATATATATATAATTCGGATTGGAAGGGGTTTACAGCCTGTATAATGACTATAAAATTATGACTAAAATTCTGATAGGAAGACGTTAACAACCTGTGTGATAACTATCTCCTCTACAATTTTCTACATTTAGCCCGGGACTTTCCCTGCCCCGCCCACTCTAACCGATCCCGCTTTCCTATTGGTTTGCTTGGCCTCCTGTCTGTACGTGATTGGTTGTTTCTGCCAGCCAGCCACTCCTATCCCATCACATTTCCTGGTTGTAAATTCCGATTTGGCATAACTTTGGTTCTGAGAATGTTTCGTGTTCTAGTTTAATGGCTGTGTTATTGTGTGCTGTGCGCATTGACAACATAGAGTAACCGACCCATTTTATGGAGCACAGGTAAGTAGTGATCTCCCAATGAATGTGTATATCTGTTTATTGACCCATGGGGAGAGTCCAGCCGGCTGGCATTAACACAGGGCTTGTAGGCAGCACCATGCATTATGTGCTAATAGGATAACAACATTCAGTGTGGGGAGCAGCTCTCAGAACTGCAAACTTTAACATGAGTAAACTGTGATCCATCAGGCAGTGTGAGGAACTATGCAATTTAGGGAGTGAATCAGGTCGGTAATAGATCACTCTGCCTACCTAATAAAATACAGCGAGTTGTATATAGTTATACATTAAGTTAGAACTGTAGACATGGCACAAGCTTCTCCTTATTTAGAACTAATGGATCGTGTAAATGCCCATTCCAGACACGTGCTTTATGTGTGAAGTGTCTTTTTTTGTTTTCTTCAGTTTGCAAAACCGTGCAGCTTTCAGTAGAAATTGGCACCTTCTTAAATGAATCTTCTTGCACCCCCTGTCAATCAGACAACCATTCTGTCACTTCCTGGTTTGGTTAGCTAGGTGGAGCTAAACTCAAGAGGCAGCCATTGCTCAGAGCATCTGCCTTACAAAGACTTCTCACTGAGCTGCATTGGGACACCTGTGATTGGATATCCACAGAAAGTCTGGGGGTATATCTACCAAATAGTGATTTTTGGAGGTGGAGTGTCCCTTTCATTAAAAGTGCCATTAATATATTGCTGTTGTATTACTGAAAAGACTAAACCCTTAAACATGTAATCAAGGTCTACTCCCTAAACTGGGAATTCTCATGCGGGTTATTAATCGTGTGCCAAAATACTTGAGCTGGAAGAATGGTGTATCTGGAAACTGATCCCTATTTGACTATGCTCCCCTAATATTTTCAATTCCATTATATCCATATCACTATAATCCAATGTAGGGGTTATTGTACCAGAAAACTGCACAGTCTTCTCTCAGTAAAGGGTCACATTATTTGTACATGGTTTGAAACCTGCATGTTTCCTCCAGGCTTCCTTGCTGCTCCTAGTCTCCTCCACATAACTTACATTTTAAGTTTCTTAATGGCTGAGAGTTTCAACAGACATTGTCTGCAAGTGAATGACCTGAAAATACAAAATGTATCTAGCTAAACACAATCTGAACTTCCATTTTAGCAGTATGGGGAAGTATAGAAGCAGCATGGCAGGATCCATGTAAATGTCAAGTCATTTGCAAATGTTTTGATATGTTATAGGGGACTCCTGGCACCATGACCACTACAGGGGGCTGCAGTGGTTTTGGTGCATAGACTGCCCCATCAATGCAGTTTAATATGTATTTGTATATCAGTGTTCCACAAACATTTGTGATTGATTGATATTTTTTTTTTTTTTTCCTCCCTTTCTAGAACACAGTGCAACACAAAGTGTGAAACTAAGAGAGACTTTACATTTCTGGACCTAGCTGAATCATCCAGTTTTATGGTAGATCTGTCTCTATATAGGTTTGTAGGAGATTGGTGAAAAAGAATAAGATGTCGTCTATGCGATATTATTTGGCAACCCATGATTTCTCTGCCCTGCCAGAATCTATTGATGGGGTTTATGAAACTGTGGAGAAAGGAAGCATGCTTACACCAGTTGATGCTCCACCCACTGCCGTTATCCGAGTAGATGATCCAAAACACTCGCCCACTCCACTCTGGCTCCGAGTTCAGGAAACACAGAGAGTGGTCGGAGTTGCAGTGGAGTCAGTGATTGAGCTAGAGCCTCTGGTGGGTAGGATACTGCTGGCAGTGACGGACACAGAAGAACGTTTGGCATTCTTCAAAGACCGACGTAGAATGAGGGAAGTGATTGAATTAAAACCAAGGGACTGTGTCAGGGTGCAAGTCACCTCCTCCAGTGGGCGCAAGGAGAAGGGTGTGCTACATTACAGAGGACTTGTAAGCCACCGGCAAGGGATTCTCTTTGGGGTGCAGCTTGTAGTAAGTATTTGGGATATTTGTAGACAATCACCTAAAAATGCAATGGCTCAGATAATTTGAGAGAGTGCGTGCGTGTTTTTTTTTTTTTTTCTCTCCCCCTCAAATAGATGTGTATTCCTGATAACTTTTCTCTTTTTAAAGGAACACTCCCAATCCGTTGCATCTCATTGAATTGGTTCTAGTATCTGGAGTCCCCTGGTGCTGTCCCTCCATTCAGTGTTTTCCATTTTCGATCAGTTTAACACTGAATGCGGGTCCTTGGCCACCCTGCCCCCACTGGAAGTGTGGCTAAGACAGATTATAAGTGTCCTTCTATCCATACCAATTCAAAACCGCAATAAGCACTGTGATAGGCTTAAAGTGGTCAGTTACTACTATCAACCAATCACAGCTGCCCATTGCTGCTCAGGCTAATGCTTCCTCATTAGCCCAAGCAGCAAAGAGAGGATGGGCTGCAGGACACTCTCATTTAGCATTTAAGTATTGAAAACTGTTTAACACAGAGTATAAGGACAGCACCTGGTGACTTCAGATACTATAACCACTTCAGTGAGATGAAGCTGTTACAGTTCTTATAGTGTCCCTTTAATCGAAATTAAGTTGATATGGCGGGAGGTGTGCCTGGGTGCTGTCTTAACTTTAGAGCTTTGAGACCAATTTGCCAGCTACATCCTATGCAATAGACTTACAGGGTTATTTACTAAAGTGATAATAGCTGGGAATTCAACATGAATTTCAAATTGAAGGCCAAAGTAGCCAAACTGAAATTTGACCTTAAATTTGAAATTCACTTTGAATTCCCTGCAATTCTCATGTTGGTGAATAACCCTGTTAATGAAAGACTAATTGTGCTGCCTTTGTGTTCCTCCTGTCCCACCTTTCTCCTTAGGGATCAGCAGTTGGTAAAGGATTCACAGATGGTTCATTTCTTGGACAGCGGTTCTTCCAGTGCAATGAAAATTGCGGGGTTTTTGTTCCAGGAAGCAGGCTGGAAAGGGAGCCAAATGAATCCTCAAGTCGAAGAATGAGAAATGTGGAAGAAAGCAATGTGGGACGGCCAGAAGAACCTGTGCCAGGGCCCAGGAGAACCAACACTAGAGCAGTTGAACTCCCTGTAGAGCCACGACCAAAGCAATTGAATTTCCTCTCTCGTGGAGTCAGGCAACAGAGCCCTCCGCGGGCTGGAGAGAAAGAACAGGATAACGGTATTATTATTGCTGGTATTTTGTTTTTTATGTGTAAGACACAGTTAGTTTTGGAACAGAGTGCACTATGGGTTACATACACACTGACATACAGTGATTGCTGCGTGAAACAGAAGTTGTTGCGGTAAAAACTTAAACTTACACTGCAGGATATAACTCCCTCTCATTGTTTGTCCACTATATACCCAAGTCCTAAAAATAAATCTAAAATTACTTAAGGTACCAGTCTAGAGGTACTTGTTATCCCCAGCAATTACAACCTTCTGGAGTGATTTTTGTATAAAGGGACACTCCAGACCACTTCTACCCATTGGAGTGGTCTGGGTGCCAACTCCCATCACCCTTAACCCTGCAAGGTAATTATTGCAGTTTATAAAAAAAACTGCAATAATTACACACTTGCAGGGTTAAGTCCTCACAGGCACTAGAGGGACTTTTGGGTTCTTAAAACCTGAAAAGTGTTTTAAACGACGCTAGACGTCCTCACACTATGCATGAGGACCTCCAGCATCGACCGGAATCCCCAAACTAAAGCAGTCAATAATGCTTTCCTATGGGGAGGTCTAATATATGTGCGTGGGCGCGCGTGCTTGGCCATTGCCACTCATAAGGTCTCCCGCGCTGGCTGAGAGGGACATCGGCGCTGGATTCAGGTAAGTCACTGAATGGGGTTATAACCCCTTCAGCAACATGGGATGGGTGGTGGGAGGGAGGGGAGCACTGCAGGAACCTGTAATGCCAAGAAAACTGATATGTTTTCCTGGCACAGGAGAGTCTCTTTAAACTTGGAATTAGTTGACATCTGTCATTCAGTCATAGCTTTCCTATTCAATTAATTGGGAAATTTGAGCATATCCTATAAGAGCTCCTTCCCTGTATGGACGTATAGAACATATAGTTCAGCAAATGGACATAGTTTTGTTGGTGTGATGAATGAAAATACTCTGATAGCCGACAGCAGCTGCACCTTGGATACTACCCATTTTGTGAATGTATTTATAGGCAAGGCCATGGTTCATTCTTTTAAAAGGCAAAAAGAGCCTGTTCGAGTAGTTTGTGTATGGCAGAGAAACCTCCTACACATTGACACGGGAGATGTAATGTCTGTAAGTGAGGGTAAGCATTTAGCAGCAGAAGGTTTTACAAATTGGCTGCAGTTATAAGACAATCCGTGCCGAATAAGTGACAAGGCACACCCTTTGTACGTAGCATAGGTGGTTATGGTGCCTGAGTTTCAAGGTAGAGGTCGAGGCAACCACTGTCCAAGTACAAAAAATCCATTCTGCGCCACTTGTTAAACGCAGCTAAATCACTCATACCAGTGTACTGGAAGAAAACGGACATCCCCACACGGGAGGAATGGATCCACAGAGTTGAGGATATTAGGGCAGCAGAAGCACTTCAGGCAGAAATGGCAGGGAGAGGAGCAAAATACACAGAGACCTGGGCGCCATGGTTTACCTTCCGTGCGAGAATATAGGGGGGTGTCGGTGGTTGGGGAGAGGGCAGCCCTCACAGCATCCCCATACCCTACGCTACGATCCATAACCACCATCTTGCGCTGGCGGATACACGAGCCACACCTAACACACAGACTACAATACAAATATTTCAGACAGGGGAACAACATAGATAGAACAGACAATGGGACGCACGTGAAAAAATCGCGCACATACAACTAGCCGGAGCATGATCAAACACTACCCCTGCACGGACCCTAAGGCATAGGAGACTAGGTATAGGGTCATCACACACCACAGATAGGGGACCCGGACCTCATTAAAAACGCAGGTATAGGGGGACACAACGAGACATGTTTAGCAATCCCAACGATGTTACAGCCGGATGAAAACTCGGCGAAAACTGACTTAACCAATTCACCATAACAACTCCGACACTACAACGCGGTACTTTAACAGCTAACTCGGACTTTCAAGGAAGCCCAAAACACAATACCGAAGGGGCGAAATTTGGTCAACTAATTACCACCCAAGACAACAGCCATATTCCTGACCCACGTACAGCAAAATATTATGTCCCTTAATGGAAGACTCTGGACACCCACACATCATATTCCCACCCCTACATACATCCTAATAAGTATCTCCCCTCACTCATCATCCCCGAAACACGACACCCTGGCATCATACAGACCAATCAGGGAAATAGACCGGAGGCTTGATGGACCATTTGAGACACAGGGGACATCACCTAAAGAAGAATGGGAGATATCTCACCGCAGTAACGCGAGAGATAACCCTCCATGGATCTGACACGTTAAGTAATACTGACACACAGAGGTCCACACAATATGTGGGGATCTTTAATATAATATAACTTAACTTACTATAATCCACATTAATTTATTTTAATCTTTCGTTTTAGTTATTTTGTACTATGCTAACCTACTTATACTCCCTATACAATGACCCTCTTGACCCATAACACACTACATTGCATCACACCACACTCTCATACTTATCGACAAACGATGAAGAAGATTAACGTTATTAAGCATGCAACCTTAATGTACTTATGAAAATTAGTATAATCACCTGATCTCGCACCTGACAAGCTCACTTGGATACACACGGTATCAATATAAAAAACAGCATTGCAATTTATGAAAAGGACCACTGTTCTAACTGAAATATGATATCCGATGTAAAATGAACCTGACTGTAGTTTCTATTTTGATATATACTATACTCAAATTATGTACCTATACTATGTTATTGATACGGGCCTGCGAGCCTAAGCATTATCTTGTTCACACCTTAATAAAAACTGATTATATTAAAAAAAAAAAAAAAGGTAGAGGGATTTTTCCCTTTAGAAAGAAAGTACACAATGGCGCTTTACGTAAATCCATACTACAAAATTTTATCAACACAGGAAGGGAACTGGTAAATCGTACACAGCATGTAGCAATAGCAGGGGCTTTTGTTACTTTTAGGAAGTGGGATATACTTTTAATGCACAATCTTAGAATGTCTGTAAGAAATAACCCCCTTATTTATATTGTTGTATCCTGACTTTTGGCGGCTTATACCCTGGATATCCGAGTGACTGATCTCTTTTAGAATTCCAATCACTGGTGCAGTAAAAGATCTGTCGGTTATTGTTCTGGGCTGAGGCATTTAACAGCAGTGGATTTTTAAGATTAATCTCTCTATAACTGTCACAGCAAGGGGAAGCTAACAAACACCTAAAGTAAGGCTGATGAATGTATGGGTCAAAGGTCTCTGTAAGAGGATATTTCTGTAGCTGTAATCTATACTCTCATGGACTGTCATTCTGGTGTTGATCTCTCTAGTGGTGGAGCCCAAAAATATTTGCTATTTGGCCATAGTGTCAGCTCTAAATTTCAAAAATTGTATTTATAATGTATTTTTATGACTGTTCTTTAAGTACAACATACTTGTTTACAATATATCTGTTTCCTTATAATATCAATTTAGTTTTAAATCAGATTGCAGGAGAAATGACACCGGATGTGACTGCAATCATAACAGAGAAGCCGATCGTTACTGCACATGAGCTGTATATCTTCAGTGCCCTTCTCAGAAACCAAGCTAGATTAATATTGTCCAAGGCCCTAGGCAGGATGCCAAATGTGTTGCCCCTTCTAGAGACCTGGGTTCATTGGCCATGTGTTCATGAGAGTATGTGCTAGCTGGGTGGTGCGGGTGGGGGGGGGTAGGGAGAGGCTGTGTGTGTTTGGAAGGCCTCCTTGCACATCTTTCCTTTTACATTTTTATTTAATTTGCCCCCTCCTGCTTATATTTTGGCATTGCCCACTCCTTCCGATGTGGAAGCATTTTGGTTTTTACCTTTATTGGGTGCAGTGTCTTTAAGTTTGCCCTTAGCGTCCTGGAGTTTAGTCCGTGCCTCAGATCGATGGCTGCTGTACTTTGTCATTGAGAAGTGCTGGGATTGTGAGGGAGCTCTTACAGTGATCTGCACCCAATAGAGGCACAAACCACAATACTTCTTCGATCTACTGAAGTAGGTGTTAGGCCGAGCAGGCTGATATTTTGATCTCCCTGCTAATGCAGGGAAGGCCCTCTTACTATCAGTCAGCACTCCAGGCAAAGACAGGGACATATGTCATCTAGTAGGTAATCCAGCTCTGCTAAGTTCCATTTTATTGGACAGCGGTCGTCATGCTGGTATATCCGATTGCAGTGAGGAGTCTGTCTAAGCTTAAAAAATATATCCATGTAAAATGTTGGTTTTCTTCTTTTTAAGAAAATGGGGGGAAAAAAAGGCATAGCACAACTACCAATAGCATTGTTTGGAGAATCACATATTAAAGCCTACATTATATATTTTGGAACAAAGCCATTTTTTTATTTTTTTTTTTATATATATCTTGTTTTTGTGCCTCTGATATGCATATCTAGTGTTTTATCTGGATACTAGATTGCAAGGATAGAATTAATATCTCATTGGTTTTCTGCAGAGCTTGGACCAGTAGGGGAAGGAAGGAGTGCTCAGCGTGGTGTACCAGAGGAGAACACTATACAGGGTAAACCCGATAAAATAAAAAAATTATTCCAAGGGTACAATGCATAGGTTAAACATGTTGCTTTGGAAGCATGAGAGAAAAGGTAAAAACAAGTCCATATGAAGAAAAAAGAGCATACTGGGCATTGTGTAAGGTGACATGACACAGGGCAGTTATTAGATTAATCTGGCTCCTATATCAACACATATGTGACACTGAATCAAATCCTTGGCATGCAGAACACCTGAATAGTCACAAACTGTTATATTTATAGATTGAGGATTCTATTCAGTGTGATATTGGAGGGCTGCATATTGGGTGCAATATTTGTATTAACCGTATTTGTTTTTCTTACAACAGTGGAAGAGGAACCTAAACCTTTTAATACACCGCTGGAGATATCAGACTCTCAGCCTTCCTCTCATTCTTGCCCTGAAGATCATCGACCACCTTCCAGTCTTTACTGCCCCCCTAAGAATGGGGACCATACTAGTCTACTGCCTGAAGCAACATTTCCAATGCAAGGTTTGGAGCTGAATTCAATGGTTGAAGTAGATGACCCCCCTATCTATGGGGTGATTCGTTGGATTGGGCAGACCCCAGAATCTGCTGAACCCATAGCTGGGCTTGAAATGGTAAATTAAATCTGTTCTTCATAAGCAGCAATTGAAACACAATATTATAATGTAAAATATTTAAATGTGTTATGATGGATGGCCTGATTTGCTTGGTGCAAGCCACGAGCACGCGAAGCCATTTTTGTGATTGTTTTCCATCTCCATAGGCATCTCTGTATTTTGTATCTGTATTACACATAGAGAAGTGTGTGTCTGTATATACAGCTGTGGGTCAACAGAGGGTGGAGCAGCTTGCCAGGCAGGTATAAAGTATAGTTGGGTATGAAATGTATTTTGTGGGTGTAATAAGTGCGGGGACTGATTAACAGCCAAACTGTATGCTAATGAAATTGGAGATGATAAAGTGGGCTAATCTTGACCACCTGCTGTGGGAGCCAGCAAGTCTATCTGCTAGAGCAAAGGGCTGTGTTGATGTAACCAGAGATGGCTCTGAAGGGGAAGGTGGGTACAATCAAGAAACCATTTGTTGTCAGAGTGGATTTGCACAGGGGGTGCGAAGAACTATTGTAAGGAATCACTTTGTAGCTTTGTAGTTTTTTATTTATTTATTTTTTTTCTGTGCCCTGTTCTTTATTCCCATTAGTGAAAGTTTTGTGTAATGTTTATTTTACCTTATGCTGTGATCCATGTACGTTGGATCTGGATACAATAAACTGAGTCCGAGTTCTGTTTTAGTTGTCAAGAAAGAAGCTGGTGTTGTCTCTTCATTGAGGTCTCACAAGATATGGCTATTCATTGTCCTCTTTAGAGTAATTCCTAAGAAGAGTATTGCCAGAAGACTAGATGGATAGAATATCATATAGTAACCAGATATAAACTCAGTATATACTGCATACGCTACCAAAAATTAGTCCTAGCATTTAGATGTGCAAGTTATGTAAAAAGAATACCCACGGACAATCTATTAGGCTGTATCATCATATGTGTATATGTATGTAAAAGCAGGAATACCTCCTCCTTCCTAAACTACCATCCTCTACAAGGGCATATCATCTCAAAATTAATTTCTGTTCTATTTACCAAAATTAGTTTGTTACCTACCTCAGCACTCTGTGAATCTTCTCTCCTTTGTTTCCTCAGGAAGAAGAGATGTCATCTGGCTGCACGGATGGCATGTATAGAGGGAACAGATGTTTTGAGTGTGGGCCCAATAAAGCACTATTTGTCAAACTGAAAAGTTGTAGGCCTGACTCTCGATTCTCTTCTCTTCATGGCCGAGTAAATCAAATCCAGCGCTGTAATTCTATTGGTGAGTATGTTCACCGTCAACACGTACAAATATATTTGAACAGTCATAACTGAGTTATTCTATTATAAGCTGGAATGATACTTGCAACAGTTCCCAGTTCTCTTCGGCTTATATCCCTCCCCAAACTAGACAACAAATAATGCAAGGTACAAGGACATCCTCTATTGTCACCAACTACTATATTTATTTAGGGACAATTGCAACAGGGGGACACAAACAAGAACAATGAATCTGCACCTGGATCTGTGAAATGATTTAACTAGGAAAATTACCTTTATTCAGTCACCAGATATCAGGGCGCCAAAATAATAAAACATACAAAAATCCTCACTTAAATATGTTATACATAGAAATCGTACATCCTCAGAATAGTCTTGTTCCCACAAGCAAAGTGTTCACTAAGCACCCAGATTGGATGTGCCTAGCCCACAAAATCGTTGAACGGGGTTAGTACGGACTGAGGTCACATCCCAATCCGGCATGGAGATCCAAGTTGCTGCGGCTAAGTGATGGTCATCGAAATAGTCTTCTTCATGGAGAAAGGTGGTTTCCCCTGGTTCTTGGGTATCGATTGGGACAGTTTGGTCCTTCGAGACCCCGTGCCAGATGAAGTTCTGAGTAAGCCAATACTTGGTATGGCTAAATCCAAGGTGCCCAAACAGGTGAATGTAATGAATTATTTTGAATAGCTCCTGACTGTACATATGAGGGATTACCAAATGTCGGGCCTGGGTCGATGTGGACACTATCTGCTATCTGGTACTATAAACCCTGGTGCCAGGTAAATCTCTTCACTTCTAATCCTCCCCTGTTGTCAATAGCCCTGTCTTGGTATACTTGGAGGTACAGGTCCTCTAACACCCCCTTTCCAAATCCTGCTGGGGTATAACACGTTTGGAAGCTTCAGTCACAGTCCAGGGGGAAGGGGCAGTTTGTCCTACCTGAGTGTCCAGGTTTGAGCTAGCTTGGCAGAACAAGCCTGTAGTCAGACGGTGAGTGAACAGGACTCCTTAACACTGGGCTGGTGAAGGCTGAAGGTGAGCTGGCCCAGGTCATTACCTTGTAAGACTTCTGCTGGATACTCCTTCATTATTCCGACTGGTGATGATGTTGGTGGTTGTCAGCAGCAGCCTGGACAAGGTCTGCCTCGTGTTGTATCCCCCACATTTTTTCAATGGGTTGTGGGTCAGATCCAACTCAGGTTTGTGGCTCTTTATGGTAAAAATGTGCAGCTGCTCGAGGGACCAGTGGGTGGGGCTGGGGGAGCCCATTAGGTTCCGTTTCTTGAAGGTAGTCCGTGCGCAAATGCCCATATTGCCGGCATACATGGCACTGTGGACCTAGTTGGTGTGGGGTGGCAAGCCCTAGGGGATCTCACCAGGGGTCAAGCAGTGCAGTGTATAACTGCAACCCCTAAAAATAAAATATAAAGCCATGACGTCACTACCTTAAAGGAACCATGTCATCTAGGTGATCCAATGCTGTTTGGGCTTGCAGAGATGACGTGGACCAATGGGAACTCTTTTGAGCCTATTTAAAGCTTGTTTTAGCCTCCATTCTTTGCCCTATGGTTTCTGTTCCCTTGTGATTTTCTTGTGTTTTGACTTCGGCTTTGTATTTGACTCCTGATTTCTGGTATCCTGACCCCAGCTTTGTCTTGACTCTGAATATTTCTGTTATTACTGTCCTTGATTTATCTTCACCCTGTTTCTTGTTGTATTCATACGTCAAGTCCAGCCATTCTAAGGCTCGGTAAAAAGTCTTTCGGATCCACCTTTTGTGGCTTTCCTCTTGCAGCCTCAGTTAGGATGAGCAACCGCTGGTCCTGCGGCCGTTCCTGTACTTCAGGTTACACATTATTGTAAAACTGTTCTAGTAGGATTAACTGCAGCGCCTCCGTGAGACTATTTACTTGGCAGCGCTTTGTCCAGTTTAGGGCTGCACGCTGCATACTCCATGCCCACTCGACATAGGAGTCTTTGTTCCTGCACTTTAGGTCCCGGAAGCGCAGGCGATATACCTCAGATGTAATAGCATATAAGGCAAAGAGCACTTCTATGACCCAATCATAGTTCCTTCAATCTACATCAAGGATGGCTGGGTAAGCCTCTGTTGCACATCCTGAGAGTTTCCCGGCCAGGATTGGGACCCAATCCACCAGGCAGGGCTGCCATCAGAAAATTGCCCCCACCCGAGTCTGCCCAAAGTGCTGGCCCCCCCTCCCCCCAGAGTCCGCCAACAGGGATGCTGTGTCTGTACTGATTCTGGTGTGTGTGTGTGTGTGTGTGTGTGTGTGTGTGTGTGTGTGTGTAAAGTGGATGTAGAATGTGTATAGTGGATACAGATTGTACATTTTGTGTAATGTATGAGGTATATATTAGATGCAGAGTGTGTGTTTGTGTAGTGGATGTAGTGTGTGGTTTTTAGTGAATGCAGACTGTGTATGGGTGTTTGTGTAGTGGATGTAGTATTTTTGTGTATTAAATGTGATGTGTATAGTGAATGCAGACTGTGTGTTTGTGTAGTGGATGTAGTGTGTGGTTTTTAGTGAATGCAGAGTGTGTATGGGTGTTTGTGTAGTGGATGTAGTGTTTGTATTAAATGTGATGTGTATAGTGAATGCAGACTGTGTGTTTGTGTAGTGGATGCAGTGTGTGTAGTGACTGCAAAGTGTGTGTGTGTTTGTGTTAGGAAGTAGTATGTGTAGTGACTGCAGAGTGTATGTTTGTGTAAGGATGTGTGTGTAAATTTTAGTGAATAGTGTGTGTATGTTAGTGTATAGTTTGTATAAATGTTAGTGTATAGTGTGTGTAAATGTATGGGGCTGCAAAATGTGGGGGGAAAAGCCTACAGGGTTTTTTTTTTCATCCATTAATAGTATTGTTTTGTTCCCCCCCTCCCTATATCTCACCTGTGGCCATGGAGGGGGGAGATCAGATTGGCTGGAGCCAGAGGTCCTGAGGAATGGTGCAGGCCCCCGCTACCTGTATTTTGCAGGGGGCCCAGCACACCTGAAATATACTTCCCAGCTACTCTGCTCTGTAGAAGTCTCGCGAGCCGTGCGGAGCGTTGCCATGGTAGCGGGGGGGGGCCTGCAGTGCACACATATATAGCGTTAATCGCTATATATGTGTGCACATATCTAATGTGGGGCCCGGGACGACCTGAGCAGTCCGGGCCCATGACAACCGTTATGGTTGATATGCCCTGATGGCGGACCTGCCACCAGGTCACTCTCATGGAGGGTACATTGTCTTTCAAAATCTTGTAGGTAACCACCAGGTATGCACTCTGTCTCCACAAAGGGTTTGAATGCGAGGTACGGCTGGATGGATCATTGGAGAGATCAGTACTACTTCCCTTACCTGCCTCATCCCTTCCAGCCAGACCTTGAGCTCTCTGTCCTGCTCTGATTTAATAGCCTCATCAGAACATGTTTGGGCCATAGAATACCATTTGCAATTTCATCTCCCTCTGGAACTCTGCGTCCTTTGAGAACGAGTTGGACGAGGCTGTGCTGGCTTGGTGCCCCTCCATTAACTCCTTGGTAGACTAAGACTTGTTACTAGCTGCCTGCTCTCTTGTTTCGAGCAACTTCTTCAGCGTGCTGCACTTAGATAATCTGGCTCCGTCCACTGCCAGAACACCTTGTGTCCGGTTGGTTTAGCAGTCCTCAATGAGTGACTCTCCTAGGGATGGGGACATCCCACTTCTGCCACCAGATGTGACGGAGCTACGTGTCTGTCTAAAGTTCTCTTCATGCTACAGAAAGATGCTCTTCTATCACCCTTCTCAAACACTAGACGACACGTGCAGGGTACAACACCATTTATTGGCACCAACAGCTGTATTTATAGTGGACAATAGCAACAGTGGGCCACAAACAGGGTTTTCTCCCAGGTGACTCTGGGTCAGTGAGATAATTTAATTAGGCATAGTTAACTTTATTCAATCCTTAGACGCCAGTGCACCCAACTACTTAAACATACAAAAATCATAACTTGAATATAAGTGAGGGTTGTGTTTTTTTTGTTGTTTTTTTTTTCATATATTCAAACCATACATCCCCTAGATAGGTCTTGTTCCCCCAAGCAAAGTTTCCAAAAAGTGCCCAGATCAGATGTACTTAGCCTGAGAAATCATCGAATAAGGTTAGACCACATCACATCCTGATCAGGCTTTCCCTGGCTCTTAGGTAGCAATTGTCAGCTTGTCTTTTTTTTTTTGCCTCCTTTTTAAAAAGCACTCTTCTGGGTATTAAATTCAGGGCGTAGGAAAGGCCGGTAGTTTCACCGGAGCTGGACCAGGCTGACTTTGAGTACCAAGCAATGGAAATGTTGTTCCTGTGACAGTTTTGTGGACTGGAGATGGAGCACTCACCATGGTAGAAGCTTTAAGATGGTAGAGGATGGCCACAGGTGACTTAGCTCTTTTGCAGAAGTTTTTAATTTAGGTGTACTGCACGAGTTAATCCACCGTCATGGTGCAGGATCCGCATACTTTGCAGGTATAAATGTGTTCGAAAAGTGGGGCAATATTCTAAAACCTCAGCACTCGTCGTGGAAAACAGTGAGCTGTTCCTGCTGTTACTATTGGTTCTGTGGTAAATTGGCTCTACTTTTCAGTTATCAACACTTATTAATCTCCCTGATTTGCCTTTGCACTGCTGATGTCCTTTCTGTTTCTGTGTTTTCAGCATTCCAGGACTATGCTAGTAAGTGTGTTGAGGAAAATACTCCCCCAGCTGAAGGAAATGAAGCAATAGAACTTCTGACCGGTTGGAAAAAGGGTATCCAGGGACACTGCAATTCCTGCTACTTGGATGCAACCCTTTTCTGGTAAGGAACGTCATGTCATCTCTTATTTCTAACATATATATATATATATATATATAATCAGACAAACTCTTGTCACGTCTTCCATCCAATCTTCCTCCTGATGTCCTTGTAAAAAGAATGCCTAGTTGAAAAAGCAAGATTGCTAGTCAGACCGCGGCTGAATAAGTGCAGCAGCAGAGGAATGTCAAGCTAGGCTTCCTGAGCCCCTGACGAGTAACCCAGACGAAACGTGCGCGTCAGGGGCTCAGGAAGCCTAGTTTGACTTTCCTCTGCTGCTGCACTTATTCAGCCGCGGTCTGACTAGCGTTCTTGCTTTTTCAACTAGGCATTCTTTTTACTTGTCCTATCCTCTGTCTATTTATTCGTTTTTGGGGGGTTGAGTTATATAGTATAGGCATTTATTAAGGGGTGCCCTCGAAGGCACTTAGTTTTTCTATCTTACAAGCGTCAGGATTACCTATATTTTCTACATCTCTATTTATCATTGCATCTAATCCTAGCTTGTTACTGCCTCCTATACCTCCCTATTTACAGGTATTCTCTGCCTCTTTTCTATTAACTATTGCAACCACATTGGTGTGCTGTTTAACCTCCTGTGTATTAGAGATACTTTATCTATATACAGCAGACCCTGTCCTGCAGGAGGAGTTCAGAGGATACCAATACTCCACCCTCCTATCTTGAACATTGTTTATAGCAAGTGGCTTCACTTTTTACTATTTAAGTATCTCTCTGTATTTACACCTTTTTGGGAGGTTGTGCTATATAGTATAGGCATTTATTAAGGGGTGCCCTCGAAGGCACTTAGATTTTCTATTTTACAAGCATCAGGATTATCTATATTTTTTACATCTCTATTTATTTATCATTGCATCTAATCCTAGCTTGCTACTGCCTCCTATACCTCCCTATTTACAGGTATTCTCTGCCTCTTCTTCATTAACTATTGCAACCATATTGGTGTACTGTTTAACCTCTTGTGTATTAGAGGTACTTTATATACAGCAGACCCTGTTTTGCAGGAGGAGTTCAGAGGATACTAATACCCCACTCTCCCATCTTGAATTCAATGACATTGTTTATAGAAAGTGGCTTAACTTTTTACTATTAAAGTATCTTTGTATTTACATCTCTCTTGCTAGCAAGCGTCAGGATTACCTATAGTTTCTATATTTCTACTAACCATTATATCTAACCTAGCTTGCAACTGTCTCCTGACAGGTATTCCCTGCCTCTTTTTTATCAACCATTGCAACCAACTGTTGTGCTGTTTAACCCCTTGTGTACTAGAGGCATTTCATCTATATTCTACCTACCCTGTTCTGCAGGAGGAGTTTAGAAGATACTAGTATCCCACTTTTCTATTTAGAATTCAGTCACATTGTTCATAGCAAGTAGTTTTACTTTACACCAATACATATTTCTTTGAAGCAACACTTCTCTTGCTATTGGTTCTATTGGAGGTTTAATACCCCAACTAGTTTATAGGACATATTTTGTAGCCTTGTGCTTTTTGTTTTGCTTTTATCTTTTCTATTTTACATTTTAATATATCCATTAAAAGTTATTTTTTATGCCCATTTCATTGTGACTATATTTTCCAAAATGTTGAGTCACTTTATGGTAGTTTTTTTTCTTTTCTTTTCTTTTTTGTACTAACATAGGCTTACTCCTTCCACCCATTCTACAGAATGTTGTAAAATGTCTGTTGGTCCTAACATTACAACAGGAAGCACTAGTTTCACATGGCACTAACTTTCTTTTAATGTTTAAAAACCTAGCACTCCGACAACTTACAAAGCACTTAAATTTGCAATAAATGTCCTTGGATGTCTTCTCCTGCAGCCTCCTTGTGACCTTCAGCTCACAATGTTGAATGCAAGACATAGGCTAAGAACACAGTGGGTGAAAAGGTGGCATGGTTAACGAGGCAGGCTTATGTGGCAAAGCAAGCTTCAAACTTTCTCTTCTTAAATATTGAAGGGAGAGAGAGGGAAATGCAGCAGAAATATGAGGCCAAAACAGTGTCCATTTTAAATGAAATATTTCACCCAAAACACACATTTAACATATTTCTTTTCAAGAACAATCAGCAATATGTTTCTTCTTTTTAAAATAATCACATAAATGGTTTAATATTTACTTTTTGTTTTGAAATGGTAAAACCTTTACATATTTAACATCTGTTTGAAATGAATGCAATACATGTTTACATGGGGTGGAGAGGGAAATGCTGTTTATGGCCTTGCAATGATAACTGCTGTCAGTTACCTATTCAAAAATAACAGTGTTTTGTTATCTATGTATTCATACATGTCTATATGTTGTGGGTTTGTTCCATCTGTTCTTTCCATTTCCCAACTATCCCTTGTGTTCTCAAATATAATTAAAAAAAAAACATGCTTCTAGCTCCCAGTGTAGTTTTAAGGGAAAGGTCTATTTGAACAACTTAGGACATGTCTCTCTTTTTTTAGGAAACATGGAATCAGGTGTCTCTTTGATGTTTCTAATCTGATATATATAATTAGTATTTTAATTATTTTTTTTTAATTATTTTTTTTAAATCTGGCTCCTGGGTGAATGCCACTAGAGGTGTTACTAGGCACCAATGTAAACTCATGCCTTTTCTTTTAAAACGGATAGTGGGTAAAACTTGATAGTGGGTATTCTAGTACAGTGCTCTATTTCTACAAGATTAAGGCCTGAAGGGTGAAATGTTTTATGTTTGTTCTGTCCTTTTGATCCAGTAAAATCCTGACTGATGCACTACATCATGATGCCTATGGATTATGTCTGCTGATTGGTAATAGTGTTAAGCCATACATGTGTTTAAAGGGACACTATAGTTACAGAACCACTACAGCGAAATGTATTGATTTGGTTCTGGTATCTATACCATGGCTGTAAACACTTCCGTTTTAAAAGAAAAGGCATGAGTTTACATTGGTGCCTAGTAACACCTCTAGTGGCAGTCACCCAGGCGGGTGAAGAGTGTCCACACTCTACAAGGAGACGCTGAACTTTCACCATGGAGATGCATTGATTCAATGCATGTCTTTGAGGAGATGCTGACTGGTCGAGCGCATGCATAAGCCTCCCAATGCTTTAATATAGTATTGGATTGGCTGAGATCAATTATCGATTAATTATCTCAGCCATGAAGGTGGAGTCAGCCGCAGCAAGACTTGCACAGTGGTGGGAAAAAAAATGTAACCTTTCACTGCACAGAGTAGTAGGCCAGGTACCTAAACTGCTACACCAGCACTATAGTATCAGGAATACATGTTTGTATTCCTGACACTATAATGTTAATTTAATTTCTGCCTGCAGTCATTGCACGTGCTGTATTAAGCTCTGGCAAAAAAAGGCCTCCTTTTATATAGTACACGATCTTCTTGCAGTTTTGGGTCAACAACTGTTTCTAGATCTAAGTTTTTTTTTTTTTTTTTAAAGGATGGTGAAATAAAACATCACTTCGATATTTAAGTAGTGAGTTGTGTATACATTAATATCACTTGTGTTCCTGTGTATCAAAATCAGACCTGTCCTAATTTAATCATATTTCTTACCTTGCTTCCCACTTGACCAGATGACTAGCATCCAAATTTTGACACATTGTCAGTAGCAGCATGGTGTATGCCTCAGAAATCTAACCTAAACCTCTAAATTAACCTAATATAGAATTTTATTTTATTTTTTAAAACTGACCTGGACCTACCTGCAAATTTCCTTTTAAAAAATGTCACAAACCGACTAAACAAGTATCTCTTTCTAGGCATACATTTTATTCTAACCCGAAGTAAAATTCTAACTCAAATTCTACAATCCTAGCCTTGGACCGAGACTTTAGTTAGGCTGAGTGATTTGTTTGAGCCAGTTCCAGCCACCACAATGCTGCCTCGAGTCAAAGGGCATTCTACAAAATAGCCATCTAGGAGGTGAAAGATTCCTTTTAGACTACTTGTGCCAACTCTGGATTTAAAGATTTTGTTATGGCCATCTTTTTATATATGGATTGCATGTATACCTTGCTGTTCTGAACTGGAGATAAAGTTAAGATGGTATAAACTATTGAAATATAATTTAGCTACATTGATCCTATGTTACTATTTTTCAGCATGTTTGCATGTTCCTCTGTTTTGGACACCATGCTCCTTCGTCCATCAGACAAGAATGACAATGATTCATACACTGTAACGCGGGACCTGTTGCGCACTGAGATTGTAAACCCACTCCGAAAGTGAGTGTCCGCACTAAGTAGGATCCCACAGAAGAGAGCATGCTGTCTTGCTTTTAAGTTATTTATTTTAACATTGTGTAAATCGGATTTTTATATGTAATTTATTTATTTTTCTCTCTCTTTCACAAACCCATATTTGTGACACCGTGTTAATACTATTACCAGGAATGGTTATGTGTGTGCCACCAAAATCATGGCCCTGAGGAAGATCTTGGAAGCTGCAGGGAGGAGTACAGGGTTCACAAATGAAGAAAAAGGTGAGCAAATTGTACGAATATCTGAAAACTCCAACGTACAAGATTAGGATGTTTACAAAGTATGATATACTAAGGCTGAAACAATAAGTAGTATTCTTTCATAGATCATATATCTTCTATTGGCAATATATTTGGAGTGTTTACAATTGGTGTGATCTTAACATGCTAATATTCTGTGACGTTGCATAGTGTACAGTGCCTTAATTTCTTCCTCCAATTATACAATTTAAAGGAAAGATAAGCTAAATTTATAATGGTAGATTTGTTCCCATCTATATAAATATTCAGTATGCTTGAATTGCATACAGTACTGTATAATTAATACAATCTTTATCATCTTTACTTGCGTATTTAAAGACATTTGTATCTACAATAAATTTTAAATGTAGTGAAATGAATATCAGTTATGAACTTTTTTTGGTATATAATCATTTGGAAAAATCCTCTGATATGAACTTTGTGTACTAGACTTGTGTTTTTTACCCAGAATGCTTTGCCTAAATCTGTGTGATCTTTGTACAGATCCTGAAGAGTTTCTCACCAACTTGTTCCAGGTCCTTAGGGCAGAGCCTCTGTTTTATATCAGGTAATACCAACCACAACCATCACTAGCACAACATGATTTACCATTTCCCTTGTGTTCATTTGGAATTCTTGTCCTTACATTATTTTACACCATTTTGATTTCTGATATTAAAGTGGATCTGTCAATTTTATGAGAGGTTTTTGCATATTTCACAAATAATTAGACTGATTCAGTGTGGATCTGGTAAAGGGGTGCTGGGGAGTCTGGGTTTTACTTAATTCCGGCTGTGCCTTGCAGCCACCGCAATTTTCATGCTGCAGGTCTCTTCGGCTCCAGACAGAGGAGTTCCTCTGGCTTTATCATAAGACAAAAATAGTCCCTACTTGTCTAAAGATAACTTTTAATTGGTGTTGGAATTTCAGTGAAATTCTAATGAGCTGTAATCCATATTTTATAAAGCTTATAACTTGAAGACTTACTGAAAAGTGACAGATCCACTTTAAATATTCCTTGTTGAATCTAATATTTGTGATTTGATTCCATCAATCTAGAATATCTAAAAAGAAGCCTCAGGGATGTCTGTTCTACCAGATATTTATGGAAAGGAAGCTATCTGTGAATATGCCCAGTGTCCAGCAACTCTTGGAGTGGTCAATGGTCACTGGTGACCTTAAGTTTACAGAGGTAAAAATGTGCATACTGAGCTTAATGACTAGGTGTGTTTGTATAGAATATATACCCAATGCCTCACATTCACTTCTCCCCACCTTGTCGTTGCCTCCATGCCAAACTCTGGCCTTAATTTTATAAATACCCAAAAAGAGCTCACTCATAGGACTAGTATTCAATCAATAGTTATTTATTAATGCAGAATTTACAAGTGTTTAAGTCAAAATATATTTTAATCATTTATCAACAATAGGCTAATTTTAAGAATAATTGCAGCTTTTTAACCAAAATGTTTTTTTTTGTTTTGTTTTTTGGTGAACTGAATCACTCCCTTACTCTCAGGAATGCTTTCCTATATGGAGGGCCTATTGTGCATGTGGCACTCACTCTTCATGTGCGTTAGGTCCTGCCATCAGAGAAGGCAGCAATGATACAGGGACTAAAATAAAAGTTAATTTAACCCTTGACAGTGCAGGAGCGCTGAGGCTGTGAAACACAGTGATAGAAATACCTTTTGTATTTATAACACTAAAGTGTTCCTTTAAGTAGAGATTTTGTGCACCAAATGGAAGTACTCTTTAAGTTGGCATTATATTAAAATATGCAAAATGCCTTATTGATATTTATCATTATTGTAGGCCCCATCCTGCCTTATTATCCAGATGCCAAGAAATGGAAAGAACTTCAAGATGTTCCCTACCATCATTCCAACAGTAGAGCTGAATATCACTGACCTGCTGGAAGACAGTAAGTGATCAAAATTTGTAATAGTTATGATTAAAAACCCGGGTTGGTGTTTACAAACTAACCTTTCCTTTATATTTGTTTCAAGCCCCACGGCAGTGCTGCATTTGTCAGTCCCTGGCGGAGGTGGAATGTCAGGAATGCTATGAAGATGTTGGAATCACTCCAGGACACATAAAGCAGTACTGCGACATCTGCAATGCACAGGTACCACATTTTTAGTCTTAAAATGCAAAGCCATAAATAAATAAATAAAATCAGGTGATCTTAGGATTGACCTAAGGTGTATATGGGTATTACTACAAAGTTTCTTCGGAACAGGTTCATCTTCACAAGCAGCGCAAAGGACACCAACCTAGGCAGCTACATTTTCCTAAAGATATCAGTGGACAAGTCATGTTTCAACGACAGAGCATGGAACTCTTTGCTGTGTTATGCATAGAGACCAGTCACTATGTGGCTTTCGTTAGGCTCAACTCCCAGAAACGTCCACTTTGGGTCTTCTTCGATAGCATGGCTGATCGAGAGGGTGGGTTATTATGTTCTATAAATCTTTTCTTGGTTTCATTTAATTGGCTGTCCAAATTATGCCTTCCCTCATATCTGTACTTTTGAATATATCATTTATTTTCTTTCTCCTAAACCCCATCTCTCATCTCTAACTCTTATTGCTCTAAGCCTCTTTAGTTTTGCCACTTTTACTTTAGTCCGTGTTATTGAAAATTTCAGTCTATTTGTAGGTGGAGAAAATGGCTTTAACATCCCTCGAGTTACCCCCTGCCCAGAGGTATCAGAATATCTTGAAATGACTCCTGAACAGCTTCAAAAAGAAGATCTAAAGACCATGCCAACATATGTCCGCCGTCTCTTTTGTGATGCTTATATGTGCCTCTACTATAGCCCTGACCTCAGCCTTTACAAATAGGTGCTATGTCTGAAAAAAGGCAGGAAGAGAACACTTGGGGGTTCCAAATTCACTTTCTATTTCGTTATTCACTAAACTGGAATTTAGGAAATCTGAATTGCAAAATAGCCAAGCTTTAAGTAGAGTTTAGGTGGAATATTTTTAGTGAACAATTCTGTATGTGCACTGTGGAAAAACTGGAGTCTAAATTTCTAAAATGGTACATTTTGGTCCATGGATTTCTAAAACCATTTTATACACTTACCTGTGACCTCAATGATTTATTTTTAGCCCTTGTTTTGCTTGTCTTTTGTTCAAGGAAACAATTAGACACAAAATCCGTTTCTACATTGCTCTGTTAGGTACATCCTGCTTACGTCTGACTTTGGTCAAAAACAGGGTAGAGGAAATGCTTCCCTTAACCAGTAATCAGAAACTGGTTTCACTGCACATATGGTTCCTATTTTCAATGATGTGCTGCATATAGTGCTTTTCTTGGACCAGCTGGCAGGGCCAAAATGGAATTTATTGGAGGTTTGGTGCAAGAGAACAGAGGTTTACTGAAATCAGATCTCACATGTTATTCCATGCCAACTAGGAGTGTTAGAAAAGTCTGCAATAAGACACATTTTTAAGCTGACTTTTCATATTCCATCCCACTGCATAACAAAATATCCATTAATTTTATGTGGAATATGTTTTTTACAACCCAACCAAGGATCTGTATCCAAAACTTGGCCTGACATCAAATGCTACATGGTTTTACTGTTTTTGAGCTGGCTCAAATCCGTTTTTCGTGTATACTCTAATCATGTATACTTTTGTAATGTTTGCAGTTTGTTTGTATAAAATTAATTATACCAGTTGATATATTTGGAGTGCATCACAGGAAGTGTAATTGGCGCAGTAACCGCATGGTTGAGGTGGATGTGGGGGAGAGAAATATTTTTATTTTTTATTTTATTTTTTATGGTACTACATTGTTGACTGTGAGTGAATTCTGAGGGACTCCTATACCAAATGCATTTGGAAACTGATCAAATATGTACAAAACCCGTTGTAATAAATATATTTTTGTAAAGAAATCCGATTGCAACACCTATGTGACTGTTCACCATAAATTACTTGAAGGAAGTTATGAACATTCTCTGTTTAATTGAAGAATAGTGTTATATCAAAAATAACTCAGACTCAATAGCTGCCTACCTCTAAAGTTAAGTTTCCTAAGAGTGGAGGATATCAAACAGTCTGTTTAGGAGTACCAACAGTAAGCTATATTGGGCCTACTAAATTCCGTCCAATTGGAATAGACCTAAGTCAGCTATTCTCAGATTAGACAGGTTTAAATGTGACAACTGAATATTGGTCATCTTAGGGACTTTTATGGGAAAATTGCTATTGCTATAACACCTGTTGCACAACAGCATGTGAAATTGCTTGTCACTCAGTGTTGCTTCCTAAGTGGACAGTTTGATTTCACAGAAGTGTGATTGACTTAGAGTTACATTGTGTTGTTTAAGTGTTCCCTTTATTTTTTTGAGCAGTGTATATATATATTTAAATGAAAACATGCATGCATTTAATGCAGCATTTTTTTTTTCATTGGGGTATATCTAAAACTGGCATGAAAAAGCTAAAGACCTTTTTTCTGAATACCTACCTTCTAACCCAGCCAATTGGTTGTCCAATCACAGACTTCATAGGCAGCTCATTGAGACCTCTTTGTATGGCAGGTGACTGGAGAATGGAAGTATATGAAATTGGTAAATAATTCACTAAGACGTTTGATATTTCAAATAATGTATTAGTTGAAGATTGTGTTGTATTTTTAGGGATGTGAGGAGGATAATTGTGAGGAGAGAGAGAGAGAGAGATACTCCACACAAAAAACAGCTTAATGGCACTAGATAATTTGGTGTGCCTCACAGATGTAGTAAGGTTGTATTCTTGTGCATGAGTAACAACTTATTTTTTTTTGCCCCAGGAACCTAGGAATTGCTTGCCTATGCTGGATAGTGCTCAACACTAACTCACCTTTTGCAACTTTTTAATGTAAAAACTGTTTTGTCAAAATGCTGTGTAGACCTGCACAATAACAGGGTGTGCTGTAGAACATGTGCGGCTTTTTCTAACCTAAAAACAAGCTTACTTTTGGTCACACTTTCATCTTCTGTAATTTAAGATTTATATTTTTTACACCTTATTTAAGTGCCCTGAACATGGACATTAATGATTTTATGAAGGGTAAACAAGAAAAGTAACTAATATATACTAGAATATACTTTGCTTTTCTGTATTGTTATTACAGTAAGTGTGTGTGTGTATGTATGTATGTATGTATGTATGTATGTATATATATAAAGTTGTGCAATACAGTTACATGGATATGGCTATTATATACCTGATAAAAACATTTTTCTATTTTGCCTCAGCTGTTAAGTGATGTATTTATTTTTTTAAATTATGAATACATTGCCAGTGAAACATTTATATCAACCTGCTTATTTTTAAAGGAATGGAAAAATCATTATCATCTCCCCTGACTCTTCATTACCGAAGTATGAAAAAAGGTCTACATCCTACCTACAAGGATGGGGAACACTAAATGTTATTAACTAAAATGAGAATTTTCAAGCATAAAACGTGAATTTCAAATTTAAAGGGACACTATAGTCACCAGAACAACTACAGCTTATTGAATTTGTTCTGGTGAGTAGAATCATTAACTTCAGGCCTTTTGCTGTAAACACTGTCTTTTCAGAGAAAATGCAGTGTTTACATTACAGCCTAGTGATAACTTCACTGGCCACTCCTCAGATGGATGTTAGAGATCCTTCTTGGGTCATGGCTGCCTAAAATGCATCCAAACATTCAGTATCTCCTCCCTCTGCATGCAGACACTGAACTTTCCTCATAGAGATTCATTGATTCAATTCATCTCTATGAGGCGTTTGATTTTCAGTGAAATTCCAACGCAGTCTTAATTAGTAGTAGCAGATCGGCTTTTAGACCAGCTGACTTGGAGAATTTAATTTCAGATAAGTGATTTTATCTTAAAGGGACACAATGGGTACCCAAGCTACTTTATCTCTGGATGCAGTGTCCTTGTCCAGAGGTAAGACAGCCTCTTGTCTACTAGACAGCCACTAGAGGACCTTCCTGGTGGTTTAACTCCATGAAAAGATGCTGGACATTCTCACGTTTTTTTATTGATTCAATGCTTTCCTATGGGGAAGACCTAATGGCACTCGCTTTGCATGCACATTGAGTTCCCCCTCTCACAATGCCGTCGCAGGAGGCAGAGATGGAATAAAATAAGTGTTTAAAGGTTTTTTTTAAAGTGGCACTTGCCTAACTTACCTTTGTCCTATTGTTTCCACTTCTCTTCCATGCTCAGAATCTGTTCTTTTCTTGGAAATTATTGACTGACTGCCCACAAGAAGCTGCCCATCATATGATAAAGAACTATTCTGTTGCTTGAATAGCAAACAATTCTGCATTTTCATATTACATGCCCTCTTTTATTGTCATAATGCTACAAGCATTCTACGCTACTGTGGCACTTATGTCTTGATTGCATAGGTTGCGCATGTGAAAAAAAAGTTTTTAATAAACTGCTAAATACATTTTGTGGATTTTTAAAGTTATTGATCCTGTTCCTTGATGGGGAGGTAGCTCTCTTATTAAGCAAGTTAGGTGACCATCTTAAGGCTCTGCCACGCACATACAGTCCCAGACAAAAGCATACACATGCTCACAGAGACATACATTCACTCACCAGGATACTTACTGTCAGACACATAATCTCCTGTACATACACAGGTTGACAATGCTAGACACACGGAGGAATACACCAACAACAAGAGACCCTGCACACTGGTTCCACACTACGATCTGGCCATCAAACCAAGAGGTGCTCCATACCAAAATGGATACCGCAACTCCTGAAAGAAGATGAGTATAGGCAACACTCCTGGATACTGATGGTGCAAGCTTTATTCAAGTTACCCCACTAAGATAATGCGACACTCCTAAGTACACACAGCCAGAAACACATTGTGACTGTATGTTTGTATTTGTAAATGTGTGCATCAGTGTGTTTGTGCATGGATATGCGTGCATCAGAGTGTGTATATGTGTCCATATATTAGTGTGTATATGTGTGTATAACTATAATGGGAAGTTATTGTATAGGCAATGCTAAGGTAAAGGGGCAACATAAATAATATTTATAATGTACATACACATCCAATACATTGTGTAACACATAAAAAGGCTAATCTATATGGGTGGAAAATGTCTATCATGCCGTTTTCTTATCTGTATTATTTGATAAACTTTTTTTTTTTAAGTGTTTTTAATTTTTTGGCACAACCAAAATTTTCAATTTTTCTTTCCAATAACCCCTTTACACCTGCACCTATGTATACACAACTGCCAGGCTGTGCAACAATACTCCACAATCATGTATACACTATTTGCATAACTGCAAATTAAATGTGTTTGTTGCAAATTAGAGGGACACCTGTTCCGCGCGGAGTTTCTTTTTCCTGTACCCGGCCAGACTGACAGGAAGTGCACACTGAGTGTGCACTTTCCTATCAGTCCGGCCGGATACCGCGGACCAGAGAGGAGCTCGGCCATGCTACAGGGAAGGGAAGGGGAGGTGAGGAGAGAGGCAGTGCTGCAGCCGCCTGAGGCTCTTTACAGAGCACTCAGGCGGCTGCAGCATTAGGATCAGCCCTGCAGTGGCCAGTTTAAAAATGATTAGGGGCGGCCTGGGGGGCAATTGCCTCCCTGCCCCCCGTTCCAGCCCGCCCCTGCTCTTAGTGCACTCCTAGTCCTAACCTGGGGGGGTTTCACCGTACCTGTCCCGCCCGCATTATTTCCTGGGGGGGATCCTTCCCCCCCGGTTCCTACGCCCATGAGTGCAATGTAATGGTTAGGGTGCTAGGTGTCCAATGGTGCCCTGCAGCATAAGTAGTCCAACCGTTTTCTAATTAATTGACTTCTTACCAGGGCCGGACTGGGTATACAAAGCAGCAACGGAAAAAAAATAATCTATGCCAGCCCCATAAGTTATTGCGTCATATATTGTTGCATGTAATATGTAAGGATATGTCTTGCCACCCCAGATGATTGAGTAGTATATATATATAATATATATTGCTTTTTCTAATATAAAATATTGGTCCTTTCAGAGTAAAACGTTTAATTATACAGTAAGCATACTCACATGCAGACACAGACAATCTCACTGACACACACAAGCTCATTGATACACAACCTCATAGACAAACAATCTAAATATATACGTAAGCTCATTGACATAAAACACAAGCTCACTCATTAGCAGACACACACACACATGCAAGCAAGCTAACTCACTAGCAGGCGCACACACACAGCTTAATGTAGTGGTTCTGGTATCTATAGCCTGTCTCTGCAGGCTTTTCAATGTTAACACTGACTTTTCAGATAAAAGGCAGTGTTTACGTTGCTTCCTGGTGACACCTCTAGTGACAGTCACTCAGACGGTCACTAGAGGTGCTTCCTGTGTCAGTGCTGCACAGTGTGCAGGGCCTACATTCAGGGCCTCCACGGACTGGAGGCGCTGAACGTCCCCATAGAGATATATTGATTCAATGCATCTCTATGAGGAGATGCTGAATGGAGTAGCGTTTTGCAGCCAATCCTATGGCAAAGCATTGGATTGGCTGAGATCATCAAGCTTGATGATCTCGCCATAGAGGCAGGGCCAATCGAGGGGAGACCAGCACGGCGTGGGGAAAAAAAGTGAGTAAAAACACTATTTTTTAAACACATATGACAGACACACACACCCCATGACACACACATATATCCCATGACAGACACACACACCACGACAGACACACACACATACCATGACAGACCATGACACAGACACACACACCATGACAGACACACACTTACACTGACAGACTGACACACAATATTAGTATTATTATTGTTATTATGCTACTTATGTAGCACCATCAAATTCCGCAGCGCTTTACAATGGGTGGACGAACAGACATGTAGTTGTAACCAGACAAGTTGGACACACAGGAACAGAGGGGCTCAATGAGCTTACACGCTAGAGGGAGTGGGGTAAAATGACACAAAAAAGTAAGGATAGTATTAGACTATTGACAGTTGCAGAAGAGGAATCAGTCAGGAGCTATTAACCGTTGAATTGATACACTTTTATGAAGAAGTGGGTTTTTAAAGATTTTTTTGAAGGAGTGGAGACTGGGTGAGCATCTAACGGAGGAGGGAAGCGAGTTCTACAGGAGCAGTGCAGCCCTCGAGAAATCTTGAAGGCGAGCATCAGAGGTGGGAGTACGGACAGAAGGTACACATAAGTCTTCAGCAGATTGTAAGGGCCTAAACGGGACATACTTGTGTATAAGGGAGGATAGATAGGTGGGAGCAGCATTATGTAGTGATTTGAAAGTAGAACCAGAATTTTAAATTGAGCTCTATATTTTATAGGAAGCCAATGTAGGGGCTGACAGAAGGGTGAGGCATGGGAGGTGCGGGCGGACAGGAAGATGAGCCTCGCTGCCGCATTCATTATGGACTGTAACGGCGCAAGTTGGGAGCACGTAAGACCACTGAGAAGCGGATTACAGTAGTCAAGGCGAGAAAGGACAGTGAAATGAACCAACGCCTTAGTCGCATCTGGCATTAAGTAGGGGCGGATGCACGCAATGTTCTTGAGATGGAAATGACAGGATTTGGCGATAGATTGAACATGAGGCTTGAAGGAGAGGTCGGAGTCAAAGAGAACACCTAGGCAGCGAGCCTGCGTGGTGGAGCTGATGGTAGCACTGTTGACTTGGAGGGAGACAGACACAGGAGTAACAACACTTGAGGGAGGAAAGACCAGAATTTCAGTTTTGGTCAAGTTTAGTTTAAGGAAGTGGGCAGCCATCCAGTTAGAAATAGCAGAGAGGCAGTCAGAGACACTACTCAAGAGGGACGGGGAGAGATCAGGAGAGGACAGGTAGATTTGCGTGTCATCTGCATAGAAATGATATTGGAAGCCAAAGGAGCTAATGAGTTTACCAAGGGAGGCAGTATAGATGGAGAACAGTAGGGGACACATTATTGCTACCTGTGGACGACCGGCCAGGGGGTCGTGCAGGGCAGACAGCTGGGTGTGCTGGAGGCCCCGGGGGGAGCTATGCTGGCGGCTGCAGCTGTGCTGTCTCTGCTCTGCTCCCCAGCACGCAGCTTAATGAGACCGGGGCCGGAATATGACATCATATTCTGGCCCAGGTATCATTAAGTAGCGTGTGAGGGCAGGGGAGCAGAGCAGAGACAGCACAGTTCCCCCTGGGGCCGCCAGCACCGGCAGCTCCCCCCGTATCCCAGGGCCAATCTGGCCCCGCTTCATACCTGCTTCTCAGAGAGCCAGAAGCTAGAACTAAAATAAAATATTATTTTATTGGTTTATAGTTTGTTTGTGTTTCCCATGTCTGCTTTTTATTTAATTTATTAAATTATTTTTCTATTTACTATAATACGCTTTTTAGTGAACAGACCTCAAAGTGTTATATATACTTAAAAGATCACTACAGGGTCAGGAACACAAACATGTATTCCTGACCCTATAGTGTTAAAACCACCATCTAGCCCCCCTGGGGTCCTCATGCCTCCATACATATAGTAAAAATCTTACTGTATTCAAGATTGAAGCTGTAACTCTGCATGCTGTTAGATTCAGAAAAACAAGCAGTGTGCTGACATCATCAGAAGTGGTAGCCTGATCCAATCACAGTGCTTCCCCATAGGATTGACAAGGAGGCAGATCAGGGGCAGAGCCAGCATGATTCAAACACATCCCTGGCCAATAAGCATCTCCTCATAGAGATTAATTGAATCAATGAATCTCTATGAGGAAAGTTCAGTGTCTGCATGCAGAGGGTGGAGACATAAAAACATAGAATGTGACAGAAGATAAAAACCATTCGGCCCATCTAGTCTGCCCAATTTTCTAAATTCATTAGTCCCTGGCCTTATCTTATAGTTAGGATAGCCTTATGCCTATCCCACGCATGCTTAAACTCCTTTACTGTGTTAACCTCTACCACTTCAGCTGTAAGGCTATTCCATACACCCACTACCCTCTCAGTAAAGTAATACTTCCTGATATTTTAAACCTTTGCCCCTCTATTTTAAGACTATGTCATCTTGTTGTGGTAGTTGTTCTTCTTTTAAATATAGTCTCCTCCTTTACTGTGTTGATTCCCTTTATGTATTTAAATGTTTCTATCATATCCCCCCTGTCTCGTCTTTCCTCCAAGCTATACATGTTAAGATCCTTTAACCTTTCCTGGTAAGTTTTATCCTGCAATCCATGAACCAGTTTAGTAGCCCTTCTCTGAACCCTCTCTAAGGTATCAATATCCTTCTGAAGATACGGTCTCCAGTACTGTGTACAATACTCCAAGTGAGGTCTCACCAGTGTTCTGTACAATGGCATGAGCACTTCTCTCTTTCTACTGCTAATACCTCTCCCCAGTGGCGTACACCTGACCCATGGGGCCCCGGTGCGAAAATTGATCCGTTGGCCCCCCCCCGGGCCGGGCCGCAACACATGGTGGTGGGCACCTGGTCGCAGGGGTTACAGGGCTGCGACCCCTGCTACCGCGGTATGTACGACAGTGCATGCAGATGCACGCACTTAAAGGACCACTCTAGGCACCCAGACCACTTCAGCTTAATGAAGTGGTCTGGGTGCCAGGTCCAGCTAGGGTTAACCCATTTTTTCATAAACATAGCAGTTTCAGAGAAACTGCTATGTTTATGAATGGGTTAAGCCTTCCCCTATTTTCTCTAGCGGCTGTCTCATTGACAGCCACTAGAGGCGCTTGCGTGCTTCTCACTGTGATTTTCACAGTGAGAGCACGCCAGCGTCCATAGGAAAGCATTATGAATGCTTTCCTATGTGACCGGCTGAATGCGCGCGCAGCTCTTGCCGCGCGTGCGCATTCAGCCGACAGGAGGAGAAGAGGAGGATCGGAGGAGGAGAGCTCTCCGCCCAGCGCTGGAAAAAGGTAAGATTTTCCCCTTTCCAGAGCAGGCCGGGAGAAGATCCCTGGGTGGGGCACCCTCAGGGCACTAGCAGTGCCAGGAAAACGAGTATGTTTTCCTGGCACTATAGTGGTCCTTTAAAGAGACCACTACAGACACCCAGATCACATCAGCTCAATGAAGTTGTCTGGGTGTCAGGTCCCTCTAGTTTTAACCCTGCAGCTGAAAACATAGCAGTTTCAGAGAAACTGCTATGTTTCACTGAGGGTTAATCCAGCCTCTAGTGGCTGTCTCACTGACAGCCGCTAGAGGAGCACACTGAACGTCCATAGGAAAGCATTGAGTAATGCTTTCCTATGGGCGGTTTGAATGCGTGCGCGGTCGCATTCGGAGCTGAGAGGAGGGATCCTCAGCGCCAAGGGAGTCCGGCGCTGGAGAAAGGTAAGTGCTGAAGACACACACACACACTTACAGACGCATACACACTAGCTAACAGACACACACATTTACTGACAGAGACACAGTCAGCGACAGACATACATACTCACTTACAAAACATACACTCTCATTGACAAACACACTCACTAACAGACATCAAACAGACTCACTAACACACACACACACTCAGTAAGACACACACAGTAACACACGCACTGACACTCACTAGCAGACACACACACTAACACTCACACTCACTCTAACACTCACTCTAACACTCACTCTAACACTCACACACACTAACACTCACTCTAACACTCACACACACTAACACTCACACTAACACTCACTAGCAGACATACACACTAACACTCACTCTAACACTCACACACACTAACACTAACACTCACTAGCAGACACACACACTAACACTGACTGTAACACACACACACACTAACACTCACTAGCAGACACACACACTAACACTCACTGTAGCACACACTAACACTCACACTAGCACTCACTAGCAGACACACACACTAACACTCACTGTAACACACACTAACACTCACACTCACACTCACTAGCAGACACACACACTAACACTCACTGTAACACACACTAACACTCACACTAACACTCACTAGCAGACACACACACTCACTGTAACACACACTAACACTCACACTAACACTCACTAGCAGACACACACACTAACACTCACTGTAACACACACACACACACACACACACTAACACTCACTAGCAGACACACACACTAACTGTAACACACACACACTCTAACACTCACACTCACACATTTTTTTTTTTTAAATGTAATCCCCCCAGCCTCCTTACCTTTAGGAGTGCTGGGGGGATTCCCTGGTGTTCAGTGGTGCTGCTGGGCTCCTGGGCGGGTGGCCGTTTGGGCAGGTGGGCGGGCGAGGGAGCACTCAGTGCTTCCTCCTCAGCTCCCTTGTGTGCCGTGTAGGGATGCCGGCGCCGGAAGATGACGTCATCTTCCGGCTCCGGTATCAGTGCGGTGCGCGAGGGAGCTGTGCTTCCTCGCGCGCCGCCTGCCCGACCGGCCACCCGCCTGCCTGGTGTCAGCAGGGCCAGCCTCGGGGGGCCCTGGGGTGGTCGGCTCCTGGGCTCCCCAGGGGAAGAGGCTGGCCCTGTGGGTACATACCGGGTCGCAGGGGCGGCCGGGCCCCCTGGTGGGCCGGGCCCGGTCGCAGCCGCGACCCCTGCGACCCTGGTATGTACGCCACTGCATCTCCCTATACAACCAAGCATTATGCTAGGTTTTCCTGCTGCTCTATTACATTGTCTGCCTACCTTTAAGTCATCAGAAATAATCACCCCTAAATCCATCTCCTCAGATGTTGCGGTTAGGACTCTATCAAATAACTGAGACACTGAATGTTTGGGTGCATTTTAGGCAGCCATGACCCAGGAAGGATCTCTTACAGCTATCTGAGGCCAGTGAAGTTATCACTAAGGCTATAAAGGCAGTTTTTACAGCAAAAAGCCTGAAGGTAATGATTCTACACATCAGAACAAATTCAATAAGCTGTAGTCATGGGCGTAGGAACCCCTAAAAATCTGGGGGGATAGCATTTTTACTCGCCGGGTATATTCTTATTCCGTAAACTATGAGTTGTTTATCCCATTGCACAGCGCTACGGAATTTGCAGTTGCTATATAAATGATTAAATAATAACTTTAAAGGGTCACTACAGGGAAGGGATTTTACTTACCTGGATACAGCGCCGGGATCCTCCTGATGCTGCGCCCCCTATTTCGTCTAAATAACGAAATAGGAGGGTGCGAGCAAGGAGCAATAAAACGCTTCTATTCAGAAGTGTCATTGCTCTCTGGTGCGCATGCGCAGCTTTGCCGCACATGCACAGATACTTCATAGGGCGGCATTCATGTCTCGACTAGGAACCACCTCTAGTGGCCATCTGAGTGTCCACTGGAGGTATTCCTCATCAGTAATGTAAATACTGCCTTTTTATGAAATGGCTGTGCTTACATTAAAAAGCCTGCAAAGACATGCCATAGACACCAGAACTACTACGTTTAGCTGTTGTGGTTCTGGTGACTATAGTGTCCCTTGAATATAGAGAGGAATAAAGAATCATCACAAATGTAAGAAATAAAATGTCTGTATCATTATTCTAAAAATTATTTTCAAAAAATAAAAAAATATGCACATTCCTAGCTTAATTTTTAGCACGACATACACGACATATAACACAAACATTTTATACTTTGCAGATTACTTTTTATATTTTTTTATACAGATTGTGTAATACTGCCCCTGATTTAGGGTGACCACATTTCCTAACTGCCATTCAGTGACACTTTCAGAAATGCATTCCATATAAAGGTATGATATCCTTATGCTACTTATCTCATAATGCCAAGCCCTTAATTAAATTAAAACATATGCTGTCATGGGAGACGGAGTTGGGTGCCCAGTACGACTTAGAAGAATCGTTCGGTTTTTTTAAAGGCTTAAAAGGTATTTTGTATTGCACCGACCATTTTGAAAATCATTATAAAATCTTATATCGCTGGTACCTGGCAACGTCTAGATTACATAACATGAACAATATGTATTCTGACCGGTGCTGGAGAGACTGTGGGGGAGTGGGCAATATGGCCCATATCTGGTGGTTCTGCCCCAAGTTAATTAATTATTGGAAAATGATTCATGATCTAATTATTAAAGTGAACGGAACCATTATCATCTTAACCTCGGAACTAGCCTTATTTAAAAAACTCCCGGAGTCCGTTAATAGATCAGATAAAATAATCATAGGCCACATTCTGATCGCTGCTACATCCTGTTTACCTAGACATTGGAAGTCCCAAAATATGCCATCTCTCAAAGAAGTTTTCAATTTGATTCTAGAAAACAAGGCACATGAATTATCACACAGAGCCAATATGCATGGTTTCCCAATATTAAAATATAATTGGGACAAATGGGAAGAAAAAAATCAAAACAGTTTATGGTCTTTGATATATTTATTGTTAAAGTGCATTGATGTATAACATTATTATTTTTTGCCATATACTTTATTATGTTTATTTCAATGATGGATGGATACCCCTTCCCATTTCCAAGTTACCCTTTTTTTCCTACCCCTAATACAATGTTTGTATTATTACTATCATTTGTTATACAAAAATTTTAAAAACTTTAATAAAAATTATTTGAAAAGAAATGCATTCCATACATTTTACTACCCGTCTCTACCCCTTCCATTTATATTAGAACCCCTTTCCATGTAAATTAGAGATTAGTGCCACGAATAATATGCTAGATTGCCTACTTACAACCAGATGAGGATGATGATGGGCTCTAGCTACAGTCTGGCTCCACTGGTCTGGTGTAGAACAGGCTCAGGGCCGGTGCAAGGATTTTTGCCGCCCTAGGCAAATAAAAATTTGCCGCCCCCCCCCATGTCCTGCCCACCATGTAACATCACAATGCCCCGCCCATATGGGCCAACGCCAGTCTTCACAGTGTGTTTACATTAAAAAGCCTACAGGCACAGGCTATAGACACCAGAACCACTACATTATGCTGTAGTGCTTCTGGTGACTATAGTATCCATTTAATGTGAGATTAGTGCCACTAATAATATATTGGATTGCCTACTTACCACCAGATGAGGACAAGAGGCTGATGATGGGCTCAGTCTGGCTCCACAAGTCTGGTGTAGAAGAGGCTCTCTGGAGACTGTTTTTAACAGTGCTCACAACAATTAACGAACAGGAAGCAGCTCCATTTTTTAGGGCCCCTTACACAGCTCAAGGTCTGGGCCCCCAGGGCTTGACCATGAGTATATAGTAAGTAGGAGGAATGAGACAGCGCTAAAATAACTTATGGCAGCAACCTTAAAAAAGGGAATCCCTCAAACCCTTTCTAAAACAGGATAAAGTAAAAACAATAAAAGGCTGCGCACATGAATAAAGTCCAATAAAAGGAAAAAAAAAAAAAAAGGGAGAGAAAGTCCAACTGGTATATTCTTACATTCTTAAGAATATACCAGTTGGACTTTCTCTCCCTTTTTTTTTTTTTTTTCCTTTTATTGGACTTTATTCATGTGCGCAGCCTTTTATTGTTTTTACTTGACCATGAGTATGCCTACAATGCCCACCCATAAATACCTACATGGCCCACCCATGAGTTCTCTCACAGGAAGTGTAGTGTATGTGTGTAAGGGATGTTTTATGTGTTATTGTAGAGGATGCAATGTGTGTGTGTTCTTATAGAATGTAGTGTATAGGGATACCAATTTGTATAAGGGATGTAGTGTGTTTATAGGGGATGCAGTGTGTGTTTGCGTGTAAGGAATGCATTGTTTGTTTCTGGGTGTTTGTGTGTGTGTAAGGGGTGCAAGGTGTGTTTCTGTGTATTTAATTGAATGCAGTGTGTGTCTGTAAGGGGTGCATTGATTGTGTAAGAGATGCATTTTGTTTCTGTGTGTAAGAGAATGAGTGTTTGTGTGAACGTAAGGGATGCATTGTGTGTTTTGGGTGTGTCTGTGTGTGAGTAGGAATGCATTGTATGTTTCTGTGTGTGTGTGGGGGGGGGGAATGCATTGTGTTTGTGTGTAGTGTAAAAGAGAGGGTTTGTGGGGTAGGATAGGGACTGAGAGGGGAACAGCTCCTGTCCTGTCCTCCGTGTTCTACCCCTTCTGTCCCTTAGTGCTCTCCCTTGGCCCCCTGTCCCTCTGCAGTCCCCCCTTGGTGGTCTTCTCACTCCCCCCTCTCTCCCTTAGTGGTCCTCCATCCCTTCCCTTAGTGGTCCTCCCTCTCCCAAACCCCTTAGTAGACCTTCCCCTCCTCCCCCCACCCCCTTAGTGGTAATCCCCCCCCCTCAGTGGTCATTACCCTCCCCCTCCCTTAGTGGTCCTCCCTCCTTACCCCCCTTTGGTGGTCCTTCTCCCCCTTAGTGGTCCTTACTCCCCCCCACTCCCCTAATGGTCCTTACTCCCCCC